CTCTTCTCGGTTCAGTTATTTCCTAGCAGGAAACTAATCCAAACTTTGTCGAGATAAAAGAGACCACCGAAAAAAATAAGAAAAAAAGTTTCAATGAACGCCGGACTCGCTTCAGGTGCCCATTTGAAGTTTATAAATATCCAAACACAATGCACCGAGACAACAACAAAGAGAAGCGACCGCAACTATAAAAAAATCCAAAGACTCCAGCGACGTAAACCTCCGGACCCGCGGCACTGCCCCAACAAAAGCAGCACGATTCGGCGATCGAGCCTTTTGCGTCCAGAGTTTACGACGTCTTAAATGGCAGAATCGCCGTCCGACTGCTTTCTAGGCCGCACGTTTTGGAGACAAGAGACGGGACCTTGAAGAAAGTAAACGGCAGAAGTATATACACCGCGGCGCAAATATCAGGCCGGGGAAGGGAGCGAACGGGAGCGCACACGCGGCCGGCTCACGATGCACCGATCTCTTATCTATTGTGGCGGCAGCTCTTGCGGCCACGTTCTCTGATGCCCGGCCTCATCCTGCACTCCAGCCAGAGGACCCCGCCACAATGGCCCCACCGCCGCCGCTGCAGAAAATAGGGGGGATGTCGGCCCGTCCACGCTCTACATTCGCGCGCCGTCCGCAACATTACGGTATAGCTCCTCCGAGCCCGAAACGAAGCGTATCGTGATATAATCCCAACAGCCGGGAGTCCGTGTATATCCTACGTAACAACAGAAAGGGAGCTCGCTCAACCGGGCATGTGGTACGGGCGCTTTCGTTTCGGAGAACACAAAGCGTGTCACAGTCTTGATACGCGTGAAGAGCGTACCTCTGAGGCGATTTGTCGTATAGCCTCCGCAGAGACCCTGTCGCGTGTCTGGCGGCACTCGAGAGGGGGTGCTGACCCTTTGACAGACCACGGACGGTGTCACGTCTGGCGGCGTTCCCCGCGTATATACACCTGCTGCATGCGTACGCAACGTATTTCGTTACCGTCTCGCGTAGCTGCCGACCCCCGGGACGGGTCACGTTGTAAACCGTGCCAAGACTCTTGCGACACCTGTACGAGAGGCAATCAACGCGCGGGGCGAGAACCCCCCCCCCCCCCCCCCCCCCCAAGTAAAAACGAGGCTAGCTAAATGCCGCCTAAACAAAGGGGTCGAAAGAGCAGCGCCTAATAGGAAGGTAAAGAAGGCAAGTGGAAGAAAACCGTTCCCGGGAAGCAGGGAATTGTTCTGCGAAAGAGAGTCGGCGTTGCGCAAATCGCGAAGCGCGCTCGCGGGTCGTTGCCTTTCCGCTACCTGGACAACGCGTCCCTTTGGCGGGTCCACGCGGGACCACCGACCGGGTCAGTCTGGCACCGTGGCCGACCCGCGCATCGAGGTCAACGGCGAAATTGCGTTGGGAACCTCGACGACAGGCGACAACGCGAGTGCCGACTCGACAGCCACCGCGTGCTTTTCGCTGCTGGTGCGTCACTGAGCAGTCTTCGGAGTACCGACAACAAAACCTTGATTGGCTAAACCCGAAGAGCGATAACACGAACACGTGACGGTGCACGACGCGTAACACCTCCAGTCATTTGCCTTTCCGTGACATCGTTAAATAAAGAAAAAAAATTAAGAGAGTGCAGTTGTTTCCAGCGGGAACGTTAAGCAACTATCACGGAGGTAACGACAGTACTTTGGGCGATTTATGGCGAGAGCCACCAGAACGCGTAGTGGGTCATCTGTAGCCACTCCAGTGGTTCGTATGTCGCGGTGGCGTCACTATACGACAACACGCCCGTGGACGCCCCAGTTTAAACTAGAGATCAGATATCGACGTTAACGCTAAAGAACCCATGCCCCAGAGACCTTTTCAAAGATCTTTATCTGCAATCAGACCACCAAATTTGATTGCGATCGCGAGGACGGCTCCTCATGACAATGCGACGGTAGACGCGCTTCAGGTGGACTCGCACGTTAACGTTGTGGTGGCTTCCTCAGTGAGGATGCTCGGCATTGTGTTAAGAATTACGCGAGAGTTTAAAATAGTGTCATCTGCGCTTGTGGCGTTTAATTGCTTTGTCCACTCAAACTTGGGTTTGCTTCTATACTGCCTAGAAGTCACTTAACTCTTCAAAAGCTAAGGGTATTGAAAGAGCCCAGAGACGTTTTATTTGTTTAATATATGACCGATACCTCGGAAAGAAATATTATGACAACAACTGGCTGCTGAGTAAAATAGATATGGACCCACTTTCCGAAAGAAGAGATATTCATTATTTGTTATTTTTCACAAACTTCTAAACGGCCAAGTGTCATGCTCCAATTTATTTTCCACCGTAACCTTCATTTTGCCTTCTTGCTGTTCGAGGTCAATATGGAACTGCTTCCTGTTGGTGGGCGCTCCCAGCTTTCGCTTGTCACCCGGATGGAAGTTTTGGTATAATGGTATTTCTTCACCTTCAATTAACATGTTCATGTCTTTAAGCTATTAAAACCAAAAAAAAAAAACCAAAAAAAACTTAGCAATGTCAGAATTGTACTATTTTTTTTATTTTGTATTTTGAGTGTATGTTAGTGCGTTTGATGTGTGTACGTATGCTTCTTCGTCTGTGTTGTGATGCACCACCGGGAAGGCATGTTGGTCATGGTGGGTGTTATTAAATGAACATAAACATAAAAGTGTATCCCCTGGTAACGATGCCCAGCTATCCGGCAAAGGCCATTTTCACCTGTCGCGTGAAGTCTGCGTAATGCTCCAAATATAACTGGCGTTCTTTCTCTCTTAAACACCTTTCCGTTCAAACTCCAACTGACTCTGCGATTACGTAGGCCGTGTCAGAGTCTTCGCTTCCTACATTCTTCCCACTCCCCCGCTGTAGTCAGCCGACCGTTAAAATTTTCATGGTTCAAATGACCTCGTGAAGAGACGAGCGCTCCGCCAATTTTAATTGCGGCAATTATCGGCGCGATTGTGACCGGAAGCTCGCTGAAGCGCCGAAGCAAAAATGCCAGCGGTGTGACCCGCGACACGGCCTCGTTCGCAATGCTAAGCATTTGCTTTTCGAGTTCCGACAGTTTGACCGCGCACTAGCCAGGGTCACGCTCGTCGCCTATCGCCAGCGGAATCTGTAACTCGAGGCCTTGGAGCCTGCCAAGTGCAGTCCTTGCGACATCCGCGTACCGCCGAGGCGCGTAAATGCATGGCCATGCCGACCTTTCGAGACCCCGATGAGCTGTTTGCATCATTACACTTTGGTCTTTTCTTTGACGAGAACTGGAGAGGCGGGGATATATGTGGGCGTGGTAGTGGACAAACCCGATCTAAATCTACGCTGGTGACATAAGATGTGACGTCACTGTTTGTGTTTGCTGCGCGAAAGAATGGCACACTGTTGTTGGTTCTATACAAGCGCGAGCTAGCCCGCGCTTCTGGCTTGGAGACATGCATTTCTACCGCGAGCGTTCGTTCTGCGAAAGAACGCTTCAAAGTAGCGACATCGAGCCCCCGTGCTTGTGGCATTGCCTGCAGCCTCACAGAGCATTGGCGACGTGCGCGATCCAAAGCGTCGCTGTGGTCGGCCTTCCACCATTGGCCGAATGCTGACTATGACGTCAGCAAATGTTTGCTGATCGACAGAAATAAGAGGAATGTAAGATATTCTATTTTGACGGTGTTGGCAGTGTTGGTTTCAGAGCGCAATGTTCTCAAGCTTCCACCATGCTAATTATAAACACCGTCAACCTTATTGTTCGTAAGGTAATGACGTCACGAGAGGAAACCATAGGAGGGCGCCACCAAAACATCTCGCCGCAAATAGTTCTGTCCAGAGAAAAATTGATAACGGGAGGGGTGTGGACCTCCACTACGGGGCAAGCCGCCCGGTTATAGGATAGGGAAACCGAGAATGGTTAAAAAAATAGCGTGGAAATTGACGGGGATGGAGGGGGTCGATATATGGTTATGGTAAAAAGTATCTCTTTGTCAGTGCACCCTCGGTTTCCGTGAAAATAGTAACTGAAAAAAAACTGTGAAATCTAAGGGCGTGCACGCAATTTCGACTACTAAAGTGACTCTTTCCACTATCTATATCAGAGTCACGTGAATGTCCAAACACCTTAGTGAGCTCATTTGGAGCTACGGCATATATAACTTTACAGTAAGACATGTGCATTTATGTAAAGTACAGATTATATTGATGCAAGGAAGCAGATAAATACAAAAACTGTCGGACCCCTTGTGGATCGGCAAAGATGATGGAGGACCCCGTTCGTGGTGAGGGGAAGGGACAGGTATAGGGTAATTATGATAATAATTTAATAAATGGATATAACTAAGGGCTAGTGAGAAGTAGACTTCTCTCATTGACATACACACGAGAAAACTCACTCGAAAATTGAAACGTTTCTTCTCAATCCGAAAAAAAATATTTTTTTTATTGCCGGGCTTGACTGATGAGACAGGGCTTCCCGGACCACTAGAATGCCTTCGCGGACCCAAAAGGGTCCCCCATTTGGGAACCACTGCTCTAATGCATGAAATGCTGTGAAACACCCTGGGACCAACATCACCTAGAGTTATCTAGGAGGCTCTGCTAGGAGGGGAAAGGGGTGGGGAGAGAGACCGGAGGAGAGGGGTGGGGTGAGGGAATCGGTGTGTCAGGTGACGTATATTTTCCCACGAAATTTAGCGGGGAAACTGAATGGTTGTATAGGCCACATGACGTCAGGTCACGTGACGTCAGGTCACGTGACGTCGTTTTCCCCGCTAAATTTTGCAGGGAAACAGTATTGGTGTCTAGGTCACAAGACGTTAATTTCCCCCACTAAATTTAGCAGGTAACTGAATTGGCATATAGGTCACGTGACGTCCATTTCCCGCTAAATTCAGCGGGAGATTGTCTCAGGTAGTTTACTTCATTTGTGTCCAGTATTTCGACTCTCGACTGTAAGGCCACTTTTGAAAAGAGTCCTTTTCCGAGCGCCAAGGGTTCCGCCACCAAAGTTGGCCCTCTAACCCAGGTTGCGAGACCTTCACCTAGACTTCAACGAGCTGCAAGACCTGCCCCAAGAGCTGTCCTCGATGCGCCACCTGAGGTCCCTGAGCGTCAGCGGGAACCGCTTCACGCGTCTCCCCGACGTGCTGTCTCGGCTCACGGGACTCGAGTCTCTCCGCCTCGCCGGCAACGCCATCACCGAAACCCCACAGCTGGCCCTGCCGAACCTGCGACGGCTCGACCTACGCGGAAACCACATCAGAGGCCTCGCGGATTTCTCCAGGCTCCAGGTACACGCCCGGGTAGACACGAATGACCCGGAACGCCCGACATGGGGAAAGGTCCCCCCTTCGTGATTCCGTTCACGACATGCGCTCATCGAATCTGCCGGCAAACAAACACGCACCGACGCGAAAGACAACAATCGTAAGCGCGGTAGACGGTTCGGGTCGTCGAATAGAGCCGGCAAGGAACCGGCTTGCAATCGAGCCGCACAATCGGTTCCCAGGAAGCGAGCGCGGCAAGAAACAATAAACCCAATCGAGTCGAAAGTTAGCCACGCTGTTTCCGCTTGAACCTTTGATGTATACCTTCGGTTTCGACAACCTTTTTCTTTTTTATTAGTATTTTTCTTTCTTCGTTCTTTTACGATGGTAACTTCCGTAGTTTTCCATCGGGAGGGTATTGCTTTACGCGAGACCGCGCTCCGGGTCACGTCAACGAGCGTTTTATGGTCGGGAGCCCTACGACGATGCTCGCACGAACCCTTCATATTTTTCTCTGGCCAGAATTTGCACTCCCTGGACGTCAGCTGGAACCAGATCGAGAGTCTGGTGCTGCCGACCACCGACCGCCTCCGCCAACTGGACTGCTCGCGGAACCAGCTCCAAGACCTCTGTCTTCCCGGGAGTCGCCTTCACACGCTTTGTTCTAGTCACAACCGTAAGGCTTCGTGATGATCCTCTTTCCAAGTTTGTGTGCGGCGCAATCGAAGGCTCGGCGCAAGAGCGTAGCTCTGCGGGTTGCTTTCTTCGCACGAGCGCTTACGCAAGGCGTGCGCTTTATAAGGACGCGTGCTCGCGCTCATACCTCGTGCATAGCTGTACAAATCTATACATGACTTGCACGTAACGTTAGCGTACCATATGCTCGAGGTAATTTCAAATATCTATATATATAAAGTAAATCTCACGTGACGTCAATTTTCCCGCTTAATTTAGCGCGGAAACTTCATTGGTGTATGGTTCACATGACGTCATGTTACGTGACACTAATTTCGCTGCCAAATTTAGTGAGGGAACTGAATCGGTGTACAGGTCACGTGACATCGATTTCTCCACAACATTTACGGGGAAATTGAATGGCTGTATAGGTCACGTGACCTATACAATCAATAGCAGCACGATCGTCGAAACGCCATTAGTGCGTATACCAATAGATGCCGAATTTTCTGAGACAGAAGCGCAGTCTCCCACCACCGAGAGGACATGCAACGTCCAAGTATTGCTCAGTAAAGAGTTCCCTAAAACACCAGTCAACGTTTCCGAATGTCATTTGTACCGCCGACTAAAACGCTTTCCTTGAGTAATAAAAGAAAAAAAAGAGCTTGAAAATAAGTTTTGAGCGATCCATATCGACCTAGGGTCTGTAATTTGTCGAATTAGGTTACTGTGGGAAAGTCTGCACACAACTAGGCGTAACCAGGCTATGCATACTCTTTTAGACCTCAAATGTGCTACATAAACCTTTCGTCGTTGTTTTCAGGTCTTCGCAGTATTGAGAACGTGGCGTCTGCAAGTACCCTCAAGTACATCGATCTGTCCAAGTAAGGACTCAATTACAAATCGTTTCATTGTTAAGTGGACCGGCTGTAGCCCAGCGAGAGCAAGATTCATCTTCTCTCCTCGTCTTCCTTCCCTCTGTCTCCTTAGTAATTTACACGACACATACAGAAGTTGTTTGTTCGCTTTCTCTGTTCCTGTAGCTTAGCATTATTCCCTGATCAGCGTAGCCGGAGTATTGCTTGTTAAATGTCCAAAGCTTTCCGTACACTCATTCATCAGCCCACTCGGAGAGCTCCCTCCCCCGCTCAAACAATGCCACACGTTCCGTGCTTGCAGTAACTGGCTCGTCCAAGTCCCAGAATGGATACTCCAGGCGAGCAGCACGCACCATTTGGACCTGGGCCACAATCAGCTGACGTCGCTTCCGGCGGGGTACGACCGTGCATCGTACTTTGCTCATTGTGCGGGACTTGGCTCCGAAGTGCGGCGTAATTGGAGATGCATGGATGCTCGAAGGTCTGCGTGACCGGACGGCCAATGAACAATTACTGCGCGAGCGGCCACTGGCCGCATAACTGGGGCACGCATAAAATTTCCAAGCGGAACTATCGAAAGGCTAGAGTCGATCGGTTCAGCCTTGAGCACGCTGATTGAGCTCATCCGCACCCGGACTAACAATTCGTCGTCAACGAGCGGCGCGTTAGTGCGCACGAGACTGCAATTAAACGGCGCTGATTTTATGGGCGTTCGAGGAGGCTGGATCGTATACTGTATGGCCGCTTCGCGGACATGCAGACTATAGTCAATCAATAGGGGGGATCTGGATAGCTGGTTCGTAGCGGGCCCCTCGTAACGCAGCGGTGCCTCTTAAAGGTGATTCACACACTTGAGGCCGACTCCGACACAACGTGTTTCTACGCGTCTGGCGAGTGCCATGCGACAGGCAACGCAGCAGCAGGAATGGCGGTTGTAAGCGGCTTAAAAGCTGGTTGTGTCGGTCGCAACGCACTCGAACGCAGGTGAATGAACCATTCTTTATTCTGATATAGTTAGGCAAATCTGTCCGCGAATTCAGTGATCGTTAAAGGTTACAGGCGTTCGCGAACAACCGCAATTCGCCCTGAGAACGATTGACGAATTGGGAATGGGAGGTCCCTGAGTCGGAAATCTGCAAGGTGCCGTTGGTCGGTGCCCGCCATTTTCGCGAAGCGACGCAGTGGTTCCTTTCCCAAAACCAGCCTGAGGTCGTATAATCGTCTAAAACCAGCACTGCGATTGCCACCATACAAGCTTTGGAGTTTATCCGACTTGCACAAAATGCCATTGCCTTTAAACAATTGTCTATCGATGTACTTTCGGCAGTCGTCTGTGGTATAAAACGACACCGACCTATGTTCCGCCTTCTTCCAACAGTCTGTTCAGCGCCGCACTGCTACAACTGGACACGCTGCGCCTGAACCACAACTGCATCTCCAGTCTCCCGGAAACCAGCAGCCAAAGCCACGTCCGCCACCTGGACTTGCAGCACAACTCTCTAATCAGCTTTCCCGCCGACCTGCTCCGCAATGCGTACAGGTACACCTCGACGTTCGTTCGCATCACCAGCAAAATTAACTCGACAATCTTCCTTTCTCTAAGCACTATACTTCTCACGGTTGCTAGTAAAGTTAACAAGGATACCACAACCTTTAAGCCGCGGGCACACTGCTCATATACATCGTACAAACGACAGCCTGCAGACGCTGTACGATGTCTTCCTTGTGTTACGGTCACATTGCTCATACAAACATGTTGGGTTCGTACAAACGTGTACGAACCCAACATGCTTCGAATATGCTCGAGGCGCGCCCGCAGATAAGTCTGACATCATATCTGCAGCAACCTCCATGTTGTTTTGTTTTTGTTTTGTGTGATGTATACCAGCAGTGTAACTCTGGCTTTAGGTCGTGATCATCACTCTGAAAACAATGGTGAATTATATGCTGCCCGCCAAAGTGATGGAGGCACACTCGGGAGGTTCCAAACGTCAGGCTGCCTTCTGGCTCTCTCGTAAACGACGGTGGTGGGCCGCGAGCCATAGAGTGACGGATCACGCAGGCTGGAGTGGTTGAACGCGTCGTACAACCAGCTAGCGTCGCTACCCCAGCCCGACCAGGCGGCCAGCCTGCCCCTCCGTTGGTTGCTGCTCAGCAGGACGGGACTCACCGACGATCTCCTCTGGCCCCTGGTGCTGGCCTGTCCGCAGCTCAAAGTCCTACAGCTGGCCTACAACGAGCTGCAGACTATCCCTTCCGGGTGAGCGAAGGGGCAGGCCGCGTTCGACGATCATCAGGGCCCGGCCTCTCGTCGTCAAACGATCCATCGTTCCAGTCAGCGCACGTTAATCAAAGCGCGCACTGCGTGTCCATGCGTTACATCCCGGTTTTCCCATATGTTGCATGTCCTAAATCAAAACACTCCCAACAAAAAAAAAAAAAAAAGAGGCAACGAAAATATTTATGAACCTCGCATGTCGAAGCATCTTTCTCGGATCGTGATGAGTAGTAGTTCGCGTGAACGCGATCGTCGCATCGGACTCGGGAGTGACTCTTCGGTAGTTTATCGCGTCTCCTCCTGCAACGGACTGTCTGGCACAGCGTGAAACCGACGTTATCATCGGCATCATTGCAATCAAAGGGTAACGCCGAGGCGAGCAGAACCGTTTCACAGGAAATCTACATATCCGGGGTCGACTGATCTACGCGGTTCGAGTATATACGAGCACTTGTTTACGCATGAACCGTTTAGCACGTTCCGGCGGTAAGCTATAAAAGAAACGAGCAGTCAGGCGTATAAAAACAAAAACAAACGACGGTTACCGCACACGCAGAAGACCTCAAGAGCGATAACGCCGCCATGGTTCACTGCAGGATATCGCAGCTGATCCACCTACGAGATATCATCCTGACGGGAAATCGGTTGCACGGCCTCCCGGACTCGCTGGCGCTCCTTCCCGGACTGGAGGCGCTCCTGCTCAACTGCAACCACCTGGACGAGCTCCCCAACTTTGAAAACAACCACACACTCAAGGCAGGTCACCCATGCGTGACGACCTAGCATTCGAACGATGTCACTTCACCCGGGACGTTGCACTAACAATTCCCCGAGAGCTACAGGCCTTCGGATATCGGAATCAAAGCCACCGGATTGCAGGACAGATAAAACTCCGTAAAGGAAAATCGTAATTGCGGGTTATAAAACCGCTCAATAAAAAAAAAAAAAAAAAGGTAATCTCGAGAGAGCGAATTTATCGAATTTATCGACTACCTCAAAACCCCGAGCAAGCGTCCACTCAAAATGTGTAGATAATCGCGTAAAACGGGAAGGGGGGGGGGGGGGGGGGGGGGGCGCTCCTTAGGTCAACGATATGCAAAGATATGTACTGCGTGTATTTTCCGAATCTTACAAAATCGAGGGGTGGCGCTCAATGTGAAATGGACGAACGCTCGGTGTTTTACGTAACTCGTTCTACAGACCATCCCAATAATTGCCTTCTGCGTGCTACCGTCTTTTTCTACCGGGATGTGGAACGCGTTCTGGGCACCTGCGCAGTAGTCCTGTGGAACACCGCGCACGTGCTCAGAGCCCAGTGACTAAGCATTTTTTGACCGGGTGCGTCAAAAAAGTTGTACACATGGGTCGAAGCAATATACGAACATATCCGAACGATATCCGAACAAAGCGCAAAGGTCGTCGAAGCCGGTAGAGAGCGGCACAGTGTTTACAAACAAGCCAGCGTTCGCCCATAACCACAACAGGTGTGGGTTTTTATAGTCTCTCGGCGAAACGTCGGTTGCCTCTCTGAGGCTTCCAGGACTCTTTTTCGAGCGACTCGATATCCCCCTCACCGTTGAATGATGTTGAGACAGAATGAGGTCAGTCTCGTCGCCGAAGAGGAGCAATTTAGCCGGTGCAGTGCGACTCTTGACCCGATGTATCGAACGTGCATCATACAATCGCTGTCAAACAAGAACGCGGTGCCGAGACAACTCCCCTTATCAAAGTGAAATCGGTGCTATACATTATTCATTTTTATTTGGAGACAGCCGTTTGAAACGAGAGCTGCTCATGTCCGCAATGGATGAACGTTGAGATCGCTGGAAGACGTTCGGGCGGTAGACGAGTGAAACGTATATGCCTTCGATCGCATATTTTTTTGCTAATTTATGGTCATGAAACGAAAAGTACATCTTCCTTTAGGTTCTGGACGTATCGTGTAACCTCCTGAGCAAGGTGACCCTTTCTTCGCTGGTGTCACAAAGTCTACAACAGCTGGACATTTCGTGCAACCAAGCACTCTTCGTTGACACTCAGGAATTCCACATCCTCTGGTGAGTAAAACATTAAAACAACTGGGCTTCTTTTTCTTTAGTTATGCGCGAAAGTAATTTTGCGAGAACACGACCTTTGTGTCAAGTATATTATATTAATATATAATATACTCATTATGATGAGCTGCTTTTCCCCTTCTGGGGCACATTTGTGAACCCAATCAGTGAAAAGGGTGGTCAATATTTATCCTAGACATAAAACAAGTAGTATCCATTTTTTTTTTTTTCGGAGAATATTTGAGTGTCGGAATATGCGTCATCATATCTACTGCATCCGCCCTTGATGAGGACAATACATTCGCAACGGCGATGCTAAATAAGCAACGCCGTTGCGAATGTTCGTTCGGTTCAACGTGAAAAGCTTGCTCGTATGCCACTCACGACGTTGACGCGCACGGAGAACCTGTGATCGCATCTCGGTTATGCGGACGTCCCACAACTGTGGGAAGCCACGACCGTTTACAAGTACGAGAATGATGCAATTACAATACGCCTTGACGGTTTTCGTTTCCTATTCGCGTTCGCGCGAGACAGCGACGCCATAACAGCGCCCTAAGGTATATATATACCATGCAGTTGAGCGCGCGCCGCTCAGTCAACCTGTGACAAGTTTTCCCAGGACGAGCGAACGGTGCGACTCGTTTCCGTCCTTGGCGCTCCGTACACGACTTCCCGCTCATGATCGCGCTCACGGGGCGTCGGAACGCGGAACGCAGAAATATGCCGTAATCAACGGCAATCTTCCAGAAAAATGAACAGGTCTCGAGATGCAACGAGATAAAATAACAAAAGAAGCGAAAACTTTTTTTTTTTTTTTCCGCGCGACGCCTTTTTTTTGGCGCGCTAACGATCCCGACACATCGTGATGCTTGCTGGTGTGCAGAGTTTCCCGAGCCCCAGTGCAACAGCGTACAGCCGCGCCATTCACTTTCTGGTTGACAACTAGGGCGAAGAGGTAGCGGTCCGTTACGGTACGGGGAATATCACAGAAGAAGGAAACAGAAACCCGGAACTGCCATTTATCGCTATCCTCGTGCGCTCGACTGCAGCCAGTGCGCGCGGTTGAGCTGCAGTGTCAGACGGGCCGATACGTGATCCGCGCCAGATTTTGCAACAGTTTCTATTTCGGTCTTTCGCGCCCCGAGGAAGTCGAGACGTTGCAGAAATGTTGTTCTCCCCCGGGAACGAGTCCGAAACTGCTGGCCTTCGGTGCAAAGCTACTTCACTAACCGATCTCCACGCGCGGGAGCAGCCTTAATCCGAAATAAACGATGCACGAAAATTAAACGAAACATCGTTTTTTTTTTCTTTTCACGGGGACATAGACCTTACGAAAATGTCGTGGCCTAGCATGTCCCACAAGATTTTGGTTCCCCGTGGAGATATTGCACGAAACTGTCTTATTAAAATTATATGACGGAGCGACATTGAGGGAGAAGAGGAGACGAGAGAGTCGTGTCGACGTCAGAGCGCCAAGTTCTGACGTCGCCGCACGTTCTCATCTCCTACTCTCCTTCAGCTTGTCTCCGTATGCCTCCATTATGGATGGCGCGTGTATATGTCAAACGGTTTGGATGGTCTGGAATCAGACCCACCGGAGGACAGTTAGGCTAGAATCGGTGTTGAATTCAGTCGGACCAATTAGGGTGAGGCCACCCGGACACTGTGAGATAAATCGGTTGACGTATGCGGTTCAAAATGCTAAAATTATGTAACCAAAATGGGCTTCGCCTATAACCCCCCCCCCCCCCCCCCCCCTTTTCCAAAAAAGAATCGGTGTTGAATTCAGGACGCACCAATTAGGGTGAGGCCACCCGGACACTGTGATGAATCGGTTGACGTATGCGGTTCAAAATGCTAAAATTATGTAACCGAAATGGGCTTCGCCTATAGCACCCCCCCCCCCTTTCTCTCAAAAAAAAATTGCGTTAGTAAAGTTAGATCGTGACGCAATCGCGTATCATACCCACGTGTTCCCCTGGTTTTTTGCTTCCAGCTCCAGGAGAAACGTATCGGTAGTGGACACCAAGTTTTCCGGACGACTGGCGCCGCCTTTCAAGCCCAACGCGAGCAACCAGAACTGCCTCGATAGCCCTTTCTGGACGACGGGCTTCTCCGAGAGCCTCAAGGGACCCGCCAGGTACGGCCGCGGCGAAAGAAATCTCCCGAGAGTTCCGTTGCAGGCTTCGATAGCGCCAACCTCCGCATTAGAGCCACTATAATAAGTTACGCTTCAGAGTAACGAAGACTTCAGCCATCTTGCTGCTCAGAATTACGGTTGCCAGTTATCCGAAGCTCCATCTGAAATCGAAAGAAAAGCTTTTCCGTCCTCCAGAAATGTTGAAACCGTCCGTGACAGAGCGAAACGATGTCGCCTGAGCGTCCCCACGCCGTTCAAAAGCGCTCATAAAATCGGATTTTCGAATTGCAACGATTGCCAATGGCGGCCTCTCTGCACGAAGCACCAAAATGGCGGCGCCCGCACAAAAATAGCGGCGTCCACAAAACATGGTCCCCGATTTGCTTGAAATTTTGCTAAACTCGCCAAACAACATCGCCAAAATAGTATCCCAAATATTAGGTCAAAATAATCTTTTTTTCACGAAGTTATTGAATTTACAATTTTGGTCCTCACCGTGTTTTTCAAACTGAAAGTCTCTACTGGCAACAACGAAAAAGTGACGTCAGTGGAAGTGCAGGGGTTCACTCTTTGGACTGTAGAATTTGCTCCGAACTGATCCGAAGCAGTTTCATGGTGTCAAATGAATGCTCTGCAAGCTCGCTCCAGTCCCCGCGCTCCAGCACGGAACAAATGATTGGCATATTCTATTTTTTAGGCTGCTCGCTCGACTGGCAAGCTTGCCTTCCACTGACGTCACGGCACTGAAAAGTGCGGGTATATTTGAATGTTGGTTATTGCATCATTTTCATTTGCCGATTTCGCAATAACTATTATAAATTTCGCAATACGAAATAGCATACCGGAAAGGGTAAAGGCCGGGGAGTCAGAAAATATAGTTAGTTGAGGTAGCTCAAAAAACGCCGGAGTACCCCTTTAAGCGTAGCTCATTCAACAGAGTTTAAGTATAGATCGTTTCGATACCTCCGATACACCCAATATCGCTACGGTGCATGCGCAAAGGCGGCGACGGAGTATCGGGTATCGTTATCGAAGTTGTCAGAACGATCAACTAAAACTCTCTAGCGGCTCTACTCCGTACAAGACGTCAAAACATATGGGCGCCTAATGTTTGACCTCGGGTATCTTCGTGCCCTCAGACTCTACATCAACCAGTGCACGCAGCCAAGCGGCCAGACCGAGGTGCTCGCAGCCATCGTGGAAAGCCCTCAGCGACAGCTGCTCTCGACGGCCAAGACCGCCGTGGCCCAGCTCGTGCGCCAAGAGCGGCGCTCCGCCGAGTCGTCGTCGGTCTTCTTGCAGAACGTCCTGCTCTCCACCTACAGGTGCGTGACTGCGGATGCTTACGGGGAATCACCCTTCGTCCCGGACGAGTTTCAGACGTAGGAGTTAATCGTACGCCAGAAGAAAGAAAATGGGACTGCGTGAAGTCGAAATGAGTTCGCCAGCACGAACAAGGAGAAAGAGAACAGGTAATGAAGAACGAAAGGAAATCACCCAAATCAAGCCGACTACGGAGCAAATTTCCGGGTGTCTATGCGAGTGCAGTATAGCGGTGGATGCAACTTGGTATTCGTGGCCGTCGGAAAAATACAATGTCTCGTCGCTGTTGAATTCGGAGATGTCACGAGGTGGGCACCTATAGCTCGGACATTCGACAGGACCACCTAGCCTGAGAACGTCATTACAATAAAGGCAGTTAGATTTTTTTTTTCGGTAATGAGTAATAAAGTGTTTACGAGTCCAGCTATTTTGTAAGCGGACTGTATTTTTCGAGAAATTACTTCGTTATCTTTATTTTCAGTTTGCAAAGTGATAAGCGTTTCCAGCGCGAACTGCGACAATTATTTATATACGCAGCATCAGTCTCAACTACTTCGTGCCCCTTAATTCACCAAAGTTGGTTGTTTCCTCGGTATCTAGTGCCACTTCATGACTGTGGGGTAGTAGCAGCAAAGCAACTTCAAAGTAGTAATTATTTTAATTACTAATGTTACGAAATTATTTCAAGTTTGCGGTAATGCCTAAAGTAGTCAGTGTATGTCCATCTCCTCAGGGACCCTCTACAAAATCATTCCTTAGCAATTACGGTCCTTCGATAGTGCTAGTCGCAACACTTCTACTACACTCTAAAAAGAGAATAAAAAAATAATTTACTTTGTTTTTCTGCAGAACACAGAGAAAGCCCATTAGGGCGAACAATACAAGGATCCCAGCGAATGACGAAGCTCAGAATACAATTACATCTGAAAAATAAAACCTACACAGGGAGAATGAACATGACTGTTCAGTGTCCACACTCTCACTGTCCCTGTGCACATTGATTTTTCTTTTCTTCAGATCTAAATGTGTTCTCTGCTTTTATATTCACTGGGATCCTTGTATTATTTGCCGTGATTGGCTGCCTCCGTGATCTACAGAAAAGTGAGTTCAAGCTGGCGTTCATAGCGGAGAGTGCCCCATCGCACGACTCTGCGCAGGGCCTTGGGCAGCAGGGCCTGCTGTCATCAGCTGAACATCCTTCTCTGCCACCTGGCACCGGCCGACGCCAACATCAACGAAGACGGCCCTGCGTACGTCATGACCGTGGCCCAGTGCGGGGGAGCCACCTGCCTGCTTGCACACGGCGACAAACAGACGACGAACCTTTTCGAAACGAGCACGCAAACTACTACAAAGTGCATTGCCGAGGACTGGGACATGGCCGTTCAGGTAAGAACAAATGTTTAACGGATAGTTTAAACTGGTAAATAGACTTATGTTTTGTTTTGTTTTTTATTTTATTTTTTTTTTTTTTGGGGGGGGGGGGGTGGGGGGGGGGGCAGTGAAGACTCAAACCGAGCACCAAATAAAGTTACCAAGGTCCAATAAAGTTTCTCCCAGATAACTTTTTCAACGCTTGGATGCACTTAAAAAACACAGACGACGTCGGTTACTTTGCTTGCTGTATTCCATCTATTCATTCTATAAATAGGAGAAAGAAATCGTGATTAGTGAGAATTCACGTTGCTTTCCCTGGCATCGGTTCCGCAGGAAGGCTTCCAGACCAACATCAGCTCTTCTTGGCCGACGACCCACCGAGGGCCCCCTCCGTGCGACCTGCCTTCGCCTACCATCCGACACGTGACGCTTCGGCCAGATGACCGCCTCATCGTGCTGTCCACGTCCGCCCTGAGCGACGCCCTCGCCCCTGACGCCATCCTCGCCGAAGCCCTGGCGGGGCCCAACCCGATGGCCGCCGCCAAGCGGCTCAACCAGGCGGTGACGTCGCTCGTCAGCGACGTGGGTACCTGCGTCATCACCATCGGGCTGCAGCCGACGTCGCCCGCCGCGGGTGGCAGTCAGGGCAAGAGCGTCCATTTCCGCATCACCACCGACATCGACGACGAGCAGGCTGACGAGGCGGAAGCCTACAAGGCCTGGGAGTACATGCTCGCCCAGAACCACAAGATGCTTTTCAACCGGGAGCTCGAGACTCTGCACCGGACGTTGGTCAAAGGGAAGACGAGGCACACTGCGGGGCACGTCGCCGACCCCACAGCGCTGGCCGCCTCGGGAACAGCGAGGCTGGGCTCCAAGAAGAAGCGCTACTGCTACGGCCAGGCAGGAGAAGTGATGCCGACCAATATGTTGTAGTGGGCACGTGCCGCGTCCGCTGGAACCGTGCCGCGTGGACGCCAGAGTCCGGTGTGTCCTCGCTCCGCGACGCTGCGAAACTAACTTGTGGACGTTGTCATTTCAGTGCCACTTACCGTTCCGAATGGGAATAGTGTCGACTACGTACTGCATCTTGTGAGTGTGCCGACAAATACAGCCCTCGAAGGACACCGTTAACTCCGCAGCAAGGACGACGACAGCAATTGTTAACCGTTTCGGTACTGAGCATATCGAGAACATCCGGCACGCAACGCCACTCGTTGTTCCATCACGAGAATCCTCTTCGGCTGGAGCTCTAAAACGCGGGCTTCCTTTACGGGGTGATTGAAAAGTACTACAACCAATACAATTTGTGCATGGTTATACATGGTGAATCTACACGCTCGCTGCTCTTTCTGCGGTTGAATACGCCGATGGTTCTATATGGAGGTAGTTACGGCTTTCACGTGCATCTGTTTTAGTTGTCTGTAGGTAACTGGCCGAGATATATTCACCCATACATGGCTTGCACTGACGTTACATCGGCGGCCATTGTGGTGGTCTTGCTGCTGAGCGCGTGCCATTCTTCAGCATAGACTTCGTACCATCGAATTTTTCTCGGCAAAAACAAGTCTGAATGACCACAAGCAGATTGCGATGACGTCACCTGCAAGCCTCGTATTGGGTTCGCCGTATTAGCAGATTCTACTCGCACCATTCGACGGCGCGCCGAAACATGTTACAGCGTCACACGCTAGAGTTCTATAGCAGATCGTTCCGACACCCCCGATGACGATACCCGATACGATGCATGCGCAAAGGCGGCAGCGGAGTACCGGCCGGGTATCGTTATCGGAGTCATCGGAGCGATTTACTATAACTTTAGTATCTTCAGCAGCGAAGTCATCGTGATCTGTATTGCAGAGAAGTACGAAAATGGGCTCGGTAAAAGTCGTCCTCATTTTATCGCATGCTCGTTTGATGGTTCACTTGCCAGGTACATTAGGCGTGGATATCGATATATTTCTATTACAATCTTCGTGTGACTTTCTGATTTACCGCTGTTTTAATTCGCAAACTCTGTATGTCAAGTGTAGACTGAGCATCGAATTACCGTCAAGTGACGCAGAATACAAGTATGTTTAGGTGCTAATATTGCGTCAGTTCATTGGTAAGTCTGTCACCGGACTTGATGCGACGAAGCTTAAAGGGGCACTATAAGGTGGATTTTGGGATTTCCAAACCCAAAAATTACAATCCCGCTGGGCCGTTTTCGCCTTTAAAAACGCGACCAAACACCGCGACATGCCTCTAAAATATCCCAAAAAAAGGGGCGCGTCGCGTTGTTTAGCCACGCGTGATTGTAATACTGGGTTTTATCGGTTGCCTATGGTACGTAGATTGAGGTCGCGCCATAAAAAGATGTTCTCAAAATCCCCCTTAGCGTCCCTTTAACTATAAATGCATGCACAACGAAAGGTAAAGTACGAGGTGTCATCAGAAAGTTCCGGGACTTATTTTGTGGCGTAAAAAGAGAGGACAGCACAGTGATGCGCGCTCAGCAGTCGAAGGAAGGAACCTTCGTGTCTCGTTATACCCAAGGGCGCCGCTCTGCGAACATTTGGAGCTGCGTTTCACGAGTTTTCGTGACCACGTGCATGGGCAAAATGGCAATTTTACTATAGGCTACAAACCAGAGCGAGAGCGAACATCAATTCTGCGTCAAACTCGACAAACCTAAAGCAGAGACCTTCGATATGATTCAGCAGGCTTGTGTAAAAAAGCAGCGAATTTCGCGAAGTTTTTTAAGTGGCACTCGCGCTTCAGGAACGGCAGAACATCGCTGGAAGACGAAGAGCGGTAGGGCGACTTTATCCGACCTCTCCTTGACTTCGGTGACGTTCTGCCATTCTTGAGGCGCGAGTGCCACTCAAAAACACCTCGCACACCTCACCTTTTTTTCTTTTTTTACATAAGTTTTCTAAATTATTTTAGAGGTCTCTATTCTATGTTTGCTAAGCTTGACGTAAAATTGATGTTCGTTCTCGCCTTGGTTTGCAGTGTATGGAAAGATCGCCATCATGCACGTGCATGTGGTCAAACAAACTACGGTAGTGTAGCGCAGCTCCAAATGTTCACAGAGCGACGCCCTTTGGTATAATGAGACACGAAGGTTCTTTACTTTGACTGCTGCGCGCGCATCGGTGTACTGCCCTCACTTTCTACGCTACAAAATCAGTCCCGGAACTTTTTGATCACCCCTCGTATACATATATAATAGAAAGATGAACGCTAAAAAAGTGGTCGTTGCTGCTGCTTCCGTACACCTGCGCCAACTGATCGCTTTGATCGTGTAGAGACTGTGTTCGCGGCGTTTTGGACAGTTGCCGCTTTTCTTACGTAACAAGAGTGCGCTGTCCGGCGCATTTTTGTTGAGACACTGTTGAACATCGAAACCAAAATTTTAACGGACAAAAACTGACGGAGAGACAGCAGTGAGTGTTCCACTGATGTTCGCATCAACGCGCTGAAATTCCTCGTGAGCGTGACATGCCTCGCATTCCAATGCACATGGCAGCAAGTTTTTGTGAAACATTATGGTTGTGAATAAAACAAAAAATGCAACAATGTTTGCTGTGGAACAAGCCGTTTACTCGATAACCAAATTTTATTTTTCAGTTCTTGGAAACTTTCATTTTCACTCCCGCAGCAGCACCGCAAGTGCGCACGCTCACCTTTGAAAGAAAGACGTGCGCAGAGCGTGACACAGTTCTCTCACAGCTGGCAAGCTGCGCGGCACCAACTGAGGTGGTCAACTTGAGTATTCGACATATGAAAAAGCGTCGACGCCGTGCCCACGACTGCGTCGTGCAGTGCACCAGTATTCCAAACATCGGCATCCAGACACTCCCAGAGAAAATAAGGTTCCCAAAAATGATTGTTTGACCGTCGTCCGACGCCATTACCTCCGTCTAAACACGGAACAAGGGCGAAAATAAATCGTTCGCGCTCCAGACCACGCTGGCGACGCGGCCGTCCGAGTTAATGGACCAGAGCCGCCGGCAATTACCCAGTTGCCCTTCAAGGCCACAACAGTTAGAGAAAACCCCACGCTCCTCGTGGTCGCTTTGCGATACAAAAACGCAACCCTCTGCCAGAGTCATCAAGCCGACTTCTCCTCCCGGCGTGTCCTCCCAAGCAAAACAGCTGGGGCAACGTCCAAGATGTCTATCTGCGTCCGCGCTCAAATTAACCCTCGCCTTCTTACCCTCAATCGGGCGCTATGTTTTGTCTCCCGAAGGTGCACGCCTCCGGGCCACAGCCACCAGTGAGCTTGCTTCCAGCTCCGGTTGCGTTTGGGCCCGCCGGTTCCTCCGGTGTCAGGTTCCAAGGAGCGATTGCTGCGGGGTTTCAGCGCGGACTAATCTTAACAGTACGCACCAGCAGGGGATTCCCCAGGCCGTTGCGTAGATACGGGAAGTAAGAGTGCAAGCGGCGGTCTGGAAGCACCACACGTAAACGGACCCCGCCTCACGTCACTTCCCCGAACATTAACGCGGTGCTCCGAGTAAACGCAGACTCCATCTCGCACATCCCGTCGTAGACGGAAACACGCAACTTCCTGCTGCTAACAGGGTCACAACTCGGACCCTTATAAAGTGGCGCGGAGAACCCGGAGTCAGCGAGTCGCCTTCGATCCGAGTATTCGTGAAGTCAGCTTCCTCCAATCACGAGTACGCCCCCGACGCACTTGGGACTTTCATCTCGCCGCAGCAGAATGACGAAGAGTGTTCTTTGTGTCTTCCTGGCATTCACCTGCTTCGTGGCCATGTAAGTAATTTTTTTATATATTTATTGTTGTGGAAGCGATGCTTTATACGGCAGAAACGATCAACAAAGATGAATATCGTGTTAGATTTCTTATCCAAACACTGAATTCATTCAAGGTCGATCCTCAATCTGGGGGACAAGAAAAAAAAATAATAATTGTCCAGCGTCCTCGGTCCTCTCCGATAAGCCATTCCCAAGATTGCTTATTACCTTTGTCGGTAGCGGTAGAGCTCTGTCGGGCAACCTCAGTAAAACTAAAGTCTTTGCGGTAATTCCGGACAAGGTCAGCTGCCCGAAAGAACGCACGATGTTTAGAGAACCACCCCTTTCTTTTACCGCATAAAGAAACCCCACCTATAACGGAAGCCGTCGTTACAAAAAAAACATAAAATACCTCAGTTTTCATAACGCGCCGTCAACTCGGGTAAAGATTAGGAAAGAAAAAAAGGAACAGCCATGATTGAGTTGGACCTTCGGGCACGTCTGCAAGAATAGCTACAAACGTGCGCTACAACGAACTTCGCGAATAAAGAAAAGAACCGCCATCAATCTTTTGTAACTAGGCCACAGCCACGACTGTTTTTATTCGAAAGCCCGCCGTCCCTCACACTTAAATCCTAGCCGCTCCCCCTTACCCACCGATGGCCCTCCGTGATATGACAGACTGCGCCGTTTCAAAGCGTCGCCGACACAACGACGACGATGGGAGCAAACGCACAAAGAATGTCAAATTCAACAAGAGACAAAGCAAGAAGGTTCACGGTCCCTTCAACTCGTCCGAACCGTCCGAATGCCCCCTCCCGGGCGAACGAGGACGCTCGGTTCCGGCCACGCCAGTGTCACGCTCCCTCGAGCTCGGAGAAAGCGGCGCGCCGAGGCGTCCAGCGCTGGCCGAGGCTTCGCCGCGTTGCTTTCCTCGGTTTGCCTCAAAGGCACGCGACGTCCGGTCTGGGTGTGCGGTCTCTCACGGCGTGCTAATCGCAGGACCAAGTCGATGCCCGCCTGCCCGGAGTGCGGGGACGTGGAGTGCCCGCTGGAAGACGACTGCCCGCACGGCGTCGTCAGCGACATGTGCGGCTGTTGCGAGATCTGTGCCAGCGTAAGTATAATTGCGGCAACGGTTGATACTCGGTGCGTAGCTTGGCAAAGAACGAATGCTGCGGCACCCTCGAGACAACCAGAGCGCTGGAGCGAAGCACCTGGCAGCTCTCCGCAGGAGTGCACTCCGACGATACGCTGTCACGTGCCTCAGTCCGACGATCTGATTGGCTTGCTGGGGGGACGTAGTTTTTCGTCGTCTGTCAAGTCAGTGACAGATTCGCCCCGAGAGACCGCATGACTGACTCTTCCACTTTCCTACCTTTACATCGCTTACAAGTCCAAGACATGCTGAAACGTCCCCACCTTCTACCATCCCCTCTTTCAGCGCTCACAGAGAAAGGAAAGAATTGTAATTAGGGATGCCGGACCGAATAAGCGGATGACGGCATCGATAGGGAGTTTTAGTAGATCCGATGACTCAGATACTCTCGCCTTTGTGCATGCGTTGTATCGTTCATTTCATTTCATTTATTCAGTACCCGCGGCGCCTTTCAGCATTATAGCGGGAGAAAGGGGGGGGGGGGGGGGGGGGGGGATATACACGAAAAAGAAAACAAATTAACAGGTAATAATCTTCAGAAACATTTTTAAACCTTGCGAGATCAAAAGTATTCCGACACACCTCGCGACATCCAAAGCATCCTTCAGATTTCGCGTCACTCTACGCATTCCATCACCACTTCGAGACATTGAAAACAAATAAACGATACACGAAATTCTATACTTCTGAGTACACCAAGGTCTGCAGCACCTATATATAAAAATAATTACAATCTACGTCGTTAACTTCTGCCTGGGATTTATCGTTTATGCAATCGTATCAATCAAATGAGCCTACCGTTTCTAAAGCAGTATAAAATACATCGTTTAATAAAACTAAGGTTTGTTAAACGTAATTTGTTCCACTGGCACGCTATTTTTTTTTTTTTTTTTTAGGAAAAAAAAAACTCTTAAATGTCGCAGTTTTGCACCTATATTCACGCATTTTATAAATATAACCCACACGCGCGGATAGGTAATATGGGGGAAACAGGTAGGTTTCATGTGAGATGCCAGTCTGGGAGTGAAATATAGTGGAAAAACTTCAAACGAAGCCTTACTCTGCGACCATCCCAGTATATACTCCATTTCAACATTTGTCTTGAGGGCGTTGCACTAAGCTTTCTTTTAAAGATTTTCCTAAAACATACCTAGCCGCTAGGTTTGGAACCTTTTCTAATTTATTATTATCTAGACTAGTTGCTGGGTCCCAACACAGTGCAGGCATATTCCAATACAGGTATGACGTTTGTTTTATATGATAATTCCAACATAACCTGTGGAAAGTTGCGAGTGTTTCGGCGCAAGAAACCAAAGATTTGGAAGCTAGCTCAACGAGGATATGAGGTCGCAACCAAATACTTGTAAATTAATCTAAAACCGTTTTTAAACAAGTGTTGGTGATCGTGATATCGTAACAAGAACTGGCGGTTATCTGTTTTCTAGAAAAAGTCATGCGCACGGTTTTATCTAAGTTCAACTTCATCCGCCATTTTTCGCACCGTGTATTTATAATCTCAAAATTCCTTTGAATAACGAAATTGTCACTATAACATGCTACTTCTCTATATAATATGCAATCGTCTGCGAACATTCTGATGCATGAAATGACGGACTCAATATCATTTACACAAATTAAAAATCACAAAAGTCCTAAAACCGAGCCCTGTGGGACTCTTGACGTTACTTGTGCAATTCTTGATTTACTTCACTTTACTACAGCATATTGGCATCTTTCGTGCAAATATTCGGAAAAAACGACAACAACAACAACAACAACACAGAAGTACAAACAAGCCAGATATATGCCCCAAAAAACATGGAACTTCACCTTCTGTACATCAGGATTACGTGATCTTATTATTGTACACACACATGTGCTTTCCCAGGTTCTCCTCGTTGATCTGCACTTTCTTTCCTGTTAATATGATCCTGAGCTTCGAGAATGCCCTCTCAACGCTAACACTAGACAATGGCAGGCTGAGAAGATGAAGCGCTGCCTGAGCCAAAAATCTGCCAATCAACCAATTGTGACCGCCAAAAGAGAGACGGTGCGACGTTTTGAAGCTCAACACAACATGCAGAGCTTGCATCAAGTCAGTCTTCCTTGCAACGAGTTTGAAAACACACTCGTACATGGCGAAGTCATGGGGCATTTCGGATGTCATGCACGTCCCGATCGATGATGCGCACATTAAACTAAAACGTCGTGATGGCACCCGTGTGTCCCATACATTCGGACACGTTTCGATAGACACTGTCGTTCCACTTTTTCGCCATGGCTCTGCGGTACGACTGGAAGGTCAAAGCGACCTTTTCCGGTTAAAACTGAATTTTAGAAAATGTATTCGACGTACTTTTATAGGTTTTTATCGGTTTAAATTGAAAATGCCGAACCTAAAAACTGACCTTTTTCGGTTAAAACCGAATTTCTGAAAATGAATTCGGCGAACTTTTATCGGTTTAAACCGAAAACTCGGAACCCTAATCATAACACAATCAATTATGAGAAGTCATAGGTCTCACTCCTCAGTGTGGTGCCATCGGACCACTTTGCCACACGGTGCATCCTTCTTTCCTATGCTCTGGAACACGTGGAGGAGTATCTCACGGGTCGAGCTCTTAGATTTGACCGGTAGCACGCCGCCATTTTCCATCGGTACATGTGTTTTTGTTCTTCGTGATTATTGCTGTTGAAAATGTCTTTATTGGATGACTATGTTACTATCTGGTATTTGACGTCAAGTCATCTTCGGAAGATGACGTCAAGTATGGCATCAACGCCAATGTCCATGCCGTAATGACAATCTTTAGAGTCCTCGATGCTCTCGGCATCGAGTAGTCGAAAGACTGGCACAATGATATCCTCTCACCAAGGACACCGAGGAATCCACTGTTGTCCTGTACATGACGAGTGAATATGGGACCTGGTCAGACGATTTGAATGGGGTAGTTCGACAAAGCGTCGCTCCAGTCTCGGGAATCCTCTATCGCACGTGCTCCGTTGACGCTGGTGCCATCATCACCTTATTGTCTCGCTCGAAGACATCCCCGGGAGGAAGTGGCGTTGCGCAACTCATCCTGCTACCAATCATTGTGCCTCGGATAATTGGGCGAACCGGCCTTCCTTTCTCGATAGTTTAGCGTCAGCGATAAGGTATACACACGGCGATAAAGCGGCGGCAGGCACATCGTCGATCTTTGATCGATGGGGCGTACGTAGTATGTGCGCCCCATTGCGTTCCAGGCACAGCTGGGTTGACAGGTCACGGCTTGAGTTAGCATAATCTGTTTACGGGTGCTTTACCAATACGATATCGGCAAAACCGGGTCCGGAAGGGGATTGAGCAATTTCCGCTCGCTTCGTGCCAGTGCCGACTTCCGGACGCAACTAGAATATATGCTCCCGCTAGCGGAGCCATTTAGTTACTCTCGCAGCCAAACAAATCGCCCCTCCGAAGTTTCGATCTATCAGTACTTACAGTTCTTGGTGTTAATTAGAAAGCATGGCACAAATCTGACAAAGGAAAAGGTGCCAAGAAAACCCGGCATGAGACAACCCTTCAGCAAAGAAAGAAACACTTTAAACTTGTTTACATAAGACGCCGACGCCAGGGATCACGATTTCCTTGTATTTCCGTTTCCTTCCTGTTTGATATTCCAGTTCAACAAGTCTGAATGCAGCGTAACTTGACAAACGAGGAAAGCTATGGCTGCAGCGAGTCAATCAGTCAGAGCGAGGCGGAGAGCTGTACCGTGCTTTTACGTGCGTGTTCTGCTGCGCCCGGTCGGGATGAGTCGGGATGGGTTTGAGCTGTCGGGACCAGATAGCTTGAACGCAATCGTGCCAGATATAAAAATGTGCACTTCGGAACGCCGTTAATTATCTAGAGAATTTCGAACACACGAAAAATAGTGGGAAGGGTACTGCAAGCTATAATGTAGAAAACTGTGACGCACCTGACGCGCCGCTACGCCAGACATTGTTTGTCATGCATGTAATACAGGGTGCGGCAATACGACCTGGTCCAGTGGCGCTCAGGCCGAGGCGGCACAGAAGCCTTGTGATGGTGTTTCTCATGTATACTGCCAAATACAGAAGTGATGTATGTTCTGTGTATGGCAATACCAGCCTTATCATCACGCATTAAAATACAACTTTTTTTTTTTCTTACGGCATTGTTTAAAACTAGGAGTTGACCTTATCATAGCGAGCAAGACTTCCGACCCCGGCCTCTAAACTCGTCAAACACGAAGTTCGGGCCGAAGAGAGCGAACCGATTGCACTATCACGACGATCACTTCGCGCTTTTGTCGTCGACGTCCAATCGGCGCGCTCCGCGAACTTTTGGCTTCAACTTTGTGTTTGACGGGTTTAGGGCCCCCTAGGGTGCCTTCATGCGCGCTTTGCTTAGGGTGGAGACATTCGGCCATATTGTCCCACACTTTTATTATTCTTTTTTGTTCAGTAGCGCGTGAAAGAGCGTGTCCCTGCACGCGTTTCTGGCGCTGACTGTGCTATGGCGACATTTTGTTTTCGTCGATTTCTTTGTATTTTACCCGTGAGCGCGTGCTGTCGGCATCGGGTACTACAAAGGGTGGCATCACCCTAAACAGAAGGACATTGAGGCACCCTAGGGCCCCCCATCAAAGTTGAAGAGATGCCCCCCCGCGTCAGCCGCTTCTCCGAGCACACCAGTGCAAAGCGGTGAAGCTTGACGCGTGCGGCGCTGCGTGCATTTAATCCCCTTTCATACGCGTTTCATTTTGGCCACCAGGCCGAGGCAGTTTTCACTGCATATATGGCTAGCCGGTAGCTCCTTGCTTGTCTCCTTCACGTCTTATCGCGCCGGGAGCGAAGCCACCCAGCGGAAAAGGCCCGAACACATACTAAAGGCGCAAGTCGCCGGGCAATCACCGAGCTTGATTTGTTTAGAAGGTGCGCTTTGTGCTGTTTCTATGAATATCCCGTTTCCATTTTTTTTTTTTAATTTTTATTTTCATATTTTCGTCAGCGCGACCTACATTCGTAGTCAACCTGTATTGAACTAATTACGGTAGCTGTACGGTCTACATTCGTAGTAGATCTGTATTCAACTACATACGGTAGTCATAATCGCTATCACCCCTCCTCCTCCTCCTCCTCCTCCCCCCCCCCCCTCTCTCTCCGGTCGATAGTCTTCCATCACTACCGCCGCTCCATAAGGGGTCCCGAAACATCGCCGGTTGGGAACCACTGCCTCGGGCAATGAAACGGCGTTGCCGGTCTTCTGCAATCCTTCCGTTTCACTTCCAAGGCCTAGCTGGACACAGACGCGTGCGCATTGACAAAAAGCGTAAACTCGTGGCACGTTCTCTGCGCGCGATAGGATGAGCCGCCGATCGAGCACGCACAGAAAGCCGACTAACGCCGTGACGTCAAGCTTTCGGCACTGGTTGACTGGACCCTCGGCGCGTAACGTTGGCAGTTCTGACTTCAATATAAAATACAAGCCATCACATGAACCTTTTGCGTCTTCAATTCTGCTACAAGATCACTGTACAGCACGCATTCAGACTGGTTGAACTGCAAAAGTGGGCACCCTCTCTGTCTTTAGATGGGCCGTTCACGAGGCTGTTAAAGGCCAGCTGTTATGGTCTAATCTGTTGTCCCTTTTAGGCACGGCATCTATACCGCTACAGTGCACCTTTTCTTACAGGGCCCAGGAGAGGAATGCGGCGGCTACTGGAACCATGGTGGAATCTGCACGGAAGGACTCACCTGTCGTCCCAACTCCATGTTTTCCCAACTGCCCGGCCAGTGTGTATTTCCTACGGACTTGAGCTGATGTTCTAGTCTGTACCTTAATGGCGATCAGTCACCACCGCAAGAAAAACCGGCACCAATTTTATCAAGAAAGGAAAACGTCACATTTCTCTCAGTTACAGCGAGATCAGTTGGCCTACTCATGCAGAAGCCACGTTTGAACCAAGAGTTCTTCAGCAGTCATATTCGTTAGTCTGTTATGTGTAGAATGTATGTCCTACTACATTTTTAACTTATTACGCACACTCTCATCTCAACTGTTCATTATAATTTAACACTTATTTATATGTACATAGTATATGCTGAATATTATGCCTTTCACATTAGATTGAGACACCGTGCCTGATATGTGCAACGTGTGCTATCGCGTGAAGACTGTCTCGATCATGTGAAACCAGCAAGAAAAAATAAAATAATTATGTGCACCATTTGGAACCTATTGCGGTTACATTCATTCAACTGCATGGAACAATACTCATGTTTGCTTTCTTTCCGGGTACTACAAACAATTAAAAACACATGGTCAATACTTCTATAGCATATTTATTAGACTAAAAATAAAATATCAGTTGCAATATATTACACTCTCTAAAATATTTATATATACACACACAAAAGAGAGCACCCGATTTTCAATAGAACTTCCCCATCCTCAGTAGCGAATGCTTTGACAAAAGTAATATGCATACCGTAAAATACCGCGGAAGCACCCACTTAGTTCAAGCGTCCAATCTTTTCCCAAACTTGGGAATCCTGCAGACTATACGTTAAAGGGGCACTGACACACCAAAAATCTATCTTTTTTTTCTATTGTCTAAAACGTAGACAAATATATATATATATATATCGCAAAAAAAATATTTTCCATGCGCGCGCGCGCCTCTTTATTTTCGGCATTTTCCTTGCTTTTGATTGGTGACGTCAAAACTCATGAAATTTAGAAGCTTTGTAGGCGACATTTCTAAAACATTTAATAACGGCAATCGTAAAAGATGTTTTTCTTAACGGAATTGCAAATGCACTACGGCCCTTCTTTTTGAAATAACAAAAATCGGAGTCCGTTGTGATGTCGCCTTCTGGATTTTTATCCTCCCTCGGAAAACATGGCGGCGCTCGTCGCAAGTAGCAGATAGAGTTTCTGTATAGGCTCCCTACGGGACCGTAGGTAGCTATACAGGAACTCTAGTAGCAGAGGGTGATTGGTGAGTCGGGGAATCGGACGAAGTGGCCTTTTATAGGTGCCCGACGACCTCTCAGACTTCGAAAAGGAAATCGTCAAACGGTCAAAACAGTTGGGTTTGGTGTCTGCGTATCGTAGTTTCGGTTGTTCTTCCGCCGGGGCACCGTCGTCTGCTCGAAGCGATAGGCGGCACGGCACTCACGCTGGAAACCGGTTTCCCGGTACGGTAGTTCCCGCGACGCCGGCGCCCTTCTCTCCTCGCTTCGGGTCGCGGAGACACGTTTCGGAGCGGAGGCGCGAAAGAAACTCGACTCTCAAGAGCCCTCAAAATTTGACGTCACTCCACTGGCGCGGATCGCGCGGGAACTTCGAATTCAGCATTTGGAAATTGTTTTACTTCACAAATACTGAATTCCGAAGTTTCGAATTTTGAGGATTATGTCCAGGCATCGCTTTCGATCGTTTCAAACAATAAAAAAAATAAAAAAAGATTTTGATGTGTCAATTTACCGGACAAGTGCCCATGTCTAGATTAACCCAGTTTTCAGTGAAAGTGGGGTGGGCACTCCCCGGTAGTAGTACAAATGGGAGACCTTTGCCCATCAAATTAAGTAGGAGGCTTGTTCAAATAGAAAGCAAACTTTCTAAAAATAAAAATAACTCCTATGTTCCTCAACTAACCACACTTGTCTCTTTCAAAGTAGTAGTTCCCACTTGTACTTATGAAACTGCTCCCAATCCTTCTTCCAGTTCAAAAGGAATATACTCTGGAAATCGTCCTTTGCAATGTTCCACAGGTTTTGCAACATTTTTTTTTCTTCTTGTATCTCTTATCGCCTGGAATCAACAACCTGTCAGCATTAACATAAACTCTGGAAGCAGGAAGTCAGCAGGAGTCAACTCCAGGGAGCAAGGTGCTGTGGAACTGAAAGTTTATTTGCAACTGCATGCAATATCTTACAACACACTATATTTGCTGCGCTCAGAAATGGCAGACCCTACACAGACACCTCCACACTTCTGCCTTCAGAAAATCTGCCTTCAATAATATGGCGTGATTTAGCAACTTGGCGATTAATGCTGAATGCCGCCGCTAAACATCGCCATCATCGTCTGTCTGCTGCATCATCTACTTGCAGCCTACATAAATTCTTTGGTTTCTTTTTGAACAGGCCTCATACTAGTATATCGCATAGTGTCACTTCTAGTAGTGAGCAATACATGTGGCAAACATATTAACTTGTTTAGGGCAAGGGATTAAGCGCTACCTGTCAAAAAGCAGTTTGCAAACATCAAAGCACAGTAAACTCAAAAACATAAATCTAGACAAGGAAAAAACAGGGCAAGATAAAGGTAACCTTAAACCAATTTCTTTGTTCCCAGGAATGGTTGTTATACTCATGGTCAATAGCCACAGACATATATTCCTCTCTGGATTAAACCTTCACTAAGCTCATACATTCCAACAGCAGAAAGTCACTGGTCTAAGATATTCAGAACCCACTCCGGCTCTATTTATAGTAAACGGGGCTCCAAAGAGAAGACTGGACATTGACAATACTGTAAACAACCGAAATTTTGCGAGGACTTGTGTTTCACATATTTTTACGACTAGAAAAATACTGAAAATTTAATTTCTTGAATGTACCAGTCCGTGCTAACGGGTACATAGCACATCATTCCAAATCCCAATATTTTGTGGCCGCAAAATATTCCCAAAACCCACTCCACAAGATCTGTGAAATACCGAGCCTGTGAAAATCAAGTCGTTTACAACATACTAAAGGCAATCGATTGAATGTGAAATGGCTGGCAATCATTAGGCATGCACAGAATAAAAAAAAATAAAAAAAAATTAGTCAAGACTTTACCTTTATCATTTTTTTGTAAACATTCTAAAAAAAAAGAAAAAAAAAAACATACCCTTCTGAATTAAGAAAAAAAAATATATAATTGTTTTACACATAAAATATTACTTTCTATAACTGCATTTCAACTGCAAATTATTTTGATTTTGATGCACACATTGCAATAAAAGTTTAATTACAAGAAAACTCAAACAAATTACAGAGCAATGGCCCCAAAGTGTGTCGCATGACATGACCCACGAGAAAACAATTGAACTTAACGTTCTACTATAACATTTACTATGTCATATATCATATAAATCTGTGACATATTTGATTCACATTCAAAGTTTTAGATGTCCCTGACTGAGATTCATTAGCACCACTAGCAACTTCCAACTTGATCATCCAGAGCTACAAATACTTATGAGAAACATACACCACAACCACCAGGACCCTCAGATACTATGCAGCATCACTAAGAATTTAAAAAAAAAAAAAAAATGCTTAAGTTGATATTAGTTATGTGTTAAGAGTTGGCTACATTGTTAAGAAAGGAGTCCAATAGCAGGATAAAAATATAGACAAGAGGGCTTAGGGGCCACTATTTTAAAGTAGAACATATGTGCTTGCAAAGGCAAAGCACATACTTTAAAGGGATACTACAACGAAATTTCGGCGCTCATTTTTTGGTCTATATGTGTTCAAAAGAGCAGTATCACATGGAACATACCAATATCTTCTTAAAAAAGTCTCGAAAAAGAATTTTAAAACGAATTAAACGATTAGCAAAGAGCACCTGGTGGATGTTGCTAACGCCTCGTTTGTAATGCTCGTCTAGGAACCTTGACAGCTAGTGACGGAGGTTGTCTCGTCTCCGGCCACGACGAGAGAAGGGGGAAAGGAGGAACTCCCCTCTTCCCGAGAATCCCTTTTGTGTGTCGCAGAAGTCGCTACTGTCCCCCTAGAAGATTAACCTGTCACTCAAAATTCGTACAAAAGCAGCCGCTTCGGTGGCTGGAACGACTAGGCCATCCTCTCGACGTCAGCCTCGCCGTAGCTTTGCTCGTCTTGAGACGACCTACGTCATGATTGCGTTGGATGTCACGTGCTCTAAGCTGGGCCTTCTCTGAGCGCTTGCCAGAGTGGGCCGTTTATAAAGAAAAATACAGCCACCAGGATCAAAATACAAACGTGCGATTGTCATTTACGGATATTGTGGATCATATTCAACCTATTTTTGAACACGTCGGGAATATTTCAAATTTCGTTGAAGTATCCCTTTAATACTATATAAACATGCCCTCATAATTTCTATAAACCCAGAACCCAGTAAATATACTCATCTTTGGGAGTTTGTTTTGTAAATGGCATCTAGATTTTGCACAACCTTAAAGCTATGCCTTTGATTTCCAACCAAACCAAACCAAGGCTACATAAGTTATAGCTTGCTGAGGACATTGTCTACAAATTTTGGCAGATCAGGAAAACCACCTTCAAAAGCATGCTGGAGCACCTCTTCTATGTGGGTGACAAGATGGAATGTCAGGTCATCCTGTGTAGTAGGACAAAAAAATCAACATGTAATACCAATGTTGGAGGTTACACTCATTCAAAACACACCCACCCACCTAATTTTTTTCTTATCCCTACGCTAAGACAGTTTTCATATCCATGGAAATTAGTTCATAGCCTACTATATTCCTTCTCACTAAAACCGTGCAGTACATTCAAAGCTACAGGGGAGAGAGCATCCCAGCCTTTCTCTCCTGTTCCTCCTTTCCCTCCTCTTGAACAGGTTGGGATATGCTCTCTTCCCTGTAGCTTTGGCTGTACTGCACGGTTTTAGTGAGACGGAGTATACACTGAAACCCGTTTAGAACGAACCTACAAATAGCGAATTATTGTCAATATCGAACTTACGAAAAATTGATATAAAAATACATGTAAAAAGTACTTTCCATAACGAACAACATATTGGCTATATCTAACGTTTTTCTCCCGGGAAGGCTTCCAAAAACGCGCAAGCAATCGTCTTCTAGCCCTGTCCCTCCCTCCCCCCCCACACACACACAAAAGAAAGAAATAGGAAAGAAATAAAATTAAAAAAAGCTCAAGCCGTGAACAAAATTGACAAAGAGAAGCAATTCAGAAGGGGAAAAAGCTAAAAAAACACTCTGCACGCAGGCACAGAAAACAAAAAAAAAAATCTTCATCCCAAAGCAATTGCCCTCGAGGAGAAGTGATTCAAAAGGGAAGATAAGCTAAAAGAACAAACTCTGCACGAATGCAAAAAAAAAAACAAAAAAACAAGAACCTTTCTAGCGCAATTGCTACAAGGTGGAAGCGAAGAGATGAGAAAGAAAGAGAAGCTCTCACCTTACAACAAACACATCGTGGAAGTTCGTTGTAAATGGTTTTTGCTATATCGAACTACTTACTATATCGAACTGATAGTAGCGTTTCCTGCTGTTCGTTATAAACGGGTTTGACTGTAGTACTCAGCCTCTGACATCAGTATCACATGGTAGACTAAATAACTAACATACCAGCTTGGGACAGAGATCGTATAAATGGTACCAAATACCTCAAAGACCACAAAAGCAAACAAGCCCTGATTTAACCTTTTAGATTTTAAAACATGTCAGTTTTCATACAAAAAAAATATATATATAACACAGCTAGTAACTGATTTTCTCAATGAAACCCACAGAAAGATCAAAGTATGAGTCCTGAAAAACTAATTTTGATGTTTCATCAGTGCAAGTAAACAGCCTAGGTCAGGGGTCTCAAACTCATTTGAGTGTGGGGGCAGATAGCACCCCCCCCCTCCAACCCTGAAATGTTGAGGGCCAACATAGGGAGGGAGAGGGAGGAAGTTAATATATTTAGGACAAAAAAAAACAAAAACAAAACAGTGATGGTGTTCCATGTTCAAAAGCAGCCAAGTTTTTCAGCTACACCCAGAGATTTCCCCCCCCCCCCCCCCCCCCCAAAAAAAAAAAGGAATCTTGCACTGTTTGCTTTACATAAAATCATTGTATTGCCATAGAAGTTCCTTGCTTTGATTTGTTCATGGAACTACTTTGGGTTTGTACCTAGTGTGATTACAAGATTTAAAATACCACTATCCCGCCAACACACTGGAATGTTTCAAAAGAACTAGAAACCAAACACACAATCGTTGCTCTGTCGCTCAATTCACTCGGGAATTATCCGAGTTCAATATGGCTCGAAAAAAAATATTTTCATGCGGTAGTTTTTGCTTTCCTGACGTTTTACGGCAGAATTCTAAGGAAATGCTCGTGTCTTAAAGGTATGCAAGACGAAGCAATCCTCTATCTAAAAGAAAGCAGGTTGGTAGTGTCAAATATGTTAAAACGTCATAAGACCAGAGCTACGTTTCCAGTGGAAATGAATGGATGACAAGAGGTCGTTATTTATGCCGCATGCTGCGCTCGAGGCAGGAACGGGAGCTCGCTGCCACAGAATACCTGCGGGTTACGTCCCAGAGAGTCGCAGGCCACGTGTTTGAGATCCCTGTCTTAAGTAATCAGCCCCATGATATACTTTTGAAGTGGGAACTCAAAAGTGGAAAAGTACTTTTTAAATGCTTTACTGCAGCCTACCACAGATGACTGCCACCAAATGGACCTTTTTCGAGCAACGAGCGCCACAAGGCGGTTTGTCCGCGAACTACAAATGAAGGGCAGCCCAACAGGACTCCGCTCGTCAAAACGCGTCGACATTGTTCCTTTTTATGCCCCATGATACCGATACCCAGAAAAAGAATCGTCAAAAAAGACGAACTACGCGGAAAGATGAGCACTGACAATGTTGGTCGTGCGGGATGGTGCCCTGCGAAAATAGAGACAAATGGAAGCAAGGCCGGGGGAGAGGGTGTGCGCATGCGCAGAAGCTTACTGGAAAAAGGTCCGTTGGCATGCAAGCCAACAGCTTAGTGGCATGCTAGCCAGCAGGTTAAACAGTTGCCACCCAAGTTTTCCAAAAACTCCCGTGGTTGCAGATGTCAAGCAACACCTTCCTGTCTAGCAGCTTCAATAAACCCTTCTCAAAAACCCCTGAAGCTCATTCAAGGTGCACAAACAATGTACATTCAGCATCATTCTGTCAATCCAGCATTTTCAATGCAACACATTATACAGTCTTGCTATGGGATGATCATGAAGCGAGCTGCAAGATGTGCATTATAACAATTTTTCAGATCACCTGGGTCTTCCATAACATCAGAGTTTTAGAAACTAAGTCTTCTGTGGAATGAATCCTGTCAGACCACAAGATTCACTATTCAAGTTTCTGTCAATCTGAACAGGACATTTTTTAAACTGATCCCATATCAATATTCTTTACATAAAATGAGAAGGAAATTCCATTTGACCCTTTATAAATTACTTCTGAATGCAAATGGAAGTGAGCAGAGCCATTCAGTTCTCTTCAGAAAAAAAGCATTGTTGAAAAACAGATTTATCTCAAGATCTGATTATTTTGGGAGACCTTGCAGATTCTAGATAATTCCTAAATTTTTGAAGATGCAAAAAGATTCAATTGTTTTGAACTCTTTGTGGGACAAAACATAATTTCAGCAGTAGCATACTCAGAAGCAAGAAATATTTTACAAATTGGAAAGAAACTTTAAAGTCATGACTGGCAAATTTGTTTGATTGGATCACAGATATCCAGAGCCAGAACATGGCAGGATGCTAACTAATATGGTCTACTCTATCAAGTCAACACTGAAATTCTATAATCAAGTCAACATTGAAATTCTATAATCAAGTCAACATTGAAATTCTATAATCAAGTCAACATTGAAATCCTATGTTGCACCATTCACAAACACATACACAACCCACCTTGACAGATTGTGGAACTTCCTGCAAATCTTTCTTATTCCTCTTAGGCAGGATTACTTTGCACATGCCAGCACGGTGAGCAGCCAGCACCTTGTCTTTGATGCCCCCCACCTACAGCAAGATTGTTCAAACAAAACAGACATACTGTAATCGAAAGGACTCTGGCCCACTTGCAGTTGTAAACGACAGTCCACACTGCATACTTATGCAAAATTATAAAACATTTTGTATAACTATGCAATGTAATGGAATAAAAGAAGTTTTGCATAAAAGGACATCACTATCATGGACCTATAACAGTGACAGTCAAAGTGATCAACGAAAACCTTCCAAGTAATGCAAGTTTGAACAAAGATTTTATAAAGGCAATGTTTTGATGACAAAAAAACAGGATGCTTTCATCATTCTTTGACTTAAATAGTAGAGCAACAAGAAAATCAGTGAGCTCGACTACATTATTTACAGATTATGTCACATGATTCGTTAGGCCAGACACTGCAATAGAGCAATCATAAAATGTACTACAGTCATGTCTCGTTAATATGGACCCCGTTAATCGGGACACCCCGCAATATGGACGAAATTTTCGGCGACCGGTCTCCCGCCATGCAATTCTGTCCCGTTAATACAGAAACCCGCAGTCCGGACTATGGACGGCTATTTTGGGGACGAAACGGGAAAATACAGGCATTTTTGTCTCGTTAATATGGACACGTCTCCACGAAAAAAAATATTAGTGACCCCAGTGTGTACTACTCGGAATTCACCATTGCCTTTTTGTTCCCCGTCTGGTTACTTTGAAGGCGAGTCCACATACCCGACAGAAGAAAAGGTTAGTGAATCGTAGAGGTCACAGTTTGTACCCGGAATTCACTATTGTCCTCCGCCCTTGAGATAAGACCTGCGCGCCTGAAGGTGGTCGTTTTTTTTTTTTGTTTCTTGTCTTTCAAGCTTAAACGTATGCCATCTCCTTCCGGGTTGGCATACGTGATGAATCACATTCGCTGTGCATAAGAGGCAAGAGGCAAGGCTGGACGCTTCTCCGGTCACTTCGGAGGTGGAGACGATGACAGGTGTTAAGCGTAAACGGACAGAGCTTTCTGCTCAGCTGAAAAAGGAGATATGCAAATTCAAAATTGAAACGCCTTCAGCGTCTGTTCAGTACGTGAAAGAGTGGAGTGGAAAAAACCTTGGCGTTGATCTCGGAAAATCGACAGTCCACGCAATTCTAAAAGAATCAAAGATATTGGATGAGCGTTCCCACAGCCAGCTCCAGTTCTTGCCGGCAGCGACCCCCAAAGTTTGAGAAGGCCGTCAACATCTGGTTTGCGGAAATGCGCTCCAGAGGGGCCGCCGTCAGCGACGAGATGCTGCAAGAAAAGGCGAAGGAGTTCGGCACAACGATGGGTAAGTGAGTTCTGAGCGTATCTTTTTAAGCACTGAGTTTGAAAATGTTTTCTCAAAATGTTACGCATTCCTCCCCAAAAATGTTGTTTCTTCTAATGATTTTTCTAGTTGCTCTTCTCTCTTCAGTGGTTTTATTTTAATGTCTGCAATCTTCACGTCTTTATGCAGACATTCATGACCTGAACTACTCAAGGGGTTGGCTCAGCAGGTTTAAGAGAAGGCATGGAATTTCAAGCCACCGTATTCATGGAGAGAGTGGAAGCGTGGATACAGCCGCCGTTGCCAGTGCTCGGAAACAGCTTGCAGAATTTGTTGTTCAGTATTCTCCAGATGATATTTACAACTTCGACGAGACTGGCTTTTTTTACAAGTTGGGCCCATCTTTGACTCTGGCATCCGAACCTGTGGCTGGAAACAAGCGAAGCAAAGAGAGAATCACGGTGAGATTCTTGTGCAACGCGAGCGGCACCCACAAGTGGAAGCCCATTGTCGTGGCAAAAGCGGAGCGACCACAATGTTTTGGAAAGACATTTGACCCGAACATGCATTGCTCTTACAATTGCAACAAGAAAGCATGGATGACAGGAAAGATATTTGAAATCTTCTTGGCAAAATTCGACCGCTTCTTGAAGGCTGAGAAGAGGAGGGCTGTTTTGTTGGTTGATAACGAATCATGCCATTCTGTTCGTGCGGACTATGAAAACCTTACCTTGAAGTTCTTTCCGCCCAACATGACTGCCAAAATACAGCCCTTGGACGCAGGAATTATTCGCGCGGTTAAGGCACACTACAGAGGTGAACTTGTGCGGCACTACATCGCTTGCGCGGAAGACAACGAACCGCAAACTGCTGACTTGAGGTGGTGCCTTCAAAAGCTGAAGAGGGCGTGGGACGCGGTGAGGCCTCAAACCATTGTGAACTGCTGGCGTCACGCAGGTATTCTTGTTAACAGCTCTGCTATGGAGGTGGAGGATCCGATGGATGAACTTCGGCTCGCGGCCCTTCGTGAAGCTCTTCGACAACTCGGGAAGAAAAACCCAGATGGAGAGGCATCGGCATTCTTGGATATAGACGAAGAGACTAACAGCTGGGAGCCTATGAGCGACGAGCAGATCATGGAGCTTGTCGGTGAATCCGCTCAACAGGGCCATCAACTTGTCGAAAACTTTGCGCCGACAGAAACAGACGATGAAGAAGAGAGACGAACCGTTACTCGATGTGAAGCTCGCCGTTGCTTGGAGACAGCGATCGCCTACCTTGAGCAGGAGGGGGACGGAGAACGTGCACTTCAAGTGGCCGAAGTGTTGCGCTTTTTGGACACTAAAGTGGGATCGAAAGCGTCAGTGCAAACTCATATCTCCTCGTTCTTTGGCGAAATAAACAATGCTTTTTTTTTAACAATTATTACCTAATTGTAAACATTTTCGACGGACATCCGTCTGGTTAGGAATGATTAATAAATCTTCAACTTAGAAACTCTAACCAAGCTTTATTAAAAAGCAAAAATCCCGACGTTTCGGAACCAACACGGTCCCTTGATCACGGGTGACTGTTTTTGTCCCGCGGAACGGCCTGCCCACGAACCCGAACACCCCCGGGTGTTTTCCGGATTATCCCTCTTAAGGGGGGACATGGCCTCGGAATTCAAAATTTTCAGAAAAAAATGTTTTTTTCAAAAATAATATATTTGTGCTTATTAACTTCCAAAGAATGGTTTCAGAAACTTTCATTTATAAACATGCAGGATTTATCTCACAATGAATTATTTTCGACATGTCGGCAGCCCTCCGAGTCAGCAGGGAGCAAGTTTTTTGCATATTTATTTAGCACTGCTTTATACTCGTTTAACATAGCCAGAACATCTCACCCTCATTGGAAGCGCCATTTACTCTGGATTTAGCCCGTAGAAGCCTTTCAAGTTTAAAAGTATCAATGGCCAGGAGAACACCTTATATCCAAACAGAAAAAAATTGTGAAAATTTGGTATGAGCAATCTTATTAGTTGAGACCTGAGACGGGATTTACGATTGGTCCTGCCCGGTGATGTGATATTGTGCCATCTTCAGTAACACCCTTTCACAGTAACTTCCACTCTAGATCATATTTCTGCTCTGCTGCTCTTCCTTAGTATTATTTGCCTCTTAGTTCTTGTCATTTTATCTGTCAAGAAATGTCTGCTACGAAAGTTAGCTTGCCTACAAACGACGCAAATTGGTAGCTATAGCCAGGGGAACAATAAAGTGTCAAAGAGGAGGGTTCTAACAATGCGCCAAGTGAATTTTGCTACCTCAGACCCACAGAAAAGAAAGAAAACTAAAGTTGAAACTTCAAATGCATTTTTCTCAGTTTCACTTTTTGGCAGGAAATGTGGTATGAGGAAATGTATCATTCGACATTTTGAAAGTGTAAAGATTTCATTCAGTGTTGTCCTTGACTGAAATTTCCTGAGGATCAAGTTAAGGTACTCATAATCTGAAAAAGCTAAATTGTTCAAGAAAAAAACTGAATATTTTAAAACTCAGAAATTTGTTAAAATTGTTTGCTCTTTTTGAGCGTTATTGTTTTTCTCTAGAATTGCATTTTCTACAATTAATTTTTACCTTAACTTGCACTATGGGTATTGTACTTCACATTAAACCAAACATTTTGTGGATTGCAATTATTATTTTTCTTAAATACATTTCCTAATAAAGTAACTTTTTTCTGGAGTTTGTTAAGCATAGTATGTTGTAGAGTTGGCCGATAAGACTGAAACTTTAGATGTCATCAATCTTAATGGGGTTCATTTCACCCTGAAAGTTTGAATAAATTTGAGACATTGGTTCAAAAGTTGACCCTCCCAGGCCATGTACCCCCTTAACCCCGAAACGTAGCTGCTGGGAAGGGTCCCCGTCGACCGGTTTATGTTGCCACGTGTGCATTGAATGTGCCACGACTCCAACAGGAGGCGCCTCCGCCAGTTTTTCTCCGTTCCGAGGATGGAGCTGTTGTCAAGGTCGATGGAGTGGTTCGTCTTCTCGACGTGTTCGGCCAGCGCGCTTCCCTCCACATTTTTCTTCGCGATGTCGTAGCGGTGGCGCCGCAGGCGCTCTGGATAGTTTTTCGTTTCCCCAACGTACGACGCGGGGCAGTCACCGCAGGGAATTTTATAAACCAGTCCCTGTGCCCTCTCCCTCGGGGGGCGATCCTTTGGCAGGGGGAGAAGGCCGCCGATGGTCGAGACTGGCTTGTGTGATACCGCTATGCCGTACTGTCGCAGTACTCGGGCGAGAACCTCGCTTGTGCCCTTGATGTAGGGTACACACACGCGGGTGGAGGGAGGGGGAGGGGGGCGTGTGTGTACCCTACATCAAGGGCACAAGCGAGGTTCTCGCCCGAGTACTGCGACAGTACGGCATAGCGGTATCACACAAGCCAGTCTCGACCATCGGCGGCCTTCTCCCCCTGCCAAAGGATCGCCCCCCGAGGGAGAGGGCACAGGGACTGGTTTATAAAATTCCCTGCGGTGACTGCCCCGCGTCGTACGTTGGGGAAACGAAAAACTATCCAGAGCGCCTGCGGCGCCACCGCTACGACATCGCGAAGAAAAATGTGGAGGGAAGCGCGCTGGCCGAACACGTCGAGAAGACGAACCACTCCATCGACCTTGACAACAGCTCCATCCTCGGAACGGAGAAAAACTGGCGGAGGCGCCTCCTGTTGGAGTCGTGGCACATTCAATGCACACGTGGCAACATAAACCGGTCGACGGGGACCCTTCCCAGCAGCTACGTTTCGGGGTTAAGAGGGATAATCCGGAAAACACCCGGGGGTGTTCGGGTTCGTGGGCAGGCCGTTCCGCGGGACAAAAACAGTCACCCGTGATCAAGGGACCGAGTTGGTTCCGAAACGTCGGGATTTTTGCTTTTTAATAAAGCTTGGTTAGAGTTTCTAAGTTGAAGATTTATTATTACCTAATGTTTGTGTTTTTGACCTTGATTCGTTATTATGGACGATTCGCATTATGGACGATTTTTCTGGGGAACGGAGGCGTCCATATTAACGAGACACGACTGTAGTCCCAAAAGTAGGTGCTGTTGTAAACTACGCTACATTTTAATGCTGTTGAAGTTTGTAACTGTAGGGTAAGACTCTTTGTTGAAACGATTTCATGAACTCAGGATCAATCTGCTTTTAATATGGTACCTTTAGTGTTAAGATGCTATCTAGTTCCACAACTGCTCCACTTGATAACTCAAACATGCCATCATAGCTTAAAGGTACTCAATGCATTAAATTAGGGGTTACAAAATGTTTGGTCTTGATCAGCTCCTGGCCCTCAGAATAGCCGAGAAACCTCCTCTTTCCCATCTTGGCACTCTTGAAATCAAACATTCATTAGGTAACCAACTTTGTTAAAGATATACATACTAGAACATGCATTAGAAAGAAGGGTATGAGCATTTAGGACATATATAAAGGACCAACACACATCTCAGCTATGCTTGAACGCAAAAATCAGTCTGCTACGAGATTAAATGAACAGAGAAATTCGGGTGTTAAAAGAAAACCTGGGCATGAACCGGGGAACCTCGGGGTCCCAAGGAAACTAGCTGGTGAGTCCATGCATTAAAGGGAAGATGGGGCACTTCTACATTTGAGAAAAAACGCTTGAATTGCGTTCATTTTGCCTTTAGAATAACAGATATCAAAATTATATTTCAATGCGACGCGCCAGAGAGCCACAAGAGCAATTTCAAAATAGGGCTGAAGCCCCGCCCCCCTAGCCTTGGGCAGCCAAAAGAGCCGTCGATGACGTCACGGACAGCGACTGTCTTTCGCGTTTTTCTCGCGTTTAACAATACTTACGCAGCAAATGGTTTGGGTATTCGGGTTCACGGGGTAAAAATACACTAGAATTCACTTCTAACTCATTTTTTCCAAGAAGCTCCGTAGCTTCCCTTTAAATGATGAACAAAGGAAGAAAAAGGCTTCATGGAAGTATCATGGTCATTCCAAGTTGAACAGTCCCTCAAATCAGCACGGCACACATTGCAAACATAGATTACTTCAGCTAGACAAGTAAGAAAACATACCGGAAGCACGAGGCCCTGAAGCGTGATCTCTCCCGTCATGGCAACGTCTGGAAGCACCGTGCGTCCCGTGAAGAGAGACACCAGCACCGTAACAATGGTGACACCTGCAGAAGGTCCATCCTTGCAGACGGCTCCAGCTGGAAAGTGCACATGCACATCTGTGCCCTCCATGAGGTCAGCCCCCCGCTGGACTGGGATGCTGAACTGTGAAACCAGGAACCGAAACCAAACTTTATCTCTACGCAATGTGCCCTCCCACAGGGTCACACGCTGACAAACTGTAAAGGCAACATTTCCTGCAAAGAGCCACAGCATCGCTCACTTTGTCAGCATGGATGCGCAGCCAGTTGAGGGCCAGTTTGGCAGACTCCTTCATGACGTCCCCCAGCTGCCCCGTAAGCACCAACTGGCCATCACCTTCCATCCGCGATGCCTCAACAAACATTATTTCTCCACCGGCCACTGTCCAGGCCAGCCCCACTGCCACGCCCGGCTGAAGGAGCCGAGAGTCCATCTCCAGGTCATACAACGGGGGCTGGAATGAAGAGCATGGCTTTTTGCTTGAAAGCACATTTTCAACATTAACCGAGAGCTGACCCAAACTTTAAATGGCATATTTAAACATTAAGCGTAAAATTGAGGCATGCTCCTAAGGCAAGCACTAAGCTAAAAAAAAAACCCAAAAAAACTAGGTAGGCCTGGACAAAGAAACAAAACGCTATATTTGAGAGCATTTGGAAAAGAGAAAACATAAGCCATGTATGCAGTCACCCTTGAAAACACCATTTAATAAAACCTTTTAACACTAGCAACTAACGCTGAAATAGCTGAAGCTTTGTTGAACTATCAGAATGAAAAACTTACACCCAAGATATCCTCCACAGCCACTTCGTCAATGACGATGGGAAGAGATGGAGGGTGGGGTGCCACCGTGACGCTAGTCGAAACGTTTAAGACTGGCTCCTGACTTGCTTCCTCTGCAAGGTCAGACAGATTCTCCTTCTCCACAATCTTCACGGCCACTGCCCGACATAGCGCGCCAATCTTCCGCTCCAATGTGCGAACTCCAGCCTCCCGTGTGTACTTCACCACTAGAAAGAGAGGTTATGTGACCAACTATTATCCCACTTGTCCAGATTCAGCTTTCGCTCAAGAGGCAAAAGTAACCAGCTGCCTAGTGCAAGTCACCATTCATTTGTTAAAAGACAACTCAGGTGAAAAATCTAACCAAATTAAATGACGATGCCACTGACACAAAATATGACCACAGCCAAAATATTACATCAAATGAATGTCTAAATAAATAAATAAATAAATAAAAATAAAATAAATAAAGTGAAGCCACATACTCAGCTAAAACCGATATAAAAGATGCAACCAGCTGCTCTTTAGCAGGCAGTCAGTGCGTTAGCTGTTAGTCAAGCAACACTGGGCTATGACGTAATGTTGGTGCTTTGGTTCTTCTCCCATGCCTTTCCTTCGTAATGTAAAGTAGTAACTAGGGCTGCTTCTCGCGTTTTCCTATTTTTTTGTTTTGTCTTAGCAGTTTTCGTGAGCCTCCAGTGTATTTTTTTTTTTTTTTTTGTCTGATAGTGCTTCTGTGCGTAAACTATAGAAACAAGCTGTGCTGTTCTGAATTGTGCTACCGCACGAGCGAGCCAAATGCTAGCGTCATGAACGGCCCCAGAAAGTGGCATCTCCTGAGCAAAGAGTGAATGCTCTAGACCATGCAACATACAAAAGCAACTGTTGCAGGTTCTTTGCGTTTACATTAAGCTAGCAATATAGCTATCTGCTCCACCATGCAAACTCTTGTGCATAGTACACAAGTGCAGAAGCACCCACCTGCAAGCAAACGTACAGCGCAAGAAACTCGCGCCGATCAATCATATGATGCTACGGTATTAACTTCCTTCTTTTATGTATACTATCGACTTTCATTCCTGCAAGCAAGGTACATGAATGTAGCGATGCAGTGGTGCTGCACGTTTTGCACTGGCACCCAGTAACCGGCACCATCTTCAATTATGCAGAGTACAAAATTTGTTTTTTAGCTACTAGCTTTATGAATATGCACCGATCTTTCCTACATACACTGTATAAAATATGATGCAAAGGACTAAAAGATAAGCTGCTTACCTTACTTATTGAAATTGATAGCTTGGCTAGGTTAGCTGCGAGTCATACTGCATGTGGCAGAACCAACGTGACGTCGTCACCTTACAGCTGACGATCAGTGTTGCCATCCCTGTCTAGCAGATAGTTTTTGGTTTTGCCATTGACACCCGAAACCAAACTTTGAGCCATGACATTTAAAAAACTACACACAATATAGAAAAAAATTTGAGGCGTTTGCTAAACCAGCTATACCACTTCCAATGAAGACATACACAAACTGTTCAAGCACTTTTCTTGCGCAGAACTGCATTCTAACGGACGCTAAGTCAGATTTCTTGTTGACTAAAGAGCACCTTCAAAGGGAAGCGGAGAGCAGTAGAGTTAGCTGCCTCCCAAACACTTGCGTCACCAACTAACTTTGTATATTCACACACACTGCATGTCAACACGTTATGAGTTACCCCATACGACGCTCCCAGTCATTAGTTTGTGCCAGTGGCATAGACGGAGGGACTGTAAACTTAGGGGTGTGGCTAAACCCCGCCCCTTAGTTTCATAATTTTTAGAAATAATGACGTTTAAAACATTATACACCGTAAAGAATGCCATATCTTCATATACAGGCTCAACAATTAACAAATGTTTTTGAAGAGTCTTTTTTTTTTTTTTTTAGAGCTATCTTAGAAATGCAACCTCGTGACCTTGAATAAACTAGCCCATGAACACGAGTTAATTACTGAGGATAATTTGTTCACCTGATTCATATTTTGTGAAATATACAATTAAAAGCAAGATGTCATCTTGTTTCATGTAAAGAGCTCCATTACAAGACTTTTAGTTTGATTGGTACTGCTCTTTATGGCTCTCTGAATTTCAGCCCTTGACATATTACGAACCTTGGTTGTTTATGAAAGCCTAAAGAGTGACAGTGATGACGGTGACAGTCGTTTGTCATCATACAAATCTAGCTCAAAGTGCTGAATTTATTAAAACGTCGCTCACCCAGTTTGCTAATAGCATCGTCAGTTACTTGCATCATGTCATTAGTAATTCCGTGCTCCTTCAGTTGCCTTGGAAGAAGGTGATTCCTCGCAATGTGGTTCTTTTCCTCATGGGTGTAACCAGCCACTGCTATAACCTAGACATAAAACAAAGGTCAGCTCTATAAATACTTTTGAGGAGCCCCATGCTACTGCATCACTGCCACAGCACAGTGTTCTTAAAAGACCCACATATTGCTTAAATCCAGTATTAAAAAAAGAAAAACAAAACAAAACTGGGGGTTTTAAGTGCTATAGTTATTAAACAATCACACAACCACATGTGTACAATCGTTTTTACCATATTTGAGCATTGTTTCAATACTAATCCTTGTTTTATTGACACATGAATGTTATCAGGAAAAAAAAAAAGTCTCATTGGGGTCAATGTTTTGTACTCAGACATGTCTTCGTAGAGCATTGTACCAGTTAAAAAGTGGGGCTTTATGTGAGGCTTTTCCAGTGTACAATATTCCCATATTTGTTGTGACTCAACCCTTCATATTGCTTAGACTTGCTTCATTGATAAGTCTGTCAAAATTCAAAATACTATAAACCATCTAAATGCAACAAGAATGGGGAAAAGCGAAATTACCTCCATCCTGTCCAGCAAAGCAGCTGGGATGGTAGCTAAAGTATTTGCCGTAGCAATGAACAAAACATTAGAAAGATCATAAGGAATGTTCAAGTAGCTGGATTCATCATTTAAGGAAGACAGTAGGTAAATGAGACACTGGCGATTTTCAAATACAATAAATACAGAATGATGCTCAAGAAGGATACTGGTCAATGAAGGCACAGTTTTGCTCTGGATCCAACACCTCGAGTAAAGCTGCCGCAGGGTCTCCATGAATACCGGGGGTCTGTGAAATAAATAAAATGGGAACAGTTATTGCAAAATAAAGAGTAACATTTTAGAGGAACATCCAATTCGTCAGGCTGCTTGACTTTGCCAATCAAAAGAAATTTCTAAAAACAGCAATGAGATAAAAGGGTCTCACCATTTTGTCAATCTCGTCCAGCAGAAAAACAGGGTTCTTGACGCCCACAGTCCGCAATCCCTGGATGATTCGGCCTGGCATGGAACCGATGTAGGTCCTCCGGTGGCCCCTGACATCGGCCTGATCGCTGACGCCGCCGAGCGATATCCTGTCCAGAACGGTCACAGATCAGTGCAACATGTCGTAGCCAGACGCTCAAGCTAGAAACCGCCAGGAGACAAATTTGATGCTATCCAAGCGTGCTATTTAATCTGGTCAAACGCCAACTTGAAAATGAAGCACCTGCCTGTAAAACTCTCGGCCGAGAGAACGTGCGATGGAGCGTCCTACACTGGTTTTTCCAACGCCAGGTGGACCCACAAAGCAGAGTATGGGTCCTTTGAGTGAACTCTTGAGCTTTCGGACTGCAAGATACTCCAGTACCCGCTTCTTCAACTTTTCCATGCCATAGTGATCAGCATCCAGGTCCGACCTGGATGGCAATGTTATCCAAACAATGAAGGCAGCATAAATACCAAGAGACTCGCAACCAATGTTGTGTATTTTCTAGTCGTGTGCAAATAGTAGATTTTGAGCTTGAAGCAAATTCAGCACAAATAGTGGTTTTGGCCGAATACTTTCAAATTGAATAGTGTAAACCCCTTCATTTTTGAGGGCCCTGTTTTTCGCGAATCGGTCACAGAGGACATAATCGCAGCCACTAAATATAGCGAATTCCAGACGCCGAAAATGAAGCTCTTAAGAACTGAAATTTTTGCGTGCCCTTATATTTCTCGAATTATTCAATTCATTAAATTCGCGAAAATTAAGGGCTCACGAACATTAAGGGTTTTTGCAGTAGTTTCTCCAACCCTTTCGCTACCCTTGCAGCATGCTTCAATGAAAACCCAGCTGAACAGAAGGCGGCTGCTCCGAAGCTTACACTTGTCCATTTTTAACTTGATTTGAATCTAACTAGTATATTTATGAACTGTGGTCTCAGAAAGTCCAATGCCGACATTGTGATGGCAAAGAAACGACGGATTTGACGTAAAATTAAACCTACAAAGACGCCCAACCTACAAAGACGCCTAATCGAAGGTATTTTTCAATCTTGCTATATGCAAATATCCTTTCTTCAATCTCAAATATGAAAAAAAAGAGAATCTTAAATGATTAATGTAGATTGTCAGGGTATCTGTGCCTAATACATAATCTTGCATAATAGCCACACTTTAATTGTGAACATTTTACTGCAATGCAGGTATCAACATGGGCTTGGCACGAACGTCAAGATGTGGGTGTATAATTTGTTTGTTTTTATTATGCAGTTACTGCTTGGACTTTAGGCTCCATCAGGACCCCGGGGCACGATCTACATCTTTCCGGAACCGGGTGCAACTCATAGTCCTTCTCCACCGATCATCGCCTCCGACTGGACAAGATCACCCACTGTGCCTCTTACAAAAGACAGCGCCATCGACAGAAACTTCACTGGACTTGGCACAAACGTCAAGATCCGGGTGTTTGATGCGTTGTCTTTATTAATGCGAAAGCATTATTGGTCCCAAGGAGCGAGGCAACGTCATCAGCCGCGCCAAATGGCAGATAAATTCCCCTCTCCCAATGGAGCGAAATGAAGCCGCGATCTGAGGAATCCCAGCTTTGAAGCCGCGCAAAAAAGCCGAGCCAAACGGCAAATAAATTCAACTCTCCAAGTGAAGCCGAAATCTCATGGATAGGGCTTCCATTGGCTGGTGCACGTCATAGTTACAAGGAACGAAGCTCCCATTGGCCGAGGCGCGTCAGTTTCAAGGAGAGCCACCCCAGGGTGCTACGTGCCCGCACCAGATAAAGCCACGCCAGAGCGCGCCGGGAAAAGGAAGCGTGTGGCTGGCCGAGGCCATCATTGATCCCAACACTACTATTACTAGGAGTGGGCCATCGTTTAGTGGTTAAAAAAATATTGCAAATCAAGCCAAAAATAAGGGAAGGCTATCCTTCAAGGGTTGGGCATCTCTTGGGATTTTACAGTACTCATTTGTTGGAAATCACAACTCGTACACTGCAAGAGTAATTCGTCACCTCGCCTACATCTCGGAATATCCGACAGATCTGTGTCGTGTCACCGGAAAAGTCAACATGCCAGCCGACACACTTTCTCGTATTGACGCTGTCTCCGAATCTGCTGTAGTAAATTTTTCGGAATTTGGCGTTAGCTTAAGGAAGACTCCCAATTGCAAAATTTTTGGGTTTCTTCCACTTCTCTACAGCTGCAACCAGTCACACTGCCATATGCCAACTGCGAGGTCATCTTAACATGTCAACTGACACACCTCGACCATACATACCTCAACGCAACGCCTTGTTTCGTCCCGATACATCCGGCCCCGAATCAACTTTGACAGCCCACTGTAGTCCAAAATATGCGGCAAAAAAGCCAACGTGGCAAAGTTCTTTGACATAGGAAGACGCCGCTGCAGGCATTTCGACCACCAGATGCCAGATTCAATCATGTACATATAGACATTGTGGGCCCGTTACAACATCTAACGGATTTCGCTATATCCTGACATGCGTGGAGATTCACCTGATGGCCAGAAGCTATTTCATGCACAGACATTACAGCGCATGCCTTCATCTCCACATGGATTGCACAGTACGGTTGCCCCTCCATCGTTACAACTGACCGTGGTCGACAGTTTCAGGGTGCATTTTTCACCGCCTCCACCAAGACCTTAGGCGTACGCCACATACACACAACAACGTACCATCCTTCGGCAAAAGGAATGGTGAAGCGGCTACATCGCCAACTAAAGGCAGCAATGATGACAACAGAAGATTGCGCCCATTGGATTCGTCATCTTCCTCTTGTGCTTTTCGGAATTCGTGCTACCTTTAAGGCTGACATCACCTGCACCTCAGCCGAGCTTGCCTACGATATGACACTTCAGTTACCGGGAGAATTTCTCATCTCAGTACCATCTCCATCTACTGACATCCCGACGTACCTACAGGACTTGAGGAATTCCTTTGCCTCCCTACGACTAACTCCCGACGAGAAAACAGACTGCACTGCAGATCTCCATCAGCGATGATCTTCGAACGTGTACTCACATATTTGTGAGGAGAGACAACGTATGATCTCCCCTCACGCCACCCTATGACGGGCCATTTGAAGTTCTTTCACAAACAGAAAAGACCTGCGCGGTCAACATCAACGGATGCCACAATGTCATCACAGTGGACAGAGTGAAGCCAACCTACTTGACTTCTTTGATAGATATCGTGGACTTTTCCATCCCGCCACTACGAAAAACAACCAAAGTCACCAGCTCTCTTCAACCACAGCCACAACTCCCCACAAGACCGTTACATGGAGCCAAACTACAGAATTGTTTCCATGCAACTAGGGGGGGATACTGTAGAGCCACAGCTGAACAATGGGAGCGCACCAAAACAGACCATGATAAACAACATTTTTGAGGGATAAACTTATTCATATATTTCACAAATGTTTCATGTGTCCACTAGAATGAATGAGAAAGGTGGATCTATACTCGACCTAGTACAGTAAGCTCGCTTATGATCAGCAGGCCTATGTAGAAGAAATCATCAAATATCTGCTTTGCATGTGTAGCCATTAATATGGCAAATCATAATTTCATCTTGCATCATATTTAGACAAATTTCTGATAATTCAAAGTTGTGATAATTCAAACAAAGTTTATGGCTTCCCGGAGTTTCAATTACTGAGAGTCTACTTAAATACAGTGTATTTGTTGATGAAGGAACCTCGTATCATAAGTTAGTCTTTCCGTCTCGCTCAGTACCTTGTAATAAAAATAACATGAGGTTAACAAAGTTATCTCTAAGGATTATTTGAATAGTGAGGATGAGCCAGTGATAGATTATCTCGAGAGGTCACTCGATGAATTCGGGAAACACATGCATATCAACAAGTTGTGGAACAGTTTCAAAACAATAGCATACTGCGAGGACAACTTTATACCAATGTGGACTAAAAACATAAGGCTAAATCCGTAGATAACTCGAGAAATTATTCATACCAAACGTAAACTAAAACATAAACGGTCGATAACAAATTCAGCGTTGAAGTAATGCAGCTAGCGGAACAGAAGTAGTTAAAAGAAGCAAGAGAAAAGTATTTTTCTGAAACACTTCCCAGTCTTATGAAAAAAGAACCACAAAAGTTCTGGCATTATTTGTTGCCAGAAACAGAGAATAATACTGATTACTTTCGGAGATGTTACATCTACACATGAGGTTGATATGGCAAATGCATTTAATGCATATATTCAGTAAAATTTCAATGTGGAAAAAGATATGGTACTCTCTCATGAAATAACTTCAAACTTTGAATCAAATATGCCACAACTTAGCGAGAGTGAACAAGGTATTCTGCCCCTACTATTTAAAATCAATACTAAAAAAGCACCAGGGACAGATAAAATAAGTACCATAGTTTCCGGACTATAGTCCGCACCTGGTGCTTAGTCGACACGAAAATATTCTCTTACGCGGCACATTTTAACAAATAACCGATGTATTAGCTCACGAAGAAGCTTATAATATACATAAATCATCATTAACATACTGTTTCATTTCACAAAGTCCGTCTCATCTCGTCATAATCAATGATATTAAAAAACAAAATCCCTGTATAGTCCACACAGCCTAAAATTTCAGCTTTTAAACATGTATAGTCCACGGACTATATAGCCCAGAAAATATAATAACTCCTTTCTGGAAAAATATGCATAATGGATCGCAAAATATTTAACCATCATAGACAGCATATCTCTTCTGCACTGTTAAGTGCCAACAGACTGGCTTCGTGCCAGTCATTCCAATACCTAAAACTGGAACCAAGTCACAGTTGAACAACTATCGACCTATATTGCTTCCCTCGACGTGCTGTGAACTATTGGAACACACAATAAGTGAACACACCAGGACTTCCAAAGAAGAAAATAACCTATTTTTTTTCTAATCAACATGAATTTAGAGTTGGTGTTTCTACGATTTCACAACTAAGTGAGATAGCACACGATTTTGTGGCTGTGATTAATAACAGGCCAAACGGATGGTATTTTTTTCGATTTCTCAAAGGCATTCGATATGGTGCCTCACAGTAAGCTTATCCATAAACTTTACGCTGTCGGTGTTAATCACAAACTTGCATCCTGGATAAGGGCCTATCTGAGTGCGCGCATGCAGTTTGTAGAAATCGGTAGACAGTGTTCAAGCTCACTCGACGTATATTCTGGTGTACCACAAGGTTCAGTGCTCGGGCCCTTGTTGCTTCTCATCCATGTAAATGACATGGGCATAAATGTTCAACCATCAGTAAGGTCAGACTCTTTGAGGACGACTGCACTTTGTATTGCAATAAGACCAAGCAGAACGACCAAGAACTTTTGAATTCGTCATGAAATGCTGTATGTAACAAAATGGTGCTTAGAATGGGGAATCAATGTTAACCACTAGAAATCGGTAGCAATGACAATAACCCACAAAATAGAAGTTATTGATTTTCGGCACAAGATTTATTCCACTCCCTTAATAAAAACAGACCAAGTGAAATACCTAGGAATTCAAATAACACATGACTAAAGTGGGACGCACATCCTAATTACATATGAAATACTGCCCATTAAAAATTCGGCTTCGTGAGGAGACAGTAAAAAAAAAAAAAAATAGGACGCAAGTTAACCACGTACAAGTCATTAATTCGGCCTACATTAGAATACGTGAGCCTTGTTTGGGATCCTCACCAACGAATATACCTATCATATGAAATCAATAAAATTAAAAATTGGGGCTTATGATTGATCTCAAAATAGAGGCGCATGGAGAGCGTGACCAATTTGCTTGAACAATCAGAATTGCAAAGTCTTGGTGTTAGACGAAAGATTTCACGCTTAAAGTTCAAGCATCAACTTTATCATGGTCACCATTAAACTCTGATTATTATTTGAGAAAAAAAACAGTATAGTCGCTCTAATAGAACTAACCATACTAAGATTAAGATGATCAGACTGCGTATAAGCCATAATGACACATTCAAATATTTGTTCTTTGTTCATAGCATTGAAGATTAGAATTTATTTCCAGAATTATTCAAAATTTCTGAAGCTTGGTCATTTGTGGATGGCTTCACTAAGTACTTCCGGGAAGTTAATTAACCACGTTGTCATTGATTTGCCATGTGGGATATTCCAAAATCATTCACCTTTTGTGTCTAGTGCCTTTGCTGAATACAGTGAAAAACTGCCAGTCTTCAATTGTGAATTATGTCATTGCTGTATTTTTTTCCCTTAACACAGGCTGGATTTTTACATACATGCCATAATAACGTATTGCGTACTCCGTCATTATCTACTGATGTATTGTATCAGATATTCTTTTATACTGTGTTTTTATATTGTTGTTTCATGCTTTTATACAAACTATTGTTGCCTGTAACCTGCCAGGGCCTTAGAAAGGTTTGCAGCATTTCAAATAAATAACAACATTCACAAACTTTCCATCTATTTTTAAATACACTAAGCTCAGATGTGCACCATCCTGGTTTAAAAGTGTGCTTTTCATCTATGCACACGACTGCAATATTTGCACTTTTTGAAATGTCGACTGCAACGGGTTAGCCCTGTTGAGGGCACTTTTACACCAACACAGTGTTTACAAACAAGCCCGCTTTGCCCACAGCAGGTGCGGGCACTGTGCGTGTGCAAAAACCAAATTCGGGAGGAGTGAAGCTTTTGCGCATGCTCAGTACCGATAGCGGGACCACCGCAGTGGCATGACGTCAGTGAGTAGAGTTGGTCTATTACCGAACACCGACGCACCGCAGAAAAGCAAGCAACCCGCAGAACTCGCTTCCACGGGTTGCTTCTTCGCAGTGCACCCGTGCTCGGTAAGGCAATGGGGTCAACCCGCCGTGATCAACACTTAGAAAAATATGAATATTCCAGTTATCTCGAACGATTATCAAATAACATATTATTATAAACTACCATTTGAAATTTTAATATTCGCACAGCACTAGCATTTTCACAGAGGCACAAATAAATTTCACGCAGCATCAGATGCACGTTGTGTACCAAGACCAAAAATCAAACTCACCGAGATTTATTGAGGTCAACCACCTCAGGGGAGTACTGTGACCAAGGCAGATCAATCAGCAATTCCAAATAGTTTCTGGTCATGGCATGTTCCGGCATATGAGGAGGCATTTTTTTCAATCTCTGGCAATGCATGCAGGAAGAGTGTAAGAAAACTGGTTTACGGCAAAAGAAAGCATGGAATCTAATGTGCCAGGCCAATCAGCAAATACTTTAAACTACCGCATGAGTCAAAGGGATCATTGGCTGTTTAAACCTTTAAGCGCTGTGGACGAGCGCAAGTCGTCCACGGCATTCATTCCGCTAACGCCGAAAACAAGTGTAACTCGTCGGCTCACTCAAATGCGTGCATGGAACACAAGAGACATGGCACTCTCTTCCACTCTGTTTTCGCTTTGCGATCAGTTCTCCCGCTAGCCAGAAGGAAGATAAAAAAAACAAATTTTTTCCAATTCCAGCTTTTATTTGCAAATTTCTTTGTTCCTTCAGCAACATGGGTGTTAAACATGGCACCCTTTTTCAGAAGTGACTGTCATCATTCGTCTCGGAAGCGCGTTTCTTTGCCGAGTGTGGATTTTTCGATTTCAGATGGCGATAATTTCGCTCTAGACAATAGTGGTAAAAGTGATAACTCTACGGAGGAGTATAAAAACTCGGAGGATTCAAATGTCAGCGACCATGGTCTTTGCTTCGGCCTGGCTCTGGACAAAGGTGGACACGATAAATCCTCCACTGGCACCTTTTCGTTTTCTCTTTATAGCCACACCCGGTGTCAACATTTATCTCGATAATGATGAACCTTTCGACGTGGTAGACTACTGGAAACTTCTTTCAATTGCTGATGTGATGAATCAGATCGTCTCGAATTTCTGCATACCATTATGATGCAAATTTAGATAAATTTTGAATCTAACTTGTAAATATTGTAGCCCTGTGCCATATATATGTCTAGAAAAAAAAGAAACCTTGCTATAAAAGTGTGCACAAAAAAATAATTGCATTTCGGTGAACTTTTTTTGCATAAATTGGCTTCTTAAGGTACCACGCTATGATTTAACACAGTGGTGGAAAGTGGTGGACCACGTGTTTCAAAATTTCACTGAACGAACTTACCCGAGTAAAAAGTTAAAAATCCAGAACTTGCGTCGAGCACTTACCTAGACCTATGACCTTTTGGAGCCAGAAACAAGGCACTCTTTTTTTTGTGCCAATTGTCAATGCATGATTCTTTCATTCTTATCAATTAAACCTCAAAAATGAACTCAAAGAGGAAAAAACAAAACAAAACAGATGTAAGGTACGTTGTTGGGCTAGTTGGTTCATCTTAGTAAAACATAAAATAGTGCAACAGAAAACAAGGACAAGAAGTATACAGGCGCCTGTCCTGTATACTTCTTGTCCTTGTTTTCTGTTGCGCTATTTTGTTTTACTAAAACAAAACAAATGTGTTGTCTCTTGATGTGTTGCTGCCCAAACGGATGCCTTTTGTTAGCATACAGGCGCCGTAGGCAGGGATTTTTAGGCTCTTGACTTTTAACTTCTTACTCAGATAAGTTTGTTCAGCAAAATCTTGATACACAAGGTCCACCACCTCCAAGCACCTCCATGGTAAATCCTAGTGCGATACATTGAGAAACCAATTTATAGGGTCCCTTTCAAGTAGCTAACGATCCTCTTGACTCCCACGTAATGCTAGAACTCGTCAATACTCAACGCAAGGTATTTGAGTACCCCAAGCAAGTGCAATTACAGTCGAGAAAAATAAAGAATACACAAGTACAAATGAATTAGTTACCTGCAGTTCTTTAGTGGCAACCTTTCGTGCGTGATCTGGCATTTCTGCAGCCCTTGTAAAAGAAAACAAAAAAACAAATAAAAGATTGAGAGACATTATATTTCGCAAATGAAAATATGTTCACAAAAAAACACCTTTTGATATGCAAACCATTTTTGCAGAGCTGATTTATCACCAGACATACCCATCATCCCTGCTCTTGAACAAGCTTTTACCTACATCCTGTCAATTCAAGCCTTTCGGCACAAGTTCTTTAAGTCGCCAATACAGCTCTAAGCGCTGCCAGGTCACATGATGGACAAGGCAAGTACCGTAGATGGGTTCGCTTAAAATAGGGTCAGCGAAGACGTCAAGCCAAAACCAAAATAAATGCAGGAGCACGGACACTCCTCTAAGTTTGATGCATTCTCTTGTACCCAGATGTTTCCAAGCATGTAAAATCTAAGGTCTTGATTCTTTGGAACTAGTTTCTTCCTCTAAGATATTTGCTATAGATATTTGCTATAGCAACTCACTTTATAATGTAATGGCTAAAACAAAGGAGAGAGATACATTCACTGTGGGGGTTTTGACATGCTTTCCCGTAAGGTAACCCCATGCCATTTGTGGTTAATTGCTATTGACCCAGAGCAATCTAAATTTAACATTTGTTTAAAACCATGCTTGATGGGCTCGAACTTGAAAATACAGCCCCCCCCCCCCCCCCCCCCCCCCTCAATTTCATCAAACCATTGTGATATACCACTTGCTGAATGAAGAACATTGTGAGAATACAATTCATATCTTCTACATGGTTTAACAATGCACACTCTTACGTACCGAGTGGCAAAAAAACTTGGCATGCCAGAGTAAGCCCTAAGCAATCAGAGCCTATACCTGTTTTCACATCAAGAACCGTCGTAAAAAAAGTCCGGCTCCAGGCGGAGCATTACTAATTTCCCTCTTTAGCTTGATAATTAAGATATATGTAGGTGAATTTTAGATTACATGTATGCTATCTTACCAAGACGTAAGCGTTTCAAACGCCAAAAGCATCGCTTGTTCCTCCGATAACCAAATCTCGTAAGAACTACTTCGCGCCGCGTATGCACAATGCGCAAAACTTGCTTTTTTCTTGAAGTGAAAACGGGTATACAAAGTCACTCCAAACTCTACAATTCAATTTACAAAGAAAATGCACAAACTTAATTTTCTTCTCCAACGATCCGACCTCATCGCCTTCCTCAAAATCGTCGTCATCAATGTCCAGCTGCTGCCTTGGACGGTGTGATGAAGCCAGTTTTTCCACCTGGAAAGACCGTGATGTGCTACCATCCTTCTTTGCATGTTGCAGGAGTTGAAGACCCTTTGGATGGAACAAGGAAAGGCATTTTGCTTTCATGCTGCACTGCTGATGACTGAGGGGTGGTAGCACCAACAATACACCAGGGGTCTTTCTGTTCCAAGTTACTCAGTGCCCAGGCAATAGCAGTACACGAAGTTAGAAACCTCCACATGCGATAAATCTGCACCAAATAGTACTCCTAAATGTTAGTAGAAGTCATTATTGAAGAATGATTGCTGAATGTAGGAACGCTTCAGATTTAAAAAAATATGCTCTGCTGGGTGTTTTCAGATAAGTTCGGCCGACCATGCCCGATGACCATTTTTAAATATTACGAAAAAAATATATTTTTGTAGACTCAAAGCCCATCAGAACAAAACCGAAACTTGTTTTGCGAAAAAAATTTTTGTCTTTGCGGAAAAAAATTAGAAACCCACACTCAGTGCGAAGTGCTTCCCGCGAAGTGCACGAAGTTGGCATTTCGGGCACCTCTCCCAAAAAATGTGTCATGGCTACAGGTTCAGAAATATTTACTCACAAACTATGTATAAAGAGGATGGACTCAAAATATTTATCATTAAGTATCGACATTGCTAATTTCTAGAAACAAATCGCAAACTTGGCACATTCCGCAAAAATACTTACATTTTATTAATTTTTTTTCTCCGCATCTATTAATACCAAAGCTTTCAAACTTTGCCAGCGTGTTATCCCGTATCTTGTCAATATTGGTGCTAAATATGGTTGCCCTCGTCAGCGAAATAAATTTATGATAAACGCTTAAATTGGGTCATTTAAATTTTGAAACTCAATTTTAAAAAAAAGGCCATCTTCAATTTTTTTTAAACTCTCCCACATTAAGGCCAATCATAGGTACTAACAGAATCTGCAAAAACATGTTGCATTATTTTTGTGTATTTAAAGTTATAAAGCTAGAAATTTGACCAAATTGAGGCTGCCGCAGCACCGTGAACGGGTAACCCATAGATGACGAATTCATTAATTTTACAAAGTGTAAAAATGCTCGTGTGGTAGAAAAAAGAATTTGACGGCACAAAGGCGGAGAGTGGTTTTCAAGTGAGAATTCTTCATGCGTTTTTGTATAAGAGTCGCAGAAAATGCGCGCGGTCCGGAGCGATCGAGAGGCACTGTCATGTCGCATGCTTCGCAGGGCCTGTTTTCAATAGCCGGCGTGTAGGGTCTATGTGTACACCACGTATACGAAGGTGGCTCAGATGTTTATCTCAGCTTTTTGCCTGGCGGTAACATGATATGGCATGGTGAAAACCGGTGCTTCTTTACAGCATTGGAGCTGCCACCGTGGTGGACTGCCGTGGTGGACCACCGCGAAGAGAAGACAAACACTGGAGAAAAGCATACCGGATATTTGAAAGTGATAGCAGTGATATGGACCCCAAAGATAGCGTTCACTTTCACTTGCCTTTCTCGTGGACCATCCGGCGGACGCTTTGTGAGCATCGTCCGTGAGTATTGCACACGCATAGTGTTCCCCGCGTTTTGATGGCTGAATCGTACAGCTTAAAGCGAGTGTTCTCCACCGACTATCTCAACAGGCACAAGAAAAAAATAGAATATCAAAAGAAACTTTTGCAATGTGAAGGATTTGGACATTGCTTTATTAAGGGGGGACACTGGCTAGAGGTCAAACTTTTGAACTACTCAAGTGATCGGAATGAAATATTTAGGGGAGATTTAGCTTCAGATGTAGGTGTACTGTGAAAACTTTCAGCTCTCTAGGACAAATGTACATACCTGCATAAGATGATCTGTCACTTTTCATTAAGAAATCTATGATATGCAAATGAAGCTATTAAGCATCACTTTGACTGCTTTAATATAAAGTGGGGGATATGGGACTTTGGGCTATCTAGTTTTAATAACTTAAATGTAAATATTTCAGGAAGAGTTATTACCTCAAACTATGAGATGCATATCTGTCCTCTGTCAATTTTTGAAAACCTAATTTTTTGTCACTGAGGACTTCAACTTAAAACAAAATAAAGTAGATAGCCCGATTCCTGAGTAAATTTCAGTTCAGAAACATCTTGATTGTGGTATCGGAATACTTTCACCTTCGAACAAAAGATTCCTTCGTATGAAATTTGCAGCAAAAAGTGGAACTGAGAAAAATGCATTCGAACATTGAACTCCTTTACTTTGTTACTGCCTCACAATGTGTTGAAAACATTTTATATCAACGTAACTATTTGGCATATGGTTATCAAATTTGGTGTAAGGGTGTATAATTAGTTTCTAAAACTGAAAACCTCAAAATTAAAAAATGAATTTTTTCGAAAAAATTTAAAATTTAGGCCCATGTCCCCCCTTAAAAAAGCATATGCCAGAAGCAGCTCACACCATCCGAGATGCCGACGTGTTGTGTCAGAACTGCTTCAACCGCTTCGAGAAACTCGCCAAAGAATCTCCCAAAGCATCTGAGCCTGACGAAATTTTTCCTCCTCAGGAAGCAGCCGTCGAGGATCTCAACAAATTCATTCAGTCAACAAAAATATGACCTTTGAAAACATGGACCGAGTTGAAATCGTATTGTTGGAAGCCTTACGTAAAGCGGAAGAAGAGGGAGATCGAGAGCGTTCTCGTTAAGAAAATTTCCTCAAGCCTTACTGCAGCATATGGGGCCATGGATGAGCCTGGAGCCTGGGTACAAAGCTGCAAGATCTGTCCGGAGTTAATCAGCAACCTGAGATACGCGTTCAATTCTTCTGATTCGTACCAAGAATGATGCCGTCTCCTGACCTTGCTCCCAAAGAATCTCTCCAAGCAACAGATCCAAAAGATGATTCCTTCAGCAACTCGCCACTTGATTCATAAAGCAAGGAAGAACCAAGAGACACTCGGAGTGCGGTCAATGCCTGACCCCTACACAAGAATTAGGCTGAGCCAAGAGGACGTTCAGGCGGCACTGAATTACTACATTAAAGATGAACTCAACTGCTCCCAACAAAGCCCGAGCAAGAAGACAACAAGGACGTTATTAGCATCATTTCAAAGGGATAAAAAGAAAATGTGTCAAAACGTTTTATGACAAGGTTTATTCGTGAAACTATCCGGTTGTTTAAGACGGCTCACCCTGACACGGCCCTTGGGCTCACCAAGTTCTACTCATTGAGGCCAAGGTGGGTGCAGTATACATCTTGGCACGAAGTTTGCGTGTGTATGTATTGCTCTCACATGAAACTAAGTGTTTGTGCCTTAGATAAAGCCACTGGAATAATAAGAAGTGCTGAAGATATTCGTGAACTGACGATATGTGACATTCCATCTACAAAGTGTTTTCTCGACCAGTGCAGCTCATGCCCAACAGCTGAAACTCTTACTGCGCCTGGGCTGGGAGTTCCAGATGATGATGAAGTGTTGTACGCAGCCTGGGAGAAAGGAGAGCTGATAAGAAAAGAAGTGAGTCCTGTTACGTTTGTGGAGCCCCTTCGAGAGTGCTTGAGAAAATGGGTGCAGCATGAATACATTCGACGCGAGCAGGGCAAAACGATAAGTCAAGCAAAACAATTCCTAGAGAAAAATAATGTCCTGCTCCACTTTGATTTCGCTGAAAACTGGACAGTTCTACTGCCTGAAGAAGTTCAGTCCTATCACTGGCAAAAGACGCAAATTTCGATCTTCACATGCGTGCTGACAACTAGAGACGGAACGCGTAGCTGCGCCCTCATCAGTGATAACACCAGCCACGATTCCACCCATGCATGCTACGCCGCTGTAAAATTCACGAGTGGCTTGAGGACGTTGCTCCGCTGTACGCGCATGTGACATACGTCAGTGACGGTGCGGCAAGTCATTTTAAGAAACGGTATCAACTTCATGAGCTCACGAAAACCAAGTACCTGTCGGTCAAATGGCTATTTTCAGCTACTGGACATGGCAAGAACGCCTGCGATGGGATTGGAGGCCTTGTCAAACACCATGCAACTCTTTTAAATCTCCGAGGGCCTGCCACATCAGCTATTAAGTGTGCGTCAGATATGGTGGACCTCCTCAAGACGAAATTACCGAATGCTGCACTAATTCACCTGCCAAGGCCTGACGTGCAGGTGCTAAGGAAAATGAAAATGAGAGACTGGGATTTCGTCCGGCCCGTGCTTGGAATTCAATCCTCGCACTTCTGGCAGTGCAGACCCGTCGACCCACAGGGGCATGAATTGCTGGTATCAAGAACGGAAGCGTCAACAAAGAAGCCACTTCAGAAATAAGACTCGCTTCCACCAGCAACTGTGAGCAGTGTCGTGCAAAGCGGCTACAACAAACATCATAAAAATCTGATGACAAAGAATTATCAAAACAAATTTACACCCTGGGTACCCTTCAGCATCTTTTTCTTCGCGTTTTAAGGCCTGCGGGTACCTTTGGAGGGAAGAAACCTGATCCTCGGGCCCGGTCGGCGCGCCCTGCTGTTTACACCAACGCGCGCGGGAGAGCCAGGCGGGGTAGGGAGAGCCAGGTGGAGCGTGCTAGGATGCCTCGATGTCTGAGATAAACATGTGTTAAGCGGAGCCGCTTGGGTCATTTCCTTTATGTGGCATACACAGAAACCTTATATGCCGGCTTTTGAAAATAGGCCCTGCTAAACATGCGACATAAGAGAGCCTCTTGATCACCCCGGACAGCACGGATTTTCTGCAACTCTTATACATAAATGCACTAAGAATTTTCACTTTAAAACCACCGTCCGCCTGTGTGCCGTCGATTTGTTTCTTTTTGACCACCCTCGAGCATTATTACACTTTGTAAAATTAATGAAATCGTCATCTATGGGTATCTACATATCCCATTCAAGGTGCTGCGGTAGCCTCAATTTGGTCATATTTCTAGCTTTATAACTTCAAATACACAAAAATAATGCAACATGTTTTTGCAGATTCTGTTAGTACCTATCATTAGCCTTAATGTGGGAGAGTTAAAAAAAAATTAAGATGGCCTTTTCCTTTAAATTGAGTTTCAAAATAACTCGTAATTATTAAAATGACCCCATCTGAGCATTTCTCATAAATTTATTTTGCTGTTCAGGACAACTATATTATGCGCCAATATTAACAAGATACAGGATAACACGCTGGCAAAGTTTGAAAGTTCTGGTGTTTATAGATGCGGAGAAAAAAATTAATAAAATGTAAACATTTTTGCGGAATGTGCCATGTTTACGATTTTTTCTAGAAATTAGCAACGTCGATACTTAATGATAAACATTTTGAGTCAATCCTCCTTATACACAGTTTGTCAGTAAATATTTCTGAACCTGTAGCCATGACCCATTTTTCGGGAGAGGTGCCCAAAATGCCGACTTCGCGCAATTCGCGGGAAGCGCTTTGCTCTGATAGTGTGCTTTTAATTTTGTTCCTCGAAGACAAACATTTTTTTCGCAAAACAAGTTTCGGTTTTGTTTTGATAAGCATTGAGTCTACAAAATATATTTTTTTTGTAAAATTTAAATATGGTCACCGGACATGGTCGGCCGAACTTATCTGAAAATACCCTGCTAAGCAATTTAATAAAATATAAGCAAAATCCCATATGCTACTGCACTCAGATGTGAAAGCCTCAAAATTTTGTACTTTTCCTAGAAGTGTTCCCCATAAAGTGGTTTACATTAATTACCTCGGAATTATTGCAAACAGCAGAGGATGCCGTTGGAGGAGAAGTTAAAGCATCAAGTGCCCTAGCTCAAATCTCGGATCTCAACAACTCAAAGTCACAACACCATCCTACTTCCTTCCCATATACCTGAGAAATATAGAACTCTTGTTACAAACAAGTATAATGACTGCATGCAGAAGTTTTCTTTATTCTATGCTGCACCGATGAACTTTTACAGGAAGTTTCTGATGTCTATGCTCAACAAACGGAGTGAACCGCTAAATAATGAGGTGGAAATAGTGTGTGAACCAATGGAAATGAACAAACTCAACCCTATTAAGTTAACTGCAGCTAGATGCAATGCACTAAAAAATACCTATTTTAATTTTTACAAAGTGCACCTGATAACTATGAATGCCGATTTAAACCAAAAAGCAATGTTTGCTGCAGTGTGTAACAATTTTACACAAGCACACATAGGCATCAAATATATATACTTTTTTTATATATATATAATCCCATGTAACACATTTACATGCCCTGGAAATGCTCATTTGAAATGGCATTCATGACTTCTGTTGTGAATTTTCATTACCTACCACAAAAAAATAGGTTCTCTCAAATCAAGGCTTTGGCTTACCCCAATACAAAATGTTGACAACCCCCAACAAAATGGTCACTGTATGCTTTTCTTGTTTTCAAAACAACTTTAATACTTGGAAGAGTGGACACAGTTAATAATTATTAACCTATACAGCAATCTTCCTTACTTTTGGAAAAAAAAAAAGTAAAACAAGCATCGGAGGCAGGATATGTTAGTTTTTGTAACTCAGGCAAATAAATGATTATCTAAGCACTAAAAAAGAATGAGACAATGTGAATCCCCTCATAAAAATGTTGTGAACCACAGCTTGCAGAGGGTTCGGACACATACCTCAATCTGCCTGATCAGCAAAGGTAGTGTCTTCTTGAAGCGATCACCCAAATCAACAGCGTCGAGCACCTGAAGTCGTTCAGCGTGTGAAGCCCTAACTATTGCTGCACAGACGTCTGGCAAACTCTGGACTGGAAGTGAAACTAGGAGCCGCTGCAAATGAAAGGTCAAAGTTAGTAATCAAACTTGCTCAACTTGTCATATGAGCAGGGACCTAGCAGATGAAACGCTTAATTACCTTCAGCCTCACGATGGAGGGCACAGACAAGTCCAGCATATCAATCAACTTTGTGGCTTGTTCTCGAAATTGGTCCATGAGCTCACTTAATTCTGTGTTGGGGTCATCAATGTCGATAGCTATGTTAAAAGGAAAATATTAATTAGTGCCCACCCTCACGAGGTCACTTGCCAAAACATGCGTCCATTTTGTTATCATTAGTATTCAAGCTAAATGCGAGGGTTCATTGTTTAGAAGTTTGCTCAGAGCAGTTTACCCGAATGAGCCCTTGACTTTGGTAAATTTAGCAAAATGTGTATCACTAGAAAAATTCACTGCACAAAAGACCAATACTAGCATACAAACAGTGATAAAATAAAATAACAGACAACTTCACAAGGGTTGTCTAACCAAAGTTCAACTAGTGAACGCTTAGAGTTAGGATATGAGGTAAAAAAATGAACTCAAATAAGCAAGACATGACCGTAAGCTTGCAATCTACTCGAACAAACAGGAGATATGTATACTCCGCGACAAATTTTCTTGGCAATGCAGTGGAAGGTATGTCCCGTTTCCCCTCTCCTATTTTGAGTGCACGCAAGCTCTCCTCTCCCCGGAAATGGGGGAGGAGGAGAGCCCACGCACCTTCAAAATGGGAGAGGGGACGCGGGACGTACCTTCCACTGCATTGCCAAGAAAAGTTGTCGTGGAGTATAGAGGCCGAGTGAATATTAAAAATTGATTCGACACTTAAACCTGGTTGGTGTCATAAGCATGGAGGCTTATCCTGAAATTGAGTCAGGGCTCAGATCATGCACAACAAAATCAGCATCTGGAGGCTCAACCTGAAGGCTAAATGCTAGTCGCACAACTTGATCGGTCGAGCCAATTTTATAGGCTCCAGGGGAGAAACAGCATCAAAACTGTGAGCATGCAAGGCTCCAAGAGTGTACACGAGGCACCAACCCTGTTCCAAATATTACTCGACCGCAATAATAGTGACTGTCATTTCAACAACCCAAAAGCCTCCGAGAAAGGTCTACAGGCTAAAGGCCACGGTTTCAAGTGGAGTTTCCACCACACCTGGAAGTTTATCCAGCTGAGAGACGTTGCCCACGAGGTAGGGCGACTCCTGCATGAGGCTGTCGATGCGGAAGCGGCACAGCCCCGTAACCAGGAGCGTGTACGAGGGGCGGGGCCAGTTGGTGCCTGTCACCTGAACTACGATACCGGCTGTGCCCAAGTGATGCATGGACCATGCTTCTTCCTGCAACATAATTAGGTAGAGGAAAATGGTTTTCAAAGGCCCACAATTAGAACCTTAAAGGGGCAGTGCAATGATTTGAATGTTGAAAGAATTGGCAGCTTGCATTTTTTATATTGTTTATGCAAGACCAAGTGACCAAAAATGCTTCACCTTCCCCCAAAAAACTGCTATTCTGCTGCGCAATCGCAAAGCAAAAAACGAATTAATTACTGATCTGCAGCCGCCTGTCGCGGTTATGGGAACTAAAATGACAGCGTCTCTGGGGGATACGCGGAAGTCAACAAAACCTGTCCCCCTCCGCTGCTACACTCGCCGTCAGCCCAGTGGCGAACCGTCCTTTGTGTCGATTGCACGCCGCGACCTTCGACGATGCTAATCCTTTAAAAGTCAACAATCGCAGAGGAAGTGGTTGGGGTCTCTGAAGAGAGGACCCAAAGGGAAACCACGAGAACACCCAGAGTATGTCACTCGAAAGTCGACGTGGAGTTAAGAGGCACTTTGACCTTCGATTTGTTTCATTTTTTCGTAGATAACAACTAGCACTCGCAAGAAAATATGGTTTTCTGCTTTTCGTTCCGTAGGTGACGCAGTATTAATTTCCGCCGTTAATTGGCCTAAGTCAGAAAATTGTTGCACAGCCCCTTTAATTTTGACCTGCCCGGATATGTCCAGGCTAATAAAACACCTAAAACAGTAAAGTAAAAATGTGCTCAGGTTCACCTACCAGTTTTGAGCAAAGCACTGCTTGTGGATAAAGAGGCTTGTATCAGAAGAATGCAAACAAAACCTCTAGGTAATCTACTCTTTACCTAATCCTGCAATGCAATCCTGTGGTCACAACTGCGCAAGAGCACTTAACCAAGGTCAAAAATAACTGTTACCAAATAACCCGATGGGCTAGTTGGCTAGTGCTTGCCCTTTCAACTTCTGCTTGTCTTGTCTGTTGTGCTAGCTGTGTTTCATAAAAAAATTATCTGATTTATTTTCCCTGCACACTCTCTTTCTTCAATAAAAGTGGACAAAGTGTGATTCAACAGCATTAATGGTACCTTGTGCTTAGTAATTATCAAGTTTGCCCCACTAGGACAATCTGGAAAACTATCTGCCGTTTCTAGAGCACCGCCATATAAAATCCTCCATTTGTGTATGTCTAAAAATATTCCATCAGAACAGTGAACTTCATTATAAAAAATAATGAATCCACCATCCTATAGACCAACACACTGTTTACAAGCAAGTCAGCGTCTGCCCACAACTGGTGTGGTCACTGCGAGTGCGCAGAAACCAGATTCATGTGAACTGAAGCATCTGCGCCCCTGCCTTGCCGACAACAGCACCACCATGGTGGTGTGGCATCAGGGCAGCGTGATGGTGTATATCCCTTCTCATATTATAATAGCCATAAGATCGGCATTTTAAAACTTTAAAAAGTAATTGTTTCAGTGTTCTTTTACACCCTAAATGACAACTGATAGAAACCACCTTCCCGCTTCAATCGCTGACATTATTGATATTGTTTTGCTTTAAGAATGCTCTAATATATGCACATAGCAATTGTTTTTGTCTCTCTCCAATGTATTACCTTGAGGGTGTTTTAACTAAATAAATGTGCAATGTGCCACTTTCCTCAGCCCCATTTCGAAACAGTGATGGAACTGGCCTTTTGAAGCAGGTTTTGTAGCAGGCAAAATATTGGTTTGAAAAAGCCACTGATGCTTACGGATCAGATGCCAAAATCTGTTTGCTCATCGCTTGAAAATGAAAAATGATAGTATTGCTAAATGGAACTGACAGCCTTCCTTTTACAAATAAGGTTCAGGTCAGAATAAGTTTTGTTTACAATTAGTATTAAAAAAGATTGTTGTAAAACAAAGCATAGCGTGGCACTTCCATCAAGATAAAGCTTCTCCCTCATCCCCCTTTTACACTCAATAGCTTATTTAGCCTGTAAACATAATTCCCGTAAAATTCAAGCAAAATCCAACATAACCGCTAAGACGTCCATCAATAAATATGTCCCGTCAAGTTCTCTGAACTTGACGGGACAGAAATTTTATTATGATGCTATTCAGAGCGCTCTTCACCTTCTTCACGGTAACAATATTACGAAAACCTACAGTTGCGCTTTAAAAAGTAGTCCTGCACTTTAGCAGCGTTGGAGTCGGAGTTGAGTCAAAGTTTGCTGCCCTTTTGATTGACTGCAGCGTGGGAACTACCTTGATTGCCATATTTATCCAAATATAAACCCACATTCTTTTTTTCTTCCCCTTTTCGGCCAGCTTTTTAAAATTAGAGGTCAGCCTGCAGTCAAGAATAAAAAGGGTTGACCTGTAATACCAGTGAGCATGATTTTCGAGTCAATCGTGCCGGCCTAGGTGCTCCCTCATGTCAGCCGCTGCTCCCAGCACTCCGGTGCAAAGCGGCGAAGCTCGACATAAGCACGCTGGTGTGAGGTAGTGAAGGTCGATGTGAGCGGCACAAGCGCCACGGTACATGGTAGCCACGGCATGGAGGCATGTGGTAGACATGATAATCAAGTGATCGCATCAGGAGTAAAAGGCCCTGGTTCTTTCTCTTTACAGTAGCTGCCATCCCACTATTTTGCAGATTCTTCTCGCAACTTTTGGCTCCCGACATTATCGACACCGTCCGAAAATTCTTAAGATGACGAGGCCAGTGTGGTTGAAGAGCAGCCTCTATACCTCGTTTCATCTTAAGTCAGTGCGTAGCCGATGACACCGGCCAATGAAACCAACCAAACAGAGAAACAGAGTCAAAAGCGCGACTTCATGGCATTCGTCATCTCTCTGGGCGAGTTCTTTCATCGGCTAAACCAATCAAACGCAGTGAATTTCCCGTGACGTGAGTTTTTAGCGTGCGTTCGGGGTTGTATGCGGAGCCTTCGACTGCGCTCTTACCCAAGATGAAAGAAACTATCAGGTGAGTGGGGATATCGAGGAATAAACATTTGTACCATTTTCCTTTTCTTCTACTTTTCTCAATATTAAAATTAACCAATTAAAATTTTTTTTTTTTTTTCTTTATGCGGATTTTAGCACAGGTATGGTGCAATCTTTTTAGCAAACATGGCATTTTGGCGGAAGATGTAGCAGACTTTCGTTTAAGACACAATTTGGTGCCGCAGCATTCCATTGCTTTTGATGGGCCAGCTGAATCAAGATTACACAACACAAAAAACACCATTCACACAGCTGGACTTGCAAGTGTTTAATGCTCCCTTTTTTCTTTTTCTCTTTGCGAGTAATTAATATTTTCTTTTATTTTTATCACGCAATTACTAATTCCTTTTTCTTTAAGCTGCTTTTCAATTTTTGCTTTTTTGGGATGAGGCAGTTGCGCATTAATTTTTTGGGATGAGGCGGTTGCGCATTCTGTGTCAGTGCCCCTTCAGTTGCACTCCACCACAAGGAGGAAGCGTTCCTGCGGGGAGTCACGGTGTCCAGGCAAGGATTAAAGAAAGAAGAATGCGCAACTGCCTCATCCCAAAAAAACAAAAATTTAAAAGCAGCCCAAAGAAAAAGAAATTATGAATTGCACAATAAAAAGAAAAAGGAAATAATAATTACTCACAAAGAGAAAAAGGAAAAGAGGAGCATCAAGCAGCTCCAAGTCCAGCAGTGTGAATGGTGTTTTTTGTGTGCAGTGTATTGTTCAGCTGGCCCATCAAAAGCAAGAAACCAACTAGCTCAGCTTAAGCCCGTGACAAAGCACTTCCATCACTGGAAACATTAGGTCTGTAGTTGCTCACATCGGCAAAAAAACAAAACGGAATCAGGCATCGTGTAGTAACACAAGAATATCCGGCCATGAACCTGACAAGGCCTAACATATACTTTGATACAATTTCCATTTTTGAACAGTACTAAGGAAAGAATTAAAAAAAATATTGAATTGTTGGGTTTTTCAAAATGTCTTCTAACATGGCAGTACTAAGAAGAAAAAAATGTAATTGTTGGGTTTTTCAAAATGTGTTCTCCCATGGTCCTCATTCCTTAACGCTCATAAAAAGAAACAACCTGAAATGAACACGGATCGGAATTCCTGCAAGTTGACACATCCAAATATGCCTTTCGCAAGCGTTACAAAGGTATTCTTTCTGGCATTCCTTACCTTTCTATGTGAAAGCATAAATGGTTCGCATACAAAGATTAATGTTTCCTCATACTACAACCAAACAATAAGGGATGTCACAGCCAGAGAAAGAGAATGAGGCGAAAATTACTCTTATTAGCGAAGTTTTCAAGGAAAGCTGAAGCTTAATATACAAAAGAATGATGCCCCCACTACAAACATTGACATTAATGCAAGCTACAACACAGGCTCCCACTCTGCGAAACAAACATTTATAAAAGGATGCTCGAGAAGCAAGACAATGCCTTACTACTCCACAAGTGCAAAGAAAAGAATCTGGTAAAGCTGCTACATTCAGTTTCTCACACGAATGAGGCAGAACAATGACCTTCTAGTTTGCACTATGCACACCCTTAAAGTTGAGAAGCTAAAACAAAAATTAGTATTACATGCAACTAGATTTTCCATAACAGAAAGGTCAGTCTATTATAATAGCATAAAAAAAAAAAAAACTGGTGGTGACAGTATGGATTACATTTACATGAATTCGGGATATGCCCACCAGAGTGCCGAGTGGATTTAAAACAAAGATCTACGCATAGCCAGTGGTTTCAAAACACCCAGACATGTGCCCATTACTTGAAAATGTAATGGATTACAATAAGTTATTCAGTCTTACAAATAATAGATCACCATTACTAATTACTTGCATAAAAAAAAAGTAGTTGATTACTTTACTTGTTATGTTACAAGTTACTTTCCCATTCCTTCTCTTGGATACTTTTCCTGTAATAAATGAGGAAACATTGAATGTTTACTCAAATTGTATTGCAATACTATTTTCAATGTCTTACACTGCCACTGTATTCTAGACATTCTAAAAAAAAAAGAAAAAAAAAATGAGGACACTATATTTGATGTCATTCGTTGGTGACAGGATGAGAAAGCCAGTGGGAGCTCTACTTCCAGTCCATGTTCGTTGCTTTCCGTCGTATATTGGTTGCATGCTCACAAACTCTTAAAGAACAAAGCTCTTGCTGGAGGTTAAGCCTCTACTGCAGTATTGAAAAATGGATGGATGCAAGAACGCAGGTTTAAGCAGAGCTTTGGTTGCACTGGCACTCATAGGCCCGTAGCTGTTAAGTTTTGAGCAGCGCTCCAGGCGAGCAAAATAGAATATTTGGCTCGCGTTTCAAACGTGCGTCATTACGCTTCCCCACTACTGTTTTTTATACTCCGTTCCATTATAAATGCAAGCATAGCAGAGGCTACAAGAGCGAGCTCTGAGCTTTCAGAGTCCCTGCCAAGCATGTGCGCTCGAACAGTGCGAGCATCGTTCAGAGGAACATGCTTTTGCAAGTAGCTTCAACTTCGTTATCACTTAAAGTGAAACATATGGGCTCACGGAAGCTATAAAAAAAGCAATAAAATAATAAAGCTGAAAGGAAGTTTTTTTTGGGACACTGAGGCCGCGAGCTGCATAATTCATTTTTATTTTGGTTTTTCTTTTTTTTAGTCATTTTGTTATCGCGCGTCTACAGATGCTGACAGATGCTTGCATTCGAACGTGGCACGTGCAAAATCTAATGTTCGCGCAGCCTCGATGGTGCTGCCAGCATAATAGGGTCGCGTCTTGCGGACGCGCTCGCGCCCCCTGCCCGAGAGCAACGGGTCTATTCCCGTGCCGTTGCCCGAACTATACAGACCTTCTCTGGCAGAGCATCAACAAGAATGCACACAAGAAAACATACTCATGCCCACTTTTTTCCAAGATACACAATAAAATTCAAATCACGAGAAAGAAAGGAGGGCAAAAAGAGTGAGGTAGCTTCGCAGCATGTAATCACTTCTGTACTGCATGCTCCAATGTTAGTTATAACATGCACTGTGAATTGAGTGAGCATAGGGCGTTAATTACCGTAATATGTTCATATTTCTTGATAAAAGTAACAAGTACTTATAAAGTCGTTTGTTACAAAAGTGTCGCACTTAAATTATGTTACAAATTACTGCCGCAAAAATGTAACGTGGCAATTACAAAATTACTTCAAAAAGAAGTACTTCCCAAATCTGTAAACAGCCCATCAGGTTGAGTCCACACCCCCCTTTCCACTGACCTCCAGAATTTCCTACGCAAAGTACCAAACCTATTTGCAACTCCAACGCCCTATAGGTGGCAGGGCAGTAGTTCCACGATGGCGGAAGAGACGGGGATAGAGTCTAGCACCTGCCCGCTGACGCTGGTCAGCGCGCTAAAAATGATTTGTCTACAAATGCGAAGCGGTTAGGGCAGGATCGTATTACAGGTGACGTGAGTCTGATGCGCGTTAGAAAAATGAGCATGCTGATATTTAAAAGTTGCAGAAGCCTAAACTTGCGAAGCTTTTTGGTGGGTGAGCGCGTTTTAGGCACCGGCCACATCACTGTTTGTGGCGGAATATTTTTGAGTGCGATGAAGATATTGTGTTTCCGCTTTGACTGGCCATAAGTGCTCCAACAAGTGAGCCGCGCACGGTGACCGTCAAGCATGGGAAGAGCAGCGTTCACAGTGTTGATGTCTTCGTGTAACAGGCTCGCAACTCGCTCGTCACCGTCTTCGTTTTAGTGTATTGCAACACATGATCAAACCTCTCTGATTATTGATAGGAAGTTTGTTACCGCAGCATAACAACCGGAAGTTCGCGCTGTGCATTTAAAGCACAATTTTCAGCGCGTGCCAGGAACATTGCCGTGCTCACAGTAGCCAACGGTATGCGTTAACGCTATGCTAAAACTGCCCATTAACATAATCGGCGTGTTGAGTGGTTTTATTTATTGCTCTAACAAAAATAAATATTTTAATATACTGTACATTTTTTGTGCTATGTTATTTGCAACGTTGCCGCCCCTCTTGCCAAAACTACCCGTTCTAAGCTCTCGTCAGGAACAGCTGGCTAACATAGACGAGCTTAAAATGTTTCGAGCATTTCTTTATTTGCTTTGTAATTACCTGAAAGCAAGCATGCATATGCTGTCTTTTGAAAGTGCTTGGAATAAATGGTCATGTTCATTGTAATGCGAACCCATTCCCGATGTGTATTGCTCGACATACCGTTGCGCGGCAGTTTTCTCCTATTTACGGGAAAAAAGTATAGTACTACCAAACCGTAGACAGAGTAGACACCCTGTCTACGGTCTACGAAAAGTATAAATACTTTTCGTAGACCGTACGCTAGAGCTCTACATTATTAGCGGGAGCGTTTGCCGTCACGTTGAGCACAGATTGAGCTGGTGGCCATGCACAAGACCAAAAATTCGCAGCATATGCGATATACGAAAAGTCCCTAATGAAATTAGACATCCCAGTCCTTCGTACAACGCTGATGCAAGGCGGGGCACAAGAATTCCTATTTTAACGCACTCACTATTTTAGTTGAAACGACTTCACGCATCAAGGCTGAAAATATCAACCCCCCCCCCCCCCCCCCCAATGAAAATCTTGAACAGACCCCTGGACATAGCTAAGACTAAGTTCTAAGTTGCAATTAGGAAGGTCAAACAAAGCCAAAGTTGATGTGCTTTGACAGTTTATCCACAAAAAGCAATCATGTAAATTTAAGCTGAAAACAAAACTTACGTTATAATCTTCCCACTAAGAATGAAGAGGTACAAGGCTGGCTATAACTAAACAGAGTAGCTACAAAATGCACAAAGATGTAGACATGTACTGTCTGGGAAAAATGAAATGCGAACAGAGGAGCACGTGGCTCGCGGTACAGGCTGCGTCGCCTGGAAGTGAGCCTAGGGGCGAGGGTGTGTAGCCTACTTCGATGTGTTCACGCCCCTCGATTGGCGCTCCCCAGCTTCGGCAGTACACCTCTCAGTGCGCTGAAAGCTGTCACCGCTATCTTTGCCTGCTCGGCGAGCGCGGCGAGCTTCTTTGAACCGCACACGCTGAGCCAGTAAAGATAGTGGTGATAGCTTTCAGCGCACTAAGAGGCGCACTGCTGAAGCTTGGGGAGCGCAGAGGGAGGGGCGTGAGCACGTCCGAGTAGGCTACGCACCCTCGCTCCTAGGCTCACTTCCAGGCGGCGCAGCATGTAACCGCGAGCCACGCGCTCCTCTGTTCGCATTGCATTTTTCCCCCGATAGTACACCCGCCGGCAAATCGGAGGTGAACACCTTACCTGGTTTTTTGCCTGTTTTACGGCTCCCAAAAGCTATATTAACTCTAAACGTCTCAAATGGTACGTGGCTTGGGGGTCTAAACTTTGCGTGTTCTAGAACTCTGCTGGAATAGAGCTTGTTCCAAAACTTGCAGGAGCGTCAAAAACAAGAACAGGGCTGTTCACCTTCATATTGCTCACGGGTGTACACGGTGTCCCCCCGAAAAATTAACAGCACTTTGTTCACTGCAGAAATGAACTATGCATGATCAAGCACTCAATCTCTATCTAAATATAGCGCTAGAGGTCCGAAACAGATGCCGAAATTTCAGAGCTTGCTGTTATCCCATTCAAAACAATTTTCATAAATTTTTAATCCAAAAATGGCAGCTGATGAAGCCCACGAGTGCATGGATATGAATGGAAATCAGCTACTGGGAATGAGACCCATTTTCCCATTGAAAGTTTGAGAAAATCACATAACTCTTGAATAAGATAACAGGTGGTCCTGACATTTTGGCAGCTCATCCGGATCGCTAGTGCTACATTTCGGGTAAAATGCTCCAGTCAGATGTCGTCCTACTCAATATATTTTGTCTACATTAATTGCCCCTTATGCCTTCATTCTAAGAGTTAATTTACCGTAATATCCCAAGAGATGCACCACCCCTGAAAGATAACCCACTCCTATTTTTAGCACAATTTCCTATTTTCTTTTAAACACCGAAAGATAGCCCACTCCTAGCAATCCTAGTGTTCGTATCGATGATAACCTCGACATAAATGCGACTAGTTAGCTAGGGCAGGATATAAGCAAACATTGCCTGACTGGGAAGTACAGTCTTAAACCCAACTTTAGGTAGGCTATCTCTCGGTATATTACGGAAACAGTTTAATGGATTTATGTCATCTGGCCCATTATGGCACTTAGCTTGATCTCGTGAAAGCGCACTGACAGTGCTTATGCAGAGTTAAAACTGTATAAAACAGCAACTGCAGAATGAAGGCATGACTATAATTCATCAAGCTCATACAATGATGAGAACAAGAACTACCCCTTACCCTTTTAAGACAACAATTCATATCAAACGAGTGCGTAGATTCCTGCATTAAATTAGCATAATCCAACACAGAAACAAAATCTGTTTTTGCTAAAATGAACTATGTAGTCACTTTCACATCGTAGCAAAATCTGTAAAAGCAAAACTCACCTCATTCGAGCCACTTTCTTCTCGTGGAACAACACCAATGATTGCACTGCTCAAAGTACTGTGGCTCAGTAGATGGTGCTTCACCATGTTCATGCTAAAAGGAAAAAAAAAAAAAGATAAATCGTGAGCATCATAGCGTAGAGTTAATCATAGGCACCACAGCTTCCGGATTTCGAGATGAGAAACGCTTAACGTTAAATACAAAAGTCGCAAGAGAAACCTCGTACAAAACTTTTTCAAAGTCTCGTAGTCCGAACGAACGCAAATTAAAAAGGAAAATAATAGACTACAGAGGTTAACTGTATATTATGTTGTTTATTTGCGTCTTGACTCTTCCGAAGTTTTCCGCGTTTTCTTCGGGTGCCGTAGCTGTGGCATAAAACGCGCTGCTAAAACTTTGCTACCAAATGTCACGCGTGTCACAGCTGCGGAAGAGTTTTTTTTACATCTCTTTACTCGAACTCTAGAGATTACAGCCAAGAAATATGTAACAATTAATATTTGTAACGAGAAATATCAGCACGTTCCTCTCGTTTAAACCAAAACGCAGCGCAGCACTACTGCTACCTTCCAAACTTGTGCCAAAGACCCTCAAAACATTATTCAGATAGCAATGTATTAGCTACATCTACTTACTTTCTGTGCGATGTCACCGGTATCCGAATCGAGGCGCCAGGAAAAAGCACTCCATCGATTAAAAGTAAAGGCAGCCGTCGGGGAAGCTTTATGGTCGACGTCGCCATGTTTGCGTCTACAAAGACGTCATCGGCGATCCTAGCGCCACCATGGAGACTGCCGCAAGGTTTTGCGGGAAATTGAAGCACTCCATGCCGTGCTTCACGCATCGAACTGTAGGCGATGGTGGCACTCGCTGGGGTGGTTGTCGCCGAAGCTTTTCCGTAAAGAGGTCTTACATGCGTTGTTTTCTTAGGTGGTAGATCGCTGGTCGGTCGAAATGCAGAAACCTGGATTTTCGAACCACTTGCCGACGAGGATATCCGGTTTTCCGTTTATAGGTCGCGAAAGTGGAACTTGTCTTCCGCCAAGCAGTAAGGAGCGCAACGCAGGAGTCTGAACAGCTGAGCTGACTGAGCGGCCCACAGCGAACGGCCTCTCCCGAGGAGTGCCCGCCAGAGTCGATCCTCTGCGCTGCTGACACTGCTGACACGGCCTGCTGCATGTATACAACCGTTGCGCAAGGCACGGACGTCCCTTGGGCTTTCCGGAAGTAAACCGAAACTTGTTTGCAGACCAAGGTGAAGTCTCTGACCGGATGGGGGGAGGCAGGACACTGCACTCATCGGCCAAACTACGAAACCAAACCGGTCCCGAGAAGCGGAACAATAAAATACAAAAATTCTCCCGCGCCGAAAATTATTTCCTTCCCTCGTGTGCTACGAATCCGAACAGCGCTGGCAGAACGCGGCCGGCCCGTTACTGGCAGAACGTAGTTTACGTTTCGTGGGTGCGTTAGACTGAACCTGCTTGGGCTCGGTCCAGATAACTATACAATATAAAAACAATTTGAAAGGCCAGTTAGTACATCTCGTTTTTGTGACTTATCTTTACAAAAATTGTCTGGGCTCAGTGAAAATGGGAAATTTTAGGGATTCACAATAATTAAATATGAAGCCAGTCAAGGGATTTAAGCATAGCACACTGAAGGACGGAGAATTAAAATAGACCACGTGAGAATTTCCTCCCTCTTGCAAATACTGGTCATATCACTGTTGTATTAGTTGAAAATTATGGTAGACCTTCAACAATCGAGACTGGAATGATTAACTAAATAAAATTCATACTATCATGTGAAGCTAATGCCATCTTTTCAAAACTAGGTGAAAGAAACAATTGCCAAGGTTGGTACAATACTTACAACATTTATTCATATGGTAGCATGAGACTCAAAAGTAAATAGTACACACAGCACTAAACTTCTGGGTACCTTAGTAGCCGGCAATTTGAAGGAAATGTACTGCAAGCAATAAAGCACAGGCTGCTCACATGTACTATATTTTTTTTTAGTGGGTTGTGCTAAAATAAACAACGAATGTTTACATAACAATGTACTGCAAGGTCCTGGCAAAGGCAGCATCCAGATAGATTTATTTTCCTTTGCAATCGGTTCTCATAACTCTAGTGCATACACTCTGAATACATTCTGGGTACTTCAAGGAAATCTAAAATTTTGAGGCCCTTAAAAAAAAAAAAAGGATTAAGTAAATTTTTAGTAACAGGCAAAGACAGGGACAGATTGGACTGCAGTCAAAACAGCAATAAGCAAAGTCAATACACTTGAAGGCACAAGGTATAATCCCTAACATAACATGCAAGCACACAGTTAAAATTTTGCTAAAAAAAACAAAAAAAAAACACACATAGTTCAGAGCAAAAACGCTCAATGCAAGACACAAGAAAAACACTATTCTAAGCAATTGCAAAACATCTAGCAAGGCATGTCCCACAATTCCAAAACTCTCCACCCAAAACTCCAGACTGCTTAAAACATTTTTGTTTTTTATCAGTCCAAATTGTGATTAAACAGGTCACAATTTCTTGTCCTATCAAGTAAATATTGTTTTAAAAAAATATTGAAAACATGCAGAACCAAAAAAAGGAGGTCCCATAGAATTATACTACTATAGCAAAAATATTACCATGCAACAAAACATTAAATGCAAAAAAAAAAAGAAAAAATCTATCACCTGTTGCACAGATGAAGCTGGAATTCAACCAAATGCCACACATAGCAAACACAAACGAAAAAACATAGAACACTAAAATAATGCACACAGTTGGGACTATCAGAACTATTTTAACAGATATGTTGGGCACCTGCAAGATGTTGGTGGTCTAAACTAATTAAAACCTAGATGAAGAAACAAGCTCTAAGACAGTGTTGACTGACATACTTTATAGTGATATTATGTCCAACACTTTATGCCAAAAGTAGCAGTTGAAATGGTTTAATATGTTTGAAAAGAAGTTGCCCATATTTGTCAAATGCCAGCCAAGAATGGACCAAATGTCCCATAAAATTAGGATAGTTTAAAAAAATTGTGCACAAGCAGCTTATACATTCTGTATATATTGGTAGTATGTCTAGTTGAATTTAAAAAGGCAACGAGTTGCCTATTATCGCTAGGGTTTGGAGTTTTCGGTTTAAACCGATAAAGACCGATAAAAGTACGCCGATTTCATTTTCGAAAATTCGGTTTTAACCGAAAAAAGTCAGTTTTTAGGTTCGACATTTTCGATTTAAACGGATAAAAAGCGATAAAAGTATGTCGAATCCATTTTCTAAAATCCAGTTTTAACCAGAAAAGGTCACTCTGACCTTCCAGTCGTACCGCAGAACCGTGGCAAAAAAGTGGAACAACAGTGTCTATCGAAACGTGTCCGAATGTATGGGATACAGGGGTGCCATCACAATGTTTTAGTTTAATGTGCGCATCATCGATCGGAACTTGAAGTCCGAAATGCCCCATAACTTCGCCATGCACGAGTGCGTTTTCAAATTTGTTGTAAGGAAGACTGACTTGATGCAAGCTCTGCATGTTGTGTTGTGCTTCAAAACGTCACACCTCTCTTTCGACAGTCACAATTGGTTGATTGGCCGATTTTGGCTCAAGCAGCGCTTCATCCCTTCAGCCTGCCAGTGTCCAGTGTTAGCGTTGAGAGGGCATTCTCGAAGCTCAGGGTCATATTAACAGGAAAGAAAGACTGTGGATCAACGAGGAGAACCTGGGAAAGCACATGTGTGCGCGTACTATAATAAGATCACGTAATCCTGATGTACAGAAGGTGAAGTTCCATGTTTTTTGGGCATAGTCTTCATATCTGATTTGTTTGTACTTCTGTTTTTTTTTTTCTTTTCTTGTTTCTTTTTAAAAAAGCAGATAAAATTTTGCGGGCATAAATATACGCCGAAAGAAACCAAAAATTTAATTTTAAAATAAACACCGAAAAAAGTATGCCAAATTTTGAAGAAATAGAAACCGAAAATGCGGAACCCTAATTATAGCATACCTCAACTACAAGTTCTAAGGCTATGCTGCACCCAAAGGAAGGTTAAAACTCAAAGCACAGCTCCAAACCAACCGTCACACAGCATTTATAAAGCCCCCCAACTATCCTCCCGTTCATCCCACTTAAGTCTGGCATCTCTTGCTTTCCCGAAAGCATATGTTCATGTCGCAGCACACGTGCCTGAACATATAACTAATTGTAACTATCAGCAATAGAAAACTTGAAACAAGTAAACTTGCAAGGTTAGTATCCCTAAATAAAGGAATGGCTTGCTATACAAAAGTGACCAGAGAAACTACCATACAGTCTGTGATCAGTTAAAAGGAATTTGTAAAAGCCTTTTTACTGAAGGTGTAGGCAACTACTATTAGCCCGGGTACAGTTAAGCAATTAAGGGGAAAAAGCACCATTCAACAAACTGTATTTTGAGACCAGCCAATGGAATGTACCATTGCATACTAAAAAGAACAGCACAGGTTAGTATTGTTAAATGCTGGCCAAGATGTCTCTTCTGGAGTTTTTGTTATATACTAGTTACCCAAATAGTGATGAACAGAATAAAATAAAGGGAAACAAGAACAGACAAGCCCAATGAAGTGCAAATGCAACAAAAAAGCTCCTGCACAGAAACATAAAAAATAAGAGCAGAAATGCATATAACCTGACCTCCTACCAAACAAGCAAAACAAGAAATGAAGGCCTCTAAGGTACATCAAATTGACACCACAATTCAACAAACCAAGCTAATAATGGCAAAAAAAAAGCCATTATTAACTTTCCGCAAATGCCAATCAAAGGGTCACAATTTTCTGTATAGTTGGCATAAGTGATCAGTGCACTCTATAAGCATTGAGACTTTGTTTTACAAAGAGCAAGCAGAATTAAAAAAAAAAAAAAGAGTGATTCAAACTAAACATGCGCCCATGTGACAACCATTGTGCCTACGCTTTCTGCAAGTTGCGCGGTTACAGCCGTCATTGTCGGTAGTAGTGAACGGTGGCTCAAAAGAGCCTCAAAGGATACTTGTACTTACAAGAGCATACACAAACACATCTACAAAAGACACACTGCTCAAGTGGGGAAAAGAAAACCAGTGCTACGCAACAAGTCAAGTTAAGCTAACCAATTTTCTCAACTTGTCAAAAAAACGAAAGCTATGAAAAGAAGACTTTAAATAAAACAGTACAAAGATCCATTGAACGAAGCAGCGCATGAGCCGTGTCGTTCAGGTATCAACACTACTCGTCCCACAAACATCCTGGCGCTCCTTGATGACTGTCTGTATCTTCTTAAAGAAGCAGCGCTTGGTCGGCGGAGCGTCATCATCCGACGCATCATCCTCGTGCAGAAGGCGCTTGCTTACATTGTCACTGCCCTGCACCATTTGGTTGATTGCACGCAGATCCTGAAAAGTCAAACACAGAGCGGCACTGCAGTCCCCCGGCGACAGTGAATGCTCGCAAAGCCATTGGAACATTTCAATTGTTTGTTAATGCAGGGGTGGAACTCATGAAATGTACTTGGGAGCAGCCACCGGAGCAGCTGAAACAGCTGTTTTGGAGCAGGTTGGGAGCAGCTAAAACTAGATTTTGGAGAGGCTAGGTAGGAGCAGCTCAGACCAGTTTTCATTGCACTTCAGCTTGTGTTTTAGACAAGCACGGGAGCAATTTCAATTGTGCTTAGCAGCACAGATGCACATGAGTGGTTAGGGACCTATGTAGATGGGATAACAGTGTAACAGATGCGAAAACTTGAAACTTTGTGAGCCTTAATGAGAATCAAAAAGCAAGTACTCTATGTTTCTGAAGATAGCAACCTTTATATTTTCTGAGTGGCTTTCAGATGATCAAGATGCAAACCAGCACTGCTTATCGCACAATCCACACGTGCTCGACATAGTAATTATATCAGCGAACCACGTGGTGTGCGTAAGCAACGGACGTGCAGTTGCACGGAGGAACAGGGCAACAAATTTCGAGTTTATCCTATTGTGCAACTCGATATTGAAGCAGCAGACTACGATTAACAAAGTTATTGTATTTGAAGCGATAAGCAGGAGCAAGGTTAAAGTACGCCGAGCAGATGTACCGCTCGCGTAAGAGCTGCTGGCCGGCAAGGCTTCGGATCGGACCGCGTTTCAGTTCTATCAAATTACGATTTTTCTTGCGAGAATGCGGTTCCAACTTCTAATGATGAAGCACTAAAATCAATATTTTGCTCATTTGCTTTCAACTGGATGACGTCCGGATCACGGGCCGCAGATCCTCAGGCAATCTGACGCTTAACGACTCGACCTCACCTCGGCCGACTTGCTTAAAGGGGCACTCAAGTGGTTTTTGAGTTCGTGTTTTGATGATGACAGTTGAATTTAGACGCCCTAAGTATTCCTAAAAACCAAAAAGTATAGTCATACGGTGATTATTTCTTTAATAAAAATGTAATTGAAGGCCGCCAAACCTCGGATCCATCCGAAAACAAAACCACTTTCATTGGTCCTCGCACGCTTATCAAAAGAATCTCGGGCCAATGGCGTTGGACGACGTTCCGTCGCGCATTGATCCCGAGGTAGCCGCATCGGCCGAACCTCTTTGTCATTCGAGCTTCGATCATGGTGGAGTTCTCTACGCTCGAGGACCTGACGCCGTTGAGGTTCAAATTCATAGGCGGAAAGCCGACCAGGGGATGACTTCCTATGACGCCACTCCGACACGCGATGTGGACGATAGCAGCGCTTCGGAGTCATGTTCGGGTTCCGAGGACGACGAAATGCCAGACCTTTTCAAGCGTTCTTCGATTTGCGGTTGGGGCAAGTCGTAACCAAACCAACGTTTGACATCGCAGCATTACCTCTGGTACGTGATGTCAAACAATGTTGCCACATTGATTTTCGCCTCGGGAGGGCGGGGGGAAGGCTGGTTCAGACATGTGCAACGAGCGCGTACCTACGATTGCATCCATTGCAACAGGAGCGACCGCAACGACCGCTCTGCGCCGTGCGTACACACACCTGCAACCACTACAACAAGCGCAGCGGGTCGTCAGCACGGCGACCGCTTCTATACGCCGCCGTCAGCTGTTTTAGCCGCCCCTCTAAAAAGGGGACGCACTGCTACTCAATGCTGTAACATAATATAGACAGACAGTTTTCTATAGCCTAAAGCTTTATTAATATTTTTTCTTGATAGGCCTGCAGGGTACAGTGGATGAAAAAAAGAAAATAAAAAGATGCAGTCCGCCGTCTGGGATGATCACGACTCTAATACACGACATTGCAATAGTACAAATATCGCCACACGCCTTTTCTATGATTATAAAAGACAATGTAATCTTAGCAGCGATATAGCAACATAGAAATATGATTTCGTGGTCAGATAGACGTTTCGAGCGTTCAGGATTGCTAACCCTAATCACTTTTCTCCGGTGATGAAAACGCGTGAAAATTCGCATCCTTCGTACGGTACGCGCCAGTAATACCTTCAACTTGAGCACACGCATGAAATGCGCCAAATAAGAAATCCGGGCGATGTTCGAGGACACAAATGCTTAGAAAGCACCACTGTAGTCGAAGTAAACAAACATGACGGCACGGGCGTTTCTGCTGTCTAGAGAGTGCTGCCACGACATCGCCGCACGAGTAGGTGGATCTTCCCTTCTAGTACGTGCTGGGTTATCATAGCGACACACGACGAAAATTCACAGTCAAGGATAGCGCTTTTACGCGGAACAATGAGCTTTTACCACGCCGACGATCACCACCGACGCCATGTTTGCGGATAGAAGGCGCCGGCCGGCTCGCGACCGGCACGACCGGCCTGCAACGCGCGGAGATACGTGCGCTTCCGCGCATCCCTGGGGAACGGGAAATTCAACCCCCGCGGAGGAAAGCAAGGAGAAAACGTAGTCCCTTGTTTGTGAAACGATAATTGCAGTATCGCGTATTCTAAACTAGAAATATTTTACGTCTTGTGAAATTATCATGCACAACATATTTAAATGAAGTGAAAATTGTTTCTTTAGCGAAACTTTACGAAGACCGCCAAAATTTTCAAACATACGATAATTTCATAGGTCCTCGCAAGTACAGAATAGAGTCCGCACGTATTTTATTCCTGCGTGATTAATAGACAGTTCTGCCTTCTAAAACTGAAGATACTCATTCACTGACACTTCCTTAATGCCATCACACCAAAAAAAAGCTTCTCCAAAAACCGCTTGAGTGCCCCTTTAACCGCTTATGGTTGAAGTATAACAATCCAGTCGCAAGTGGTGCAGCGCTTAGAATCCGAGTTTTTTCGCGCGCTTCCGACTCGGGATACACAGGGGGAATAAACAGAACTAAGGATTGCAAGGCCGACCAGGCTAAACGCCCTCATTGTTGCCAATTGAGTCGATAAAAACCGAAACCAAGACAAAATAAAAAGTTTTTTGGCGCACGTTTTGCGATTTGGCGCATAATGGCGCGAGGTTTTGGCTGTGGCACAGTTTCTGCAACATGGCGCAGACACATGCGTCTGGCACAAAATGGCGCAGCCGTTCCACCCGTTAATGCCTGCTGCAGAATGTTTACCTTCCAGCAGCTTGCGATACAAGACACTAGTGCAAAATGTAATGTGCATTCACCATTTGTTGGCTCATAATGCAGAAGCAGATATTCAGCATGTGCAGAAAGAATAAACAAACGAGAGACAACATGAGCATCTCTTTCAAATAACAAAACAAAGAGGTGCTCATATCATTGAAGAAAGAGTAAGTAAACAGGCGAGCTTTTGCTTGTCCCCTTCTTCGTACATTGTCTTTTTTCAAAAATGCGTAAAAGCTTGTATCATCTCTTGTCTCAATTTCTTTATTCTTTCTAGATATTCTGAAAGCTACCAACACACTCCTCAGTTCATTATTTAGGCAGATATTGCCTTAAATTGTTTAAGCCTGAAGCCCTAAAAAATGAAATACAGTATATAGTAGTATTTACGCTATAGATAGTGATTCAGTCAGGGAACTAAGAGCAAAGTTCACCTTGGCAGGACTTTGGTTGAAGTGGTAGGTGTGATGCTTGGGCGAGACAGGGTAGGAGCCAGCTTTTAGTGGCGACACAAAGACATCCCGGTTGTAAGACACCCTCCGCCGAGGCGAGTTGAGCATGCACTTGGACCGGGGAAGTGGCGTTAGGCACATTGCCTCATTCTGCATGAACCGGGAAGAAAGGACTCAGGTGATTCCTATCCAGAGTTCAGTACCACTGTGCATCTACTTGATGAGCAATATATCACAAGTATTTTACAGTGACAGGTTATTTTTTCCTCACAAGTGAAGTTGCTAATTAAGATGCTGAGGACAACTTTGTCGAGATCATAGCACTGCCCTGACACGCTCAATTATAAACTCCGAGGGTTTTCGGAAACGTTAGGTGAACCCAGCCTGGAAATGACGGAAGCCAGCAAGAGTAAGGTTTCATAATGCCCCATGTTGAAAGCTTTCGCAAGATGGCACAGCTAATTAGGCAACGAGCAACCCAGGCAATAAGGAAAAAAACAAAAACAAAGGCACCTTGTTTGAATCTGGTGAAAACTTTGTGGCAAATGTTGTCATCCTTTTGCGATAGATCTGAAAAAGCGAGACAATGCAGGCAATTGTTGTCACCCACTTTACAAGCAGACTGGTGCACACAAGGGCTGAGCAAGGGGCTCACCTCGTTGTAGAATTTGATGATGTCGCCACGCTCATCAAACTCAAACTGAGTGGCTGTGCCAGCCAAGCGGGTAGGTGTAGGAGGCTGGCTGTTGGGAGGAAGCAACGGCAGCGTACTAGACGAGCGTGTCGAGCTCAGATGCTCCGTTCGTTTCGACTCTGCACGTGTATGAGGAAAACAAGCAGAAGCTATAAAGTCACTTTGGAAAAAACCCCTCTGCAATCCTTCATAAACATAAAAATAATATGTGGTCCTAAAAAGATACTGTTCAAGCAAAATGTGAGTGTAAAGAATCCCCAAGATTTTCCTAGCTATATCTGCCTCAAAATGCTTTGCTGAGGCATCATGGAGTCCTTTTTGACTCAGTTCTGAAAGTCAAAGGCCCGAAAATGTGAGGTTTACAAATCATAGCTTTTAATCACACGTAAAACAGGACTGAAACAAGCAAAAAGCACAAGTTAGACCCCGAGCAAAATTTTCACATCGTCATTGCACAGACAACTTCCTGCACACGACACCAAAATTGGTGGTGCTCACCCCCGTCCTCATTTTCCACTGTCACGGGAGAGCTGGAGTTCGAGCCAGTGCGGCTACTGTGGTCACTGTGACCGGCGCTCTTCCTTAGCAGGACACTGCGATAGACCTGCACAGTCCCAAAGAAGAGCACCCTGTCTCATTTGTATACATCTTCCGATGACTGCAGAGTTTGTCAGTGCTGTCCTTACATGACTCTTGTTCTGCGGCTGCTGCCGATAACACTGCAGTATCTCTTGAAAGCTCTTCTCCACTCTTGTCACCTGGAAGCCAAGCACGGACAAGCTCAAGAATTCTCCACCACTCAACCTCACAGCCAAAGGCAAAGTGGAATCCAAGGGGCTGTAGGGCTCACCTTCGTGATGACATACACCGCACAGAGAATGAGTTGGTCTAGGTGCCGGTCCTTCATGAGTTCAATGTGGTTCACAATGGAGTGCTCAAAGCAGGTCCAAATCTTGAGGCGAATGTCCTTTTGCTGGATGCCTAGCCTGTCACACAAGTCTTGAAGGCGAACCCCAGCAAGGTGATACACCTGTTATTTAAAATGGGCATTACACCAAAGAGCAGGTGCAAGGAAGGCTGGCAAATAAGAAATTATGTTTTCTCACAAAACCAGGAGAAAATATATGTCCTACAATATGCATACATCTCCATCATTTAGAAGTTTGTTTGTTTAGACACAAAAGGCCCCTTTCTATACGCTCCGTGTGGGAACTATAGGGTGCACTTTGAAAAACGCGCATAGTGCCACTAGCGGAGGAGCTGGCATTCGACAGTGAGATGCGTTCAGCAGCCTGCGGCACCTTTTCGCATACGAAGTTGTGGCGGCAGAAGCACGCACGGACAGAACTTTGGTTCCTCGAGCCGGTACGTTGAGGGTGACGTTGCATAAGTGCTGGGGAAGACCTAAGGTCATCTAGCAGCTGTTCTCGCAACTAAATTTTACATCATCAATCACACTGCATGCTGGATTCCGACGAGAAACCTTCCCGGCTTCTAGGGAGTGCAACTACTTTCACAAAATTGACGAGGCATTGATATCCTGAAATTAATCTTCCACAAATTCATTGAATTCAAGGTGGAGAAGCAATCTGGCGGGGAGGAGCTGTTTCCACAACATTTTCATATAAACTTTGAAGTTATTCTTATTTTGTTTTGCTGAAGTATTACAGCAAATAAAGCTTTCTCAATAACCGGACAAATCAAGCTTTTTTTTTTTTTGTTCTACTATGAGTTGGTTATACGAAGAAAAAAGTTTTGAATGAATCTGCACTTTGCGATATCAATAAATATTACACCGAATCTTTCTTTCATATTGTTTTCAGTGATTGGGCAGATTGAAGAATCAATTACCCGTGCTCAAAAAGACTCGTGGAAAAACAAGTTACTTTTTTTAGGTAAAGTAATTTTTATTCTCTCAGCTTTATACATCGAAAAAAAAAAAAAAGCCGTGAAAGTTACTTACGCGGTTTGTGCAGGTGAGTTTTACGGCCATGCGGACATTATGTGGGTGGCTAATCTTTGTGATTGATAAGTCGGCTAATTAATTAAAATTTATTAATTAACTTTCGAATTAGTAAAAATAGACATATGGTTCCAATTAGAAACTTATAGAGCGTCATCAATAACGACTAAATCCACTCTTTTTAGAACGACTTGAACCACGTGAGAAAGTTGAGGGTGCACTAAAGTTACCACTTGTGCAGCAGGTGCAAGGCTAGCAGTGGCGGAACGCGGATGATTAGATTATCATTGCGTCCTTTCAAAAGACCCCCCCCCCCCCAAGCCATGGAAAAGTCTCTTGAAAGAGACGTCCCAAACGTACGTAATCTTCTGGATAACGCAGGATAAGGATGCTGACGGCATGATACCTAAACAAGTGTCTGCTTTTGTGATCCTATAATTTAGCTGTCACTGCAGTTGTGATCAGTGAATTCCGTGGTTCAAGCGCACTGAACGTAATTAATTGTTTCAACGTTTGGAAAAACAAAATGGGGCTTACAAAACATATTGTTGTCTACTTCCGTAGGCTGCAGGTCCGCTAGAGGTGCAACTGCCGTCATTCGCAGCTACTTCCAGTGGCTTTCGAAGGAATTTCCAGCACTAGCCTTTGTCGTATTTGCTAATACTATGTAAGGTCTTTGAACAGGACTGCGCGAAGAGTTAGAAAAATTTATAAGTGACCAAAGCTGGTGAGTGGATAAATTTTTATTTATCCACTGGGCGCCAGCTATCAATATGTGTGGGCACCAGGGCGCACAGATGAGATTAATGAGGGGCACCCGGAGGTTCCAGAGGTGATGGTACTTTCTCTTCCAAAGAACTCGGGAGAGGAGGGGGGGGAGGGGGGGGGGGGGGCTGGGCCCCAAGCCCCCCTTTAATCATTGCCTATGCTGAAACTCACTAAAAAAATACTGTAAAAAATCAGGAGAGTGCCCACCCACTTTCACTGAAAACTGGGTTAATTTAGACATGGGCACTTCTCCTTGCAGAATTAACAAGTATGGAAAATGTTAATAGTGGGCGCTTAACGAAGTGGACGCTTCCGCGGTATTTTACAGTATGTCTTAACCTCTAAATGCATGTTTCCAACCATTTCTCCAATAAGGACACAATAAATTCAATATGCGCATCTGCATCATTGAATCTGGCTTCCTCTGCTCTCGCAATAAAAGAAGAAAACAGCTTGATCTTTAATTCTGCACTGAATTCCCTAACGTCTTAAACAATAGACACATCTTGGGCTACTAACACTTCCAGTCTTTCCTCTAAAGTCGACATCCTAGCCTCCCCCTCCCCTCCTTTGTTCCCCTGACCTTCTCAGTTCGTACCAGTCTTGACTCTTACGGCACCTTTCCCTTCTCAATCTTTGTCTCCCCGTCTTATTTATTTATCTAGAATACTACTGGCTCCACTCAAGGAGCCATAGTAAAAGTAGTTACAACACAAATTTAACAAAACACTAGTTCTTAATGACTGCATGAGTTTTCCTGAAAAAGTTGCTCTTAGGCATAGATGAGTGCCTTTTCAGGAAAACTTAAATGAGCCTCATGCCGTTAATATTTCTTTAATCAATTATCTTTTTTGGGAAAAAAGCATCATGGGGTATGCAAATCGCAATCAGGCTGTTTAAATATTTTTTTTCTTCTTTGTAGTGTTTTTTCAAGGATACATACAAAGGAAAAAAACATTTTTTTTTAACAGCCGGTTGGGAAAAGGAAGTCATAAAACGAATTTACAACGAAAAAGAAAAATTTTTAGAGCTATATTTATGGTGCGATACGAATTTGTAGTTGGCGCCCGCGGGCGTTGTGGAAAAGTGGCCGCCATTTATCACGTGACTGGCCGCTATTAGTCACGTGGTGCTTCCGCTCTTTCGGAAGCTTCCTATGGTCTCTATAAAAGTTACTTTTTCATATTCGTTTGAAGTGCAAAAAAAAACTAAGATTAATAAGTAACTTTTAGAGCCCAAAAGAAGCTCCTGAAAAAGCGCAAGCAGACATGATAGACCTGTGCACCTGTCACATGACAGAGGCGGTGCCCTAGAGCAGACAAACTTGCGTGGCGGCGTGTGCGTGGAGAAACGCGTTGAACCGGCTGCGCACCACGCTCAGCGTGCAACGGCAGCGCAGCGCGACGGTGCACGGGTCTGCCATGTGACCCGCAGCAGCTGCCACGGGCACCAACCATAAATTCGTTTTGCGCCGTAAATATACCTAGTTCTACTTTTTTTTTTTTTTCCTTCGTTGTAATTCTTTTTAACATTCTTTTTCCCTCTAGAATGTTTAAAAAAAAAATGTTTCCTTTGCCTGTGTCCTTTAAGACATACGCAAGGCAGCCTATTCACCGCACACTGATGAAAAAAGTCGTTCTGGTAAATGATTTCTTTCATAGCACTTTCTTCATAAAGGATTCTTTCTTGTTTAGCTGTCTTTGATATCAGTAAACGGGAGGGCAATCTCGTAACTATTTTATTTTCTATCCTTTCTGCACTCCCTCAAAAATTAACTTAACAATTTGCCCGTGACTTCGGGTGCGGAGAGGAGAGGGGGGGGGTCAAACAGCATGTGTATATTATAGGGTCAGCTGGATTTCAGAGGGGGGGTGTTGAATCCCCATAAGCCTCTTTCCTGGCTTTGCCACTACAGTGGGGGACATTCACTACGTCACGAGTGTATTACAACCAATATGAATAATCTGGCTTTTAGCTGAAACGTTACAAACCGGTTCAAATCCTGTACAATACATTATTTTTTCCGTTCCGAGGCTGAACCGAACCAAAGTGTCCGAACTGTAACCCGAACCGTAACTGAAGAGAGTTTTGGTTCGACACCCTGTTTCTAACTTCTGAGCCAAAGCTTTCAGAATATGCAAAAACCCATGAAAGTAGGGAATTAAAACAACATTTCTCTTCGGAGCAACCTCAGAACCCATCGGCCTTTCTACAATTTGTCTACTCGAGATTGGTCCAAAGAATAGCAAACTATAACCAACTAACCTCAACCGCTCCAACTGTCACTGCCGACACAACGAATGCACAACTTTTTTACAGCATTGCCTATAGGGGACTTTACGACACCAACCTGCATCTTCGTTAGCGGAATGCTGAGCTAACGATTATTGCTCGCCTCCATTAGCAGAGGCAAGCAAAAATGTACCTCTCCCGGTGAGTACCGAATAAAAAAACAAAAGGTTTAGAGTTACGATGAGCGCGTTGGTAACATCCAGTCTCGTCCGGCCTTTTGTTAATTCTTTCTGATGTTTTTACCAAAGTTTTTTTTTGTGTGTGAGTTGTTTTTTTTTTTTTTAAAAGGGATTTAGCTGCTTTTTGTGGAAGCTTGCTTTTGATGGGATATTGTTTGTTGGGCTTCAGTCAATAAAAATGACTAGTTCTAGATGGCAAGACGTCTTAGTAAATTCACAGAAATAGAGATACATGGGCACCGTTTTCTCTTGGGGGGTTGGGGGAGGAGGAGGGGGGAGGGGGGGGGAGCCTTGGGTCTCCACCACCTCCATAAACTTTGACCAAGGAAAATAGTTAATTGCGTGGAGATTCCAAACATTAATATTACTGCTCGTTTTAGGCGTGTCGTGCATTACACTTCGACAAAAACGTAGAATCTTTGGGTGTATGAGACATAATGACAATTATTGTTTAAAAATGACGTCCAACGGAGCCCCCCAGTTTCTGGTCCAAGGCGCAGGAAGAGGCATGTGTCACAAACTTAGATTAGATTTTTAATAACAGAATTCTACAAATGCAATTTTTTTTTTTTTTAAGGATGCTTTGAGTTCATAGATTGAGTTATCATCATAAATAGGCAATCTCAAAATTCACTTGAGTGCCCCTTTAATTCGAAGTAAGCTTATTCCGAAGTGTTTTGCCGTCCCCGTGAGCTTTGAATTATTGAGTTGACTGAAACAGCTTTCAGCCAAAGCGAAATTATGAAAGCACGAAGCTTATGCACAGCTGTTCATTTGTGATCCCAAAACAACTTCACAGCAGCTGGCAGTCAAAACACAAAGCAGGTTGGGAAAAAAGTTCTCTAAAGGTATCAATAAGACACAATCTGCAAGAAAATTTATAGGCTCTAGTGCGAAGGGAAGTTAACTTGTTTAGCAACAAATATAAACAGTTTGTATAGAAGTACAACCAGCAGTTACCTTTCTGAAGAACAGTGCAAGGGAGCCAGAACGAACTGGCTTATTGCCTTCCGCAGCCTCAGAGGCTGAAGTGACGGTGATGACGTTGGGTCGAGAGCCTTCTGCAATTTGGACAGGGGCTTTGTTTTCTCCAGCCGAGAATCCAGAGATGCAAGCACCTGGAACCGCTTAACAAAAAGTAAAAATCAACAATGACATTTCAACTCGCTGCATTACAAATGTTCAATAGATAGTTGTCTCAACTAAAAATGTAAAAACAAAATCTAAAACATCCACCATATATCAACAACCAGTGTTGGATAAAAGTACATTTAAAAGGTACTTGAAGTACAAAGTAAGTGAGTGGTTATGAACTTCAAATAAAGTAGTAAGTACACCAGGCACAATGTACTTGAAGCACTATAAATACAATGTAAAGTACAAGTACTATTTAACACAATCTTTCCTTATGCCCTTTCATTGCCCTATAGTGTTTTTTTCTTTTCAACTGGTATGCATTGGCCCAGGGGTAAGCGGGGGTGCACCAGTTATTTTCGGAAAGGACGGTAAATATTGGACAAAGTCAAGCGGCCATAGAGTAGATATTTGCGGACATGGCGCCATATTCAGAAGTTTGAAGAACTTCTGAATTTGGGTCACTTGCACTGGCTTGGCTTGACCCTAAGAGGGTTAAATGTAGTGATGGACCGAATCTGCCGAACTTCAGATTCGGCAAAAATTCGGCAAACGTGTGCGCACGCGTGAGAACGCAACGGGGCCATGGGTTGCAAATGGACGCCGTGCGGTCGTGCGGTTACCATCGCACAGTGTAGTTATACCAGCGGTTTCGGTGAGGTGCAGAGTAGGCGACATGGTAACTGTGTGTTTGTCAGCCTTTGTGATTGTGGTTCTCTTCAATATTTTCTGCCTCAAGAACAGAAGTTCGACCAGAAATAAAAGCAAAAATGACGCAGTCCACTGTGCAAAGACAAATGATGCGGCACATTCAAGATAACATAATTTTCATTTTATCTTTCCAGTGATGCAACGAGGCAGTTGCAACATTGACTGACAAGTACTTTAAATTAAAGCACTCCTCACCATTCTAAAAATCCTGTTTTCAGCTCACAAGTAGTTTGTGCCAACACAAAATAATATTGCTTTTCAATTAGCGTTATTTTGCGGTTTTCATCTATCTGCATAAAACTAAACACAAAACTATCATGGTCGACGTTGCACATCCAACATTCCTAACTCTTCCCATCTTCCTAACGTCCGGTGTATCCTGACATAAGAAACCGGCATTTTAAAGGTTAAAAACGAGACGCTGTGAATAAGGGACGCACACTTCCATGCAAAGCTAAAGTGACTCAAATCGAAAAATATGCACATTTACAATAATATTGTAATCTCTTCTGGTGAAAGCTCAACAGCCGTTGCATTCATTTTCGCGCATGAAACGGTGACTCGCAGAGGAAATATAGAACACAGTGCTATTGCCTTTTTTTTAACAATACACATATTGCACGCTTGCGCTGACGAGGCCTCAAAACCGAAACTCACGTATCGTGACTATGTTGACCGTGTCTGCTACTAACCAACCCCGTTGTCACACCAAGTCTGCAAAATTCACTTTAAAATTGCCAGTAAACACACAAAAATGACACTGGTACAATTATTGTGTAGAATATCACCTTATTTAGTAAAAACTGCGTCAATATACATTTTAAAAAAAACCTAGAAACTTTTTTCGCATGAAAAACGATACATCAACTTTTAGGTCTGGCAACGATGTATTTTTACCGAATTTTTAGAAAAGTTCGGCAAAAATTCGGCTCTGGCCAATCCTAAGATTCAGCGCCTAATTTTCGATTAGGCATAAGTTCAGCCCATCACTAGTTAAACGTACTAGGAGAGAGCATGACGTCAGCCCCGTAGCTTCTGCAAGCAATCCTTTCATGAAGGAGTGTCCTCTAGCAATATTTTTAACCTCCTCACTCGCGCTGACCGAGCAAGAAGTACGTAGAGTTTAAAATGCTGCAAAAAACGCAGCCCCCAGTACAAAGGGAGTGATGCATCCCCTGCTCGCATTTCTGGCGAGAATAGGACATCCCTCCCGGTATTTCTTCCGAGTAGACAAAGCATCATTTTGCAATACAAATTCAACAAGACCAAATTTGGGGAACATAATTTGAAGTCATGAGTTGTACTTTCCTCAGAAAGTGGCATAAAAAGAAACTAATAATTAAAGTACAAGTACAGTCAGGGGCAAAAGTCCCCAGGACGCGCGAGCTACAACTGAAACGCTTTGCTCCGCCATCTATCAGTGGGCCGCCTGGTTTCGAGGTCCCATAAAAGCGCATGTGCCTCCTACTGTGCCTGCAAGCATGCGTGTTTTCCTACTCTTCTGCGGCGCGGTGCCTAACCCAGAATCGGGCGCGTGGTGCCGCTTCAGTGACGGCGCTTGCGGCTGACGAGCATCTGCCACACATTCTGAAACTGGAGATGCCACTTGTGGCACTGCGTCGCATCTCATCGTGCAAGTGAGCCTTGCTTTATAACCAGTTGAGCTTATTGCACAGTTCAGCTGCCGTGACTTGTTGCTTTATAGATGCTATATCAGAAAGCATGTCCTAATGATTACGATACACAGAAACACATGAAATCACCGCATATTGAAAAACGGACTCACTATTGGCCAGCAATGGGCTGTTTCGGAATGCGTAGCAGACGCTCCTCCGCCACAGGCGCTATCTCCGAAGCGGCACCACGCGCCCCATTCTGGACTAGGCACCGCGCCGCACAAGATCGGGAAAACACATATGCTTGCAGGCACAGTAGGACGTGCAAGCATTTTCGTGTGATCTTGAAACCAGGCGACTCACAAGCTAGACGGCAGAGCAATGTGTTTCAGTCGCAGCTCGCGCGTTCTGGGGACTTTTGTCCACGACCTACTCAAACAATTTACTTCAAGTAAAATACAAGTTTTCTAAATCTACCTGAAGTAGTACTTTAAGTACTATGTACTGAAAGTACTTCCCAACACTGCAAACAACAAGGGGAAAGAAGACATAATGGGAAGTCAATAATAAAGTAGTATCCAGATCAAACAAAGAAACGAGAAAACTATAATAAATATAATGAGTAACTACCAAAGTTATTGTAACCTCGCTCGATCCTTTCCAAGTACTGGCACGCATCCCGATTCGCACGTACCAGCATACCTGGCACACTTTATAAGGTCAACCGCCAAAACCTTCTATGAACCCCCTTTGACGACAGAAGTGAACAGTCCGACAGTGAGAAAGAATACAAACGAAAAACATATGCTACTCACGCTGCAATGTGATGGACACTGTGCGCATCTGGCCACCAGAAGCTGCATCCGACTTGACCAGTTGCACGGAGCTGACGCCACTGTTTGTGAGACTGCTTGACGCAAACAGCCTTCGGCGAACTGTGCTTCCGGGAGACTGGAACCGCTCAGCCAGTGACACAGGTGAAAGTGGAAGGTCTGCATGATACATCATCGTGGCACATGACACGTGAAATCAAACTAAGACCGATTTTAACTCCCTTACAACTGACATAGCTCCTAATTACACTCAAATGAGTCCATGCTGAAGCACCCATAACAAATTCAGTTTTGATGAGTTGGTCAAAAAGAAAAGCTCCGAGAAGCATTTTTTTTAGACATCAGACAATGAGCCAAAGTCCTTTGTTAGCACTTTGTTGTAGCAGGCAAGACCAGGTGGTTCTTCAAGCAATACACTATATTAGGCACCAACAGGATGAGAACCGCAGGGCATATTTTTTGAATGCTCCGACTCTGGCACATCCTCGTTCCCTTCCATCATGCAATAGCTGCACATGCACGCTCGGAGCGCAATCAGAGGTACAAAGCTGGCGTAGAAGATGGGACGACTGACAGACCTAGCCAGAATTTTCAACCCATCAGAGATTATAATCACAATAATTATAGTTGACTTTATTCCCGAGGCTTCCTAGTTTGGTACACATGCAGAATTATGCAAACATCTAGAATTCTAAGTTGCATACATTCAGTGACACTAAGTTGAAACAAATCTGGTGAAAATAAGCGGCAAGCTAAGTTTGAGAGTGTTACCAACGAAGAGTGGAAAGTTAAATTATTGCAAGTACTTGTGTAAAGGCTGCACCCTCAAATGCCAAGCAAAAAGAGATAAATCTAACAGCTCTATCAACATTCAAGCCTGCAGTGCAGTGGTTCTCAACCATTGACGTTTCAAGGACCCCTTCTAGATCAGATATCAAAAAGGAATATCAGGGCAGGCTATTTTTTGGGATGTCATGGTAACTAAAAAGCAATTATGTCACATTTTCAACGAGTCTGACCATATGCAAAGAACAGAAAATAGCTGTACCCCTCCTCATCATCTGGGCACCGTCTTGGTCACCCTTCAGACCTCTTATTGATAAGTGAGCCAAGGAAGAAGCAGCAGCTGGCGCAGCATTGCCATCATTCGACTCGGGCTCTTGAAAGGTCTCAATCTGTCGCCGAAGCAGCACCTGAAAAAGTTTCAAAGAAGACATCTCTTTTTGGTCTCTGCGTCAGACAATGAAGCATTGATAACTTTTTTCTAGGAAAAAGGACAAAGTACGCCATTATATGGGTGTTCCCCTCAACTGTGACCAACCTCTTTGCATGCAGGAACTGACTGTGCAGATACAATGGCTTCCCAAAGAGGTGACTCCTCTTTCCATGCTGAGCATTCCAGGATCTGCTCTTCAATCTGAAAAATGCAAAACCGGAAAACATGCAGATCTTTGTTCCCAATCCTTACTGGAAGAAAACCTTTGATAGCTGGCATGCCTTTAAGACCCTTTAAACAGGTATGCAGGGCTCACATGATTCAGGTGCTTGACAACCTCCCGCCAAAGGCCCTCTTCAGCCCGAATGAGTGGCTCGATTATCTTGTAGAAGTTGTAGGGCACAAGACCAAAGATTTCCAGGATCCATGGGAAATCCCTATTTCATTCATTGCAAAAATACAGCATACAACAACAAATTTTCTTTTAGAAACACTTTTCAAGAAGGAAGAAGATAAAGAAAAATTGTAGCTTAGAGCGAGGGATAAGCGCCATTCACACATATGCAACCGACCAAGACTGAGAGAGACCAGACCGTCTTTTTTTTGCGATGTTTTAGGACCAGCTTCGTTGCAGCATATTCGGTCCCAAGACGTCGCAAGAGGCTTAAAAAACCGGTCTGGTCTCTCTCGGTCTTACTCGGTTGCACACGTGTGAACGAGCCCCCCCTTTAAGTGTTTTCGGATAAATCCGATAAACTCCAAAAAACACTCGCCAGTAAAATTTTCGTCAATTTAGATTTATCCAAAAAACTCAATTTCGAGGTCACGATAGTAAAATAAAATGTTAAAAAAAAATGGTATTTTAGGAATAAACTTTGTCAGAGAGCAGGGTTAGCAGTATTGAGAAAAGGCCAATTCAGTTCATTTTTTTTTTTTTTTTTTTCTTCTTTGGACTGAAGGGAGTTTTTCATTTATCACGTCAAGGTTTGTTCAGTACAATGGACCAATGTACTTGATGTATGAATTTCGAGCATGTTTTTTTGTTTTTTTTTTTAACATTATTCATTTTTATTGAAAAAAATAAGAACAGAGTAAAATTAATGAGATTCAGAGAATCGGGAATCTAGCAAACAAACTCCAATAAATCCTTAATTTCCAGCTAATAATAAACTAAAAAAAAAGCCCTCCGAATTTTACAAAAAAAATAAACTCAGAAAACACGTAGTCCTACTTATAGCTTATTTGGCGGGCCGACTCTGTCAACAAGGGCACAGATCATATAAATCCCTTTCGCTCTGGAAACTTGCTTCAAGCAATTCTCTTCTGGCATGACTTCAGCATGTTGCCACGCCTGTGGTGACTAGCCCATCGAGATGGCCTTTAACTTTCTAAATGTTTCCCAAAACAAAACGAAAGTTAAACAGAGTAGAACATTCTCACACACGCTGAATGTTGAAATACCTTTGAGAGTTGTAGCAAAACATGACAATCTCCAGACAGCAGGCAAAGAGTGACTGTTGAAACACAGTGTGGCATAGGTGGGCCTGTATGACGAAAAGCAGGCGTTAGCATCAACACCCTTCTCAATACACACACCAAGTTTTACAAGGATGGACTGGAAAATAAACGGAACTCCTTCGCAGAACATTACACCAAAACAGGTTTCAGCTGGTGAGTTAGGTTAGAGTCTACAGACAGTGGGCATGGACAAGTTGATTCGATCTATAACCAACTTTCCAAACCGGTTCCTGGTTTCAGTCCCACCAAGCCCCTAAGCAACACAGTATCTCGGCAATTCAGCTGTAAATGTTTCAAAAACAATATGTCTACAGACAATTGCATGGTCTCAGACCAGCTATTTGACGAAAGGAAACTTGGTGTGCAAGAACTGTTTGATTGTGCGTTATTGGTCAAGATTCCCTGTGAGCGGCAAGCAAGAAATGCCGACTACTCTTGGTTTCATTCATATGCTAACTAAGTATGTTCCACAAATATATCAGACCACCAATCTTAGGAGCACCTCGGGTCCAGGTTTTCAAGTGAAAATGTGTGGCACTTTTTAATATTAGTGAAACATTCTTTTTTTAATATGTATTCCTCAGGTTAGTGACATTTTGAATGCATTTTATTATAAGCAGCGACAGGTTAAGAATGCAGTAAAAGCTCCGCCTTCAGCATGCGCCCGTTGCCTTCCATCGTGCTTTGGCTGCAGATGTGCCAAAGTTTAATCAAAAATAGAAAGCTCGCGCTGGAGGTAGAGCTTCTGCTGGGTTCTTAACTTGTTGCCGACCGCAGCATCTTATATTTATGGCAAAAAGAAAAGGATTTGTCCGGATAGAAATAAGCAGAACAGATGAGAAGTAGGCAGCAAGCAACAAACAGTGTAGCGATTAATTATCGATGCAAAGGGGAATAAACATTTACCGACAGGTCGGTGTTCGGTTTCTGCTGCTTCTTTTCAATGGCAATGATGTTCTCCAGTGCCTTGAAAAACAAGGTCTCGCCTAGCTGCAGCCGTTTGCGTGCGAAGTCCATGTGGGCGCTGCCTCCCCGCTGGTCAGACACAGGCTGCAGAAAGGATGTTCATTTGAGACCCAGCTCTTTGCCAGTATTCTACTCCCCCTATCATAAAACAAAGAAAGAATGAAAGGTAGAAGCTACAGCTCACTTGGGCAAAGGCTTCGCAAAAGATGTCGCCCATCTCTTTGACCGTCTCTTGAATGCTCGTCTCCAACGTTGAATCAAATTCACTAAAACAAAATCAGATGATGAAGGATAAAGCATGTCCAGTGCAACTCGAAGGGATGAAAGTCTGAATGCTTTGTAGCAGTTTTAGGAGCGGCAAAAGCTGTTTATCAGAGTAGCATTTGAACAAACTGTCCCTGCAAAAATACTGGTTGGCATACATTTTACGTACTGCACAAAAGCTCAAACGACAGGGGAAAAAAAGGTCACTCCACCATATGTCCCGTCAGCTTTTCTAGCAGTGTCACATTTTCTTCTTTTTTTTAAAATTATCTTGAAGTCGATTAAAAGGGCCCTACCTACCTCCTTCTCTGTCTCTAATTTGTAGCTGTCAGAGCCTAACCAGACACCTGGGGTTCACCCTTATCGGCACTCTTCACAACATGCCACAACATGTCGATCTAACCAAATAGAGGCAGCAATTTAAAACTGAGAAGCAAAGCAAATAAAAAAACTACAGCGTAACTTTGAAGATTTAGTCTATGTAGAAACATGCGAAGAAGCAATAAGAAGCTTGGTGAAACAAACTAAAAAAGGAATCGCTAGATTGAGTTTGTGGTAAACAAATTGTGCCATAATAAATTATAATGTTGCATTAAAGCGAGATGAAAACTTGGCAAATTAAAATAGTAAAAAGGCACTAGTTTCCGGATGCAGATACGCCTGCAAAAACCACCCAGTGTGGCGCCCTGACCACAGTGAAGAGAATGAAAACAGTTGCTACCAAGACTCCTTGTATCAAGAGCACATCCTCACCCGAAGAGTGCCTGAAGCTCCTTGCTGGCGGCATTCTTGCAGCCTGCCAGGAGCGCCTGAAGCTTACTGGCGCACTGCGTGGCCGTCGAGACTGGACTACGATTAATTGCCTCCCTGTTGTGCAGATTGCCCCGGCCCGTGAGCGGCGTCAAAAGCGGCTGCACTTCGAGCTTCTGGAACTAAGACATACACCACACCATTCCACGACCCAAAAGTCAGCTTGGACTGAATCACCATTAAAGGGTGAAAACAGACGTACGTTGACAATGCCTGGCATCCTGGGCCTGTGCAACTCGCGTTGCACGGAGTCCGCAAAGTGCCTGGGCGTGCCAATGCGCTCGTGAGCGTCGCTGGCAAGGAAGATGCGCTCGTCCAGTTCTCCCTCTTTGAGGACATGCTCTTCGTAGGTTTTGTTCAGGTTTTTCCTGGGAAGAGTGAGGGAGAGCTCACACAGTTTCTTTCAAAGTCAGATTTGGGGATTTTATGTGCCAAACTAACGAAGGTCATCTGGCACAACCCGGCCAAAGAGTCGGGATTAACTTTGAACACCAAGGGATCTCCCGACATGCAAGTGAAAGCTCGGTTACACGGAGCATTCTCTCCAATAGGCCTTCGACACATTGCAGGCACCTCAGCCGAGATTCAAACCTGCCACCTGGGGATCCATAGGCGAGTAAGTTGCCCAGGAGCTACCAGGGCAGCTACATTTTTTATTGAAATGTATTGAAGTCAACATGCATGTTGCAATCAGCCTGACAAAAGTAGAGCCTGCCAGATTGAGGCCCTTCTCAAAAATTTGTCACGAAGCTCAAACTGCCCATGAAATCAGTCAACTGCAATAGTTTGCTTACATGCTCTTGTAAAATGCCGTTGGCTCCAAGAGTAGCGTCAGCGTCTGCAAATCTCCTTGCAAGACCTGGGAATATAAAAACCAGAGCAAATCTAGTATCATATTTTCTCGCATACCCTACGAACTGTTGCTGCCCTTCATGCTTTGAAATGAGCTGGAAGTCAGTTTTTAAACTTTTTTTTTTTATTAGTTTCATGCACATGGCTGCAAGAAGAAAAGTTTGTTTTTATATAGATACAGTCTAAGCTCGTCATAACAGACCTTGATTTTGACAAAGATTTCGATCTGTTGTACAAGGAGTATGTTGTATGCAGATATGAAGTTGAGTCAATGGTACATAGAGGAAAGCCAACCGAACTTCACAAATTGGTATGCTATATCCAAATGTCTGTTGTAACCAGGTCTGTTATGAGCTTAGACTGTAGTTTCATAAGCGACACCCTGAAGATTTTAAAACTTGTATGTGAGGTAGGAATTAAACATATACAAATTATGTTTTTATCAGTCCCATGCAACTTTACATAGCCAATTACCAAGAAAAGTCATCAATCTTGTGAAAACAGACAAGCCTTATTACTCATTGCTACTTGTAAAGAATGTCTGTCATGGAATAAATCACTGCGCTGGACTTCCCCACACCCCCTCCCGTCTCAAGATTTTGAGCACCGTAATTTTGCCGTGCAAAAAAAAAAAAAAAAAAAGAAACAATGAAACTTTTCTCTCTCTCTAAAAAATAAAAATGCATTTGATTTTGAAAATCCTTTACCAAAAAAGACTCTTTCAGTCGCCATTCTTTTTCCCGGCATACACAAATTGCAACCTCGACGCAACTTTAACACTTGCCACATCAAAGCAAAGAGGTCATATTTGAAGCTCCTGCGATGGGAGCCCTGCCTTGCCTTTTCTTCCATTAGCTTCTGGATGGGGTGCTTGAAATGGTGCGCCTTTAGGACAGAAGCATCCTCAAAGGTTCCATCATGATTGTTCACCAGCTCTCGGATAATTCCCATGTCTTGGTTATCGGCATCTCGGGCCTTCTTCTGCTGAGCTGTAGAGGCCCCGCATATTCGTATGACCAATAATAGCAGACTATTGGCAACGGAAAGAGAGAAGTGCCTGGCCATTTACAACTTCATGCAAGGCTGATCGCACTTGGCGGTAAAAAAAGGGTCATCAAAAGCAGGTAATCTAGTCGCTTCCGTAATTGTGCTGCCGTATTTCATTGCACAGCTGTTTATACATAATCTATACATAATGTTGAAGAGCTCTCCTACATGACGGGTATTGGGAGCATGCAACACATAAAGAGGCGCGCACCAGTCCGCCTTGGCGGCTACACAGACGACAGCGTTCGAGCTATGTCTGCCCGCTCAGGCCTTAACTTGCAGCGTCTTGGCCGCGTCTGTGCCTTCCCGTGGACGCAACTCTCGATCTTGATCCCAAATAAAGGTTTGGCACCATGACATCTGAGAATGTATCCATGTCCAATGTTGCTCTTTACATCTTCTGACATCATTCGACTCGCAGGAATTGATCGGAGCTCGAATTAAATTGTGTCCCCCCCCCCCCCAATCGTAAGCGGCAACGACCACAACACACCGCCATGTTTTTCGTTTACCTGCGCTAGAACATGACTCTACAAAGCATCTCCATGTTTGATGGTCCTAAAATTACTACGGGACGACATTCACTAGTGCCACAAAGTGATAAAATCTACATAAGAGGTATTTTTCACTCCCGTTAAGTCAAGATTGCTTTTCTCTCAATGGCGCAGATCAAGCAGACGCACGGGAATAGAGATGATTGCATTTGCTTTCACTATTGTACTGAGAGAATGTATTCCCAATTTCTGGGTCTTGTGTAAAGAAAAAAAAGTTTTGGCTGATTGAGGCCTTAAACATTTTGTATAGCGCTGTACTCGGGCAAGCTGACATTGATTAGAAATTAAGGTTGGCCGCTACACACAATGTCTATGTGAAAGGCTTCTGCTAGGAGCCACACTGTGACGCGACAGTCTTGTCGCACACTTCCAATAGCTTGCTGTGGGTAGGTCCAGAGCCGTATATAGAGAGAGTTTGGTCAATGGGAGGAGAGGGAAAGAGCCAGGGCATGCATGAGACGCAGATAAAGGGCTTGACGTGTTCTTTTGGCCAACCAGAAGCAGAAAATAATCTCCTAGCGGTGGTAGTGAGAAACACTTTTATTAAGTGCACAAAAATTAAATGAAGCAACTTTTCATGGTTTAAAATATAGTGCACCTGGTGTTTCAATTATGATCATGGAAAAAGATGCAAGAATCGAATGTGCCGCTCAAACTCCATTTTGCTCGGTCAGAGTATGACTGCTTAAATGGCATTTTCCCAGCCCTTGGCACCTGGCATACGGATCACGTCGATCAATCTCCTAGATTTTGATTTTGCATGACTGTGATAGAAAATTCGTGTGCACCATATTTTCAGTCACCAAGAGTTTCTTCAACGCACTTAATGATCTTGTTTCTCGCGATCAACGCCAAGGTATTATTCACGGCTTCTGGCTGGCCACATTCGAATCTGTGAAGACCCCTTGGAACACACCCAGCTCGCTCTCGGCCAATGGCACCTCCTTGTTAGCCTCCTGCACTTCTCAATGAATGGCCAAACTCTCTCTACATACGGCTCTGGGTAGGTCGTGAGTGTGTGCGACTGGCCCATAAGAAACGCCATTCCCCCCCCCCCCCCCCCCCACCCAAAAAAGAGCTTACATATCTCGATCATACCCTAGGTCGATAGGTTCTCTCATGAAAAATCACGAAAGAAAACTGTGCAAGCAAATGTAGTTTTCTGATTGATCGATAACCTATCTAAATGGAGGAAATACAAAATAACCTTCAAGATGTTTGTCACTCTGGCATACTGACATCTCTTGGAAGTTGATAAATACAGATGACCTCCTTAATTACACCCACTAACACATAACTGCATAAATTCCTAATATTTGAACAAACGTTTGAAAAGATCATGCATTTCAAGGGTAGTATTAATGCCAAAGCCGACTAGAACAAGTCACACCTCAACTGGAGGATCTACAGAGGTGCGCAGCACCCAGGACTAAATTATCCAAAATGAAAACTTAGCATGCGACAGACCCTCATAAAAGGTGGGATTCAGGAGGTCTTCAGTCCGCCTGGCAGTCACAGCAGTGCAGTAGCCGTAGTCTATGCAGCAAAGTAGCAGGTGGTAGCAGTTCACAAGGTCGCAGCAGATTTGAGAAAAGCGCCCTGAAGAAAAATAGACCTCGAGTCACGACACTAAATTTAAGTGGACGGTAAAGTATTTTTTTTTTAACCGAACATTATAATGTATTTTGCACACTGACAAAGGAAAGGAAAGCTACTTTACCATAGTCACTTTAAAGTACCTCTTGTTGACAACTAAATGTAGCAAGTTTTGTAACATTTCTCAAAATACCGAGACTTTCAAAAGCCTACCTTTAATGTAGACATAGAGTGTCCAGATGAAATTGAACATGTCATTTGACGTGCACATAGAAGGCCTGAAAGAGAAATAGATAAATTTTAACCAAGTGCTTCGAAAACCCTACAAAATTTTCAGGGAGGGGGGGGGGGGGGGGGGGGGGGGGGGTGAGTAGATTGCCTCCCAAAAGCATATCTTGACTGCAAAAGGGTTAAAATGCACTCTTGATATGCGTTCCTGACAGTGTACATTTAGGCTTAGCACTGTTTGTGGACACGTTGAAATAAAAATTATAAAAATTCATTGCAAGTTATACACAATGCTCAAGAAGGCCCACAACTCAAAGTAGTGCAGCTTTTCTCATAGTGCATGCAGAGAGTCAATCTCTGTTAGTGAAAGAAATATTTCTTGCAAGCACTGAAGCGCAGATAAGATTTCAAGCCAAAATATGGTATGTGCTGCTGAACAGTGCAAAAGTAGAACTTTATTTGTATTTTCTAATTCACCAAGCTAAATCTGCAGAGATAAGTGACTGGCTTTCCACGCATTGCATCGAGAGCTGCACAGCTGATTGAGCTGGAAACTGTGCGGTGACTGCTTAAGACTTTATGCCAAAGTTACTAAAACACGTAGTTGGGAAACTCGCCCTTGAAACCCTGACCGCCCACATCGACCGAGACCAAACTAAATATGATAACAGCGCCGCACTTTAGCGACAAGTCAGAACATCAAAGTTCATTTATATTGCTACTGTGAAATGGCACTGCGAGATGGCGCCACCGGCCCTAACATGACTCGACCTGAACCGACGCATGCAGACATGCAGTTCCCGGAGTGGTCACTGCGGGGGAAATAACGGCATTGCAATCGCCATTAGTTTGATTCTGATTATGAATCGAAACCACTTTTTCAAAGCAGACTCTATGGCAGCGTCCCAACTGAGTTGTTCTAGTAACGTAGCTTTTAGCACATCCCGACAAAAGAGAATAGGATTTTTTTTAACTTTGGGGGTGATATAGCCAAAAACAAGCCAACCAGACTTGCCTGTGCACTCTCCGTTTCGCTCCCTTGGTGAGTCGCCGCGGTGCTTCGACCTGTGGTTCCTTGAACACAGCAGCGAAGATACCGACATACTTCTCATAGATCTTTGCCGTCACACAAAAGCTTTTCTCTATGGTCTCAATCCGTCGTCGCATGCGCTCATTCAGGTTGGCCATGTCGGCCCACTTCTTCATCTTGGTAAAGAAGTCAAGCAAGCTGCAAAACCCCAAAGAACAAATTTTGCGACTAGAACCATTTAGAGTCAATGAGAAAAGTTCTCTCTCATGCTCATCCAAAGAAGGCCATCTAACAAAAAATATAACACTTTCTTCGGGTCCTAACAGTTCCATTACTCACCATGGTTTTAGTAATAGAGCTTGACAGAGTCACATCTAATTCAATTCACCAGCCTCAAGACACTTCAACGAGAGAGAGCTTTTCAAACAAGGAACGAGAGAAAGAATAAAGAGTGATTAACAAACCTAATCTTGCAGGTTGAGAGGAGTCTTGTGAGTGACACGCAGTTTCCCTCAATATGTGAGGAGTGAGCCACAGTAGGGATATTTCCATTTCGACACTCAACATACAGCGCACAGGCAATCCAGTGAAGGTTGTCACCCTGTAGAAAGACAGACATCAGTATTTCACTGTACACTGTACATCGAAGCAGGAAGGAAAAGAGACACACCAAAGCAAGATAACCAGTCAACTTTCAATCGAACAACTGCACTGTTCGTTCCAATGGGTATTGTGGTACAAACGCGAGGCACCTCCTATGTTATAGCTAGAGTTCCATGTTTGCGGCTGAGCCGTATATACAAAGAGCTCGACCATTCATTGGGAAGTATGGGAGGCAAATGAGGAGACGCCTTTGGCCGAAAGCAGGCTGGGCGTGTTCCAGGGCGTCTTCACAAATTTAAATGTGACCAACCAGAAGCCGGAAATAATACCTTTGGCGGAGGTCGCAAAAACAAAATTAATAACTGCGTCGGAGTAACTCTCAGTGACTGAAAATATGGTGTATGTGATGTTTCAATCACAGTCATCCACAATCATGGTGGAAGAGTGCGACTCGCGAATGATCGACATAATCCGTACGCCAGGCGCAGATAATCTGCCATTTGAGCGGTCACACTCTGAGCTAAACAGAGTTGGAGCAGAACATTCGTTTCTTACATCTTTTTGCATTATCATAATCGAAACATCACATGTACCCTACTTTTAACCATAAAGAGTTACTACATTTAACCTTTATGCTCTTATTAAAACTGTTTCTTGATATCACCGCTAGGGGATTTTGTTTTGGTTGGCCAAGAGAGCATGCCAAGCCCTCTATCTGTGTCTGGTGCACGCCCTGGCTCTGCTTGCTTCTCCCATTGGCTAAACTCTCTCTATACATGGCACTGGTCTTTGGCATACACCGCTAACACCGAAAAATAACTCCCGAACCGGTTTTATCAAAATCGGGAAAAACCAAAAGACCCCAAGTTTGAGCTGTCCTTGAATAAGAAGAATCCGAGCTCAAAGTTGGGGAAACCCACGCCTGTGTCCCGTTTCCTTAAACATAAGCCCCCAGTAACTACCAATATTTAGTCCAACAGCGAGAACTGACACCGAAAAACACAGCATCTGCCCCCCCCCCCCCCCCCCCCCCTCAAGAAAAAAAACCTTGAATTTGAAGAAAAATAGGCCCCAAAAACAAAGAACCCTAGTCATAACTACATGTTTTTGGTGTACACAGCTAACAATGAAAAGCAAGCATTGAGGTGGTTTTGTTGGAATCGGGGGGAACAGATTCACAGAAAACCAAAGTCAGCTAAGGTTTTTGTAAAACCTACTAATGGAATTAAAAAAAAAATTCAGGTAGTGGGAAGAAATTTTTATCCACAACTTTATTTTGTTGACCCAGAACACAGATCATACTTTGTGAGCCGCACCCGTGGTCCAGTTTCCTTCTCTGCTTATTGTGTATGTTCCACTTTCTAGAAATGCTACATGAAATGCATTCACACTGAAAACAGAAGCCCTAATAAATGCCGACATCTCCCCTGCACCGAAAATAGACACGGACAAACACCAAAATTGGGGGACGAAATACGCCCCGAAAAAATACCCTCGAATTTTAAGAAAGATACACCTCAGAAAAACGAAATTAAAGTCATAACCTTCCATTCCGTATCATGAAGCCCTGAAACTTTGAGGGTTACACAAGATGTGATCACCAATAAAAGCAAGAGGCTGCAATGTCCTTTCAGATTGGGAGAATGTTTATGTATCTACAGCATGTACACTAATGCATCGAATCCACTTTCGACAATCTGCAAAAATCGGTTTCTCAATGTGTTGCGCTGCCATTTACTACTGAGGTGCGGCTAGGTTGTGGAAGCTTGGAGTGGAACTATCAGTGGATGAACTTTCCTCAAAAGAAAGAAGAAAAACCTGTTTCGGGCAATCTACGGCAGCATTCGCAGACGACTTCATGACTCTGCTCGCCTAGTTGTATGTGCTTCAACAGATGGCACAGTCCAAGACACGAGAGTATGCAGCGCCTCGACCGATTATCTTCGCACCAAAAATGGGGAGCCATAAGAGGTTTAAATCCATGTATTCCAAATCAATCCATTTTTATTTTTAAAAAAAATTATCACACTTTCAGAATTGTACATAAGAGAGACACGTTCTGGCATAATAAAATGTTTCAAAAGATTGCCTGCTAAGCTCGGCGCCGGCACGCTCGGTGCTTCCCAGCGGCACAAATTGGGCGAGCACGGTCATCAAACTGCCTGCGAATGCTGCCATAGATTGACTGAAGCAGGTTTTTATTATATATTTTAGGAACGAGGTAAGTTAATCAGTTAATATTTTCACTCCAAGCTTCAACCTTCTAGCTGCCCAATTGCAGCTAGAAGGTTGAATATGTGCTAAATAGCAGTGCGATACGTTCAGAAACCTATTTTTTTGTACTGTCTAAAGTGGGTTTGAAACATTAAAGGGATGGTGAACCGAAATTTGAATTTCAGAAAACAATGCAGGAGCTGTAGGCGGGACGCTACAATCCCTACAACACTACTCGTAAGGAGATATCTCAAATCAACGACCGTATTTAAAAAAAAAAGGGTTGTGATTGAACAAGGTCGACGAAGCGCATGACGTCAAAATATCTCGTTTCCTCCTCTCTTTGTTTCGCCCCCTCAACGCGGCGAGGCTCCGCCATGAGGCCATTCCTTCTCCTTCTCAAAGAAGACGCAAGGCCGTTCCCTCTCCTTCTCAGAGAAACAATACGTAAACATATGTCAAATGCGCCTCCTTTTTATTTTATTATTTTTTTTTTAATACAGTCATCCGTTTGATACATCAATATATGAGTGATGTTTTGATGTTTGTAGCATCATGTTGCACGCTTTTGCCGCCGTGCTTTATGGAATCCAGATTTTGGTTCAGCATCCCTTTGCAGTCGCACTCTAACGCAACTGTGTGAAGTTGAACGAGCCTTTAGTGTACATGCTGTGGATAGCGATCCTAAAAGAGGAATAAGAACATAAGTTTTCCCTTCTGTCCCTCACAGCCACCAGTGCCAATGCAATGGAGGCAGAAATTGAACGAGAAGAGGGGACGAGAGGGATGTTAGAACACCGAGCTCTGGCTGGAGTATTAGTGGGTAGACCTACAGCTGGCTTCCTTTGTCTCTACTACATTCGTCGAACATGGAACGCCGGCGTACAGTGTTCAAATGCATTCGAACAGTGCTGTGGAGAGCAAAGCTATCTTTGTCTTCACTACACTCGTCGAACACATTAGTTAGAACACGGAACTCCGGCGTTTGGCGTTTGGCCATAGCGTTTGAACAGTGCCGTGAAGAAGGCAACTATACTCTGTTTCACCTTATGTTGTACCGCAAAAGAGGCTATAAGCGAGAGCTCCTTGTTCTGGGCAGAACTCGGCTTCACAAGCTCTCGTGCAGTAAGGGCAGCTGTCAACGCTCTGAGCTCGCGCTTCCAGCCTTCGCTGCGGTACAACATAAGGTGAAACGGAGTATAGCTTTATGTCAACCCATTTAATCATTCCAACCAGAGCTCGGTGTTCTCATGTCCCCGCGTGTTCCCGTCTCCTCCTCACCCTCAGTTTCTGCCAGCATACATTAGGAAATAGCAAAATGGCCATGAAACTCCAGATGATCAAGTTTACAGCTACTGCTTTAGTGCCAAATATCTCTTCAAGCTGAAACGATTCTGGCATTTGAGTATCCAGAAGATCCTTGCACAATGTGGCAGACTGTACAAAGCTAGAAACTGCTGCTTAATTTGAGCCCGTGCAACTTTCGCAGGACATTAACCGACGGCTTTAAGATTTGTTACGAGGCTCCATTTCCTCAAATGGGAAAGTCAGTGCTAAGTATTTCTGAAAATTCAATATGAACCTTCAGTGCATTCATATTTTACAACATTGTCCCCTCAAAACGTAGCACAATTCCAAGTTGGAGCCCCAATGTGTGTCTTCTACATATTGTGCTGTGGAAGTTTTTTCAATATAACCTTCCCACTGACTCTTCTCAATACAGGTGCCTGTGTGATCATGCAAGGAAAATACAAAACTATCTGCCACATCAATTGCAGTAGAGAAATTTATTTCCCAAATATTAATTTAGTAGAAACAAGTTTTCTTGAAATAATAAAAACACCAAAATAACCCTTATATGCTGCCATAACTAGGCTAGCTTTGCCTCTGACACGGGATTCATACAAGCGAGACGAAAATGGCAACGAAGTGTACGTTTTTCCTGAAATTCTGAAATGGTTTCCAAAATTTTCGCAATATGATAGGAAAAAAGTCAACACCATCCAGTGTTCGAAAAGCATGCATTCTCCATGACATCTATCGTTCATACCAACGATCTACGCATGAGTCAACTCTAGCAAAGATAGAGAGGCATTGCAGGGTAGAAACTTTAATTAGCCGTGAAGGTCGGCTCCACGATAGAGGCTTTCGCAAGTTTCTAGCTACACTCTTCAATCAAATTCAAAGTACAGCCGGCGACTGATTCAACACCCTCCGAACGCTTTGCAAGCTGCCTGGGTGGGCAGTACGCAGAACCTGGAAAGGAAAACAAACGAACCGGGTGCGGTGATGGAATGCCGCGTTATATCACGGTCGATCGACATTTCGACGGAAGAACGACGTTTCTCACGTTTTCTCGTTGCCTATGAAGGAGCAGATGCAAGTTTGTTGACCGATGTTGTTTTCTTTAGAACCCCACTAAACCTCCGCTCGCTCAATCAGATACTTGTGAGGCGACTGACAAAAGGCTAGCACTGCGCCGTGACTGGGAATAACGAAAAGTTCTGTTCCACGAGGTCCACGAAACCGGCTGACTGCGACTTCCACAGCTGAGGCATTCGGGATCATTCGAAGGTTGGGAAGATTTACCTCGAGTGTGTAGTTCACGCTGATGCTCTCGTATGTGTGTAAAGCCTGGTCCGATGTGTTGCGGTCCATATTCAGGCTAGAGCACACTTCTTGGAAAAGCGCTCTGATCTCCTGATCGCCTTCACTTGAGAGTCCCATCGTGAAACAGAGGTGCGCGACCCACAAACTGACCTAAACACACATACACAGCAAAGCCACAGCCACACTCACATGCAGAAAAATAGCCTGGCGATTTGGCGGGAAACGTTCCGCCGAACGACAACTTTCTTCCGCACAAGAATGAAGTACCGCGTTACGTCGCCACTAGGGAAGCCAGAAATAATTTAGAAAGAATTTTAGAACGCTCAGTCAGCATAGAGTTCATATTTCCAAACTTAAAAAATCTCGTAAAAATAAAAAATAAATGCTACGTGACTTATCTATAATAGAAAACGATCAGCTCCTCGGAGGACCCTAGAAGTGCCAAATTACTCCGCTGCCTGTTTCGGCTTGTTTCGGCGTGGTTTCGGCAGTTTCGGCACTTCGGGAGGGACCTGAGGCCTTTAGGGTAGTCTGGCAGTCTGACCAAAGACTTCGTTCCGTCTCGAGCGAGTGGTGTCGAGGAGGGCATAAAATCACTAAACTTGCTTAACACGCTCGGCCTCGTAGTATAATTTGTGAAACAATATATGAAGTGTGCAGTTTTGTTTGAGTTTTGTTTGACGTAAAATTTCCCCAGTTGCCTCCGAGACTCCGACCGGCTGAGCCGGCTGTAGCCAACTGAGCCTTCACTCAACCTTTTATGTGGCACCAAGATAACGCGACAGTCATTAGAGACTATTGGCGTCAGAGGCGTAGCACCAGGGGGAGGGGGAAGGGGGAGGTTATGGGGCTTCAGCCCCCCTCCGAAAAGAATTTCCGGCTACGCCACTGGTTGGCGTGGTTGGGCACTGATACGGGCTATGCCATTCAAAATAATCTTATTTAGCTGTATCGAAGTTGGACCAGTTGAACTTCAAAATGCTGTGTAAGCAGTGCTGGCGAGACAAACGGAACCCAACAAAAATGAAAGACGGGAACATTTTCTGCCAGGATTACCCGGTTCCAGTTTATGCGCAAAAAGAAAAAGGTGTGCAGGGTCCATGTCAAGACTCAAGAGTGGACAAGCAAAATGAAGCAAGAGCTGCTCGAGGATCAGACAACACAGCTAAAAGTTAATTTTTTTTTTTAGTTAAAAAGAAAAGGGGGGGGGGGGGGGGGGGGCTGCATTGATCATGCAACCCAAAATTGCTGAGCAACCATTTCTGAAAATAACTTAAAACAGACTTCTGCTCCTTCACTACAGTAAATATGAGAAATTACCAGAAACAACACATATCCCCCCCAAAAGTTATTCGGTTTATTTTGCTGTAACACTGCAATTAAAGGCCCTTCCAAGATAAACCAACAGCCACCTACAACCCTACAGGGTGTGCCCGAAAAAAAAAAATGTAGCCTTTTACCGCAAAAATAAACTCTGCATTACCGTATGCTCAGTCTCCACTCAAATATAGCACTAGCAGTCCGGACCAGATGCCAACGTTCCAGCAGAACTAACCGTTATCATAGTCAACAGTTGGAAGTGATTTTCTAAAAATTTCAATGGGAAAATGGCAGACGATGAAGCAGGAATACAGCCGAGTATGTCGTCAGCTACTGGTCATCAGCTTCATTTTCCCATCGAAATTTTCAGATCTATCGTTTTCAAATAAGATAAATCAGTTAGTTCTCAGGGGAAACTCCTCGCCCCTCAGGGGAAACTCCTCCCCCCTCTTTCCACTTTAGCAGGGCAGATGCCGGAGAGCAGCTAGGTGACCTCCTCTCCAGGGTTCGCTCAGCTAATCTGGAAAGAGGTGGGGAGAGCCTCCCCTGAACTCTTAACTTGACGCTGACCATTAGCGCTGCATTTGGTGGAGACTTAGCAATCGACGATAAACAACTTATTAAAAAAAAAAAAAAGCAATTTTTGTTTTTTTTTGTTTTGCAGAGCCCAGTTGCCCGTTGAGGTAGCCTCACTGGGAGACTACACCCCAACGTCTTGGGGGGACACACTGTGTTTACCCAACGAGCTTACCCATGCTTTCTTCCAAGGAGTGCGAGGGTCCACCGACACTTTGACTAATTACTACGCTATTCAAGTAATATATATATTTTTTTTGTATTTTTAAATGCATATACATACTTACTGATGTTGAATTCCTAAAAGGTGACTACTTCAAAAAAAAAAAAAAAAAGCTTACATCCACACCCTTTTTTTCCCCAAAAAATTCAGAATTGGTTTGTGTAAAGTACATAAATAAAAAAAAAAAAAAAAATCGCCCCCAAACTTTTTTTTTATAAATATAAATCTCTCGATTTTGGGTGGATATCTTCCATATTTAATAATGAGAGTTTCATTATGAAAGCTAAGACTTAAAACAATGACATAAAAAGATATGTGCAGACGACAAATAGAAAAAAAAGAAAGCATTTAACTTTCATCGAAATTCTAGAATGCCACTGACACCTACTCCTATCTGGTGACATTCAAGCATTTAATAACTACCCCATTGGCTGAGCATCATCCCCACAAAGACACTTTTTTCATGGCTTCCACTAGATTTTTCCACGAAAAAAAAAAAAAAAAATTGCAGCTTACAAGCGTCAACGTGGAGTTGTGGGCTATTAAACCCTGAATTTAGTCTGAATATGGTCCACAATAGTGGTTTTACCAATAATACAGCTGGCATATTCAATGTGGTGTAGTTTGCTATATACTAAGGTTACAGGTGCCACACATCCTAGCTCTTACTTGAAATCTCGTGCTCTCTCAGTTTGCTGCAACATTCACTAATTCGTCTGTCAGTTTCTGTTCACAGTTTTCAAACATGAGAAAACTAGTATCTATGGCAAGAAAAGTTGGGAAATTTGTCACACACAAAAATATTTTATTTATATCGACTGTCTTGTGAAACATTTACCAAGGGGACTTGAATTCTATCACCACTGTAGGAATTAGTAAACACATTTTAGAAAAAAACATGTCACATATGAATACAATTTTATTATTCTCAAGTCAAATGAAGCATTTCCCATGTCTCCAATGAAACACTCACTGCAAGAAGTAAGACACATTACCTTTTGGAATGCAGAGGAAAAAAAGGTTGAATTTTTCATGTAACACAGGCTTGGTGCAGTGCAACTGCATAGTGAACTTGAATAACTGGCCTAGAATTCCATCACCAAGGTGACAAAACTTACAAGTCCTTGTCTTCTCCTAGTAGCAAGCTACGCCATAGCAAAATGACACGAGCGACCAAGGAACTTGGAAAAGCACTTAAGTGCCCGCCATAAAGACAGATAGCACCGTTGCAAACTTGTGGGATTCTCTTCGTATGCCTACACGCCATCCTGTCTGTTTGTCTATTCCTTTGGATGTACTCAAGCAGGTAAGACTACTTGACCTAAACATCCAAGACACTGGCATTATGTATGTCGCCCTTAACTGTTGCACATGTGATAATACATTTTATTTATCTTCAAAAGCTGCTCGACTTAAAAAAAACAAAACAAAAAAAAAAAAACACCTTTAAACTCTGGCTAGCTTACAAACTCATGGGCTATTTCTCTGAAATATTTCTATATTTTAAAATGCTAGCCATCCTTGTAACATGCTCTACTTATATATCCAGTATTCAATTATCTAGAAGTATCTTGAAAGTCATGCAACTGAATAATGACTATTTTCTTACTTTATAATGTTCTGGTGTATCTTGCAGATATCCCGAGAGATGTTACCTAAGTTCGAGAAAAAAAATGAATGAAAAGAAGGAGTGGGCTAACTTTCAGTGTGCAATCAATAAAAGTTGAAAACATTATATTTTTAGATTATGTGTTTTTACCAAACTTGCTATCGCGAAGAGGGGCAATGAAGCAAAGATAACTGTACTTCCCAGTCAGCAGTGTTCGATTATATCCCATCATAGCTAACTACACATATTTACGCCACGCCCCAGACTGAGGTCATCATTGATCCGAACACTATGATTACTAGGAGTGGGCTATCTTTCGGTGTTTAAAATAAAATAGCAAATCAAGCCAACATTAGGGGTGGGTTAGCTTTTAGGAGTGGGGCACCTCTCGGGATTTTACGTTAGTCTTTTTGCGTAACGCATGCATGAGCAACGTATGAACAAAGATGAGTTAATTGCTGACAAATCCTGCAGATTGCACATCAGTGTGTAATACCACATCTGTAAACACAGCCTAAATGAATCTGCATCTTACCATGTAAACAAACTCATAAAAAAAAAAAAAATCCAGACAATAGAATTACATAATATTGGAAGGCCTCCAAAGAAGCTACCAATCATTATTACCGAGTTCTATAACACGTATGTGGGCCTCTACAGATATACCTTTATGGAAATGGCATTTACTATAAAAATCAAGGTGAAACAGTGCAAGAATGGAAGGTAACTTTATGAGGCACCTGCTGACATCTGTTGATCCAGGGCAAGGCGTGGCTGATCCAGTGAAAATCCAGGTGGACTGAGGCTGACCCACAAAGACCTATGGATTTCGATGATCTGTTTCCCCATATTGGTGAATTCGGACTATACCAGAAGTGGACGTACTTCTTACTTTGTATACCTGCAACCCTTACATCTGTCTTCACACTCTTTAACAGCATCTTCATTTCTGCCACACCAGACCACTGGTGCAGGGTACCCGAGATAGAAACCGTTGGAGATGTCTTGCCTCCAGATGTGTTGAAGGAACTCAGCATACCCAAGACAGCAGCAAATGATTTTGCAAAGTGTGAGATGTATGATGTCAACTACACGGCTATCATCTTCAGTGCCCTGGATGCTCAGGCGAACCGACAACCAAACTCTTCGTGGCCTATACGGCCTTGTACCCATGGATGGATATACAGCACTGTCGACTATGATAGCACACTAGTGACACAGGTTAGACCCTTCCACCATTTACAAAATGTAACAGTTCGATCAGTGTTCAATAATAACAGTCCAGTGATGCATGCTTGCCACTTCGGCAAGCAGGGGAAGCACGCACCAAATGCACCAACATCTAGGATAACAGCCGCTAAACGTCTTTGGTGGAACGGTGTATATACAAGCTATAGAAGGCAGTCTTATGTCATCTTACATTGCTTTGCTGCTTTACTTCAATTGCTTTTCGTAATGCGAGGCATACATGCACATAAACCCTGTTTTTTGTCCTATTTTAAAATTAGTTGAAAGAACAAAATAATCTGAACAAATTGAGCATCAGAGTGCTTCAGCTGGCAACAGTTTTAGGCTTTGTTGAAGCTCGACATACAGCCAGAGCAGGAAACACCTCCCTTCTGCAGGGATTAGCCAACACCACCTAGAAACAAGGCCGTAGTGCTGGGTTTTCAATGTCATACAGCACCGAAGGCCAGCGTGGGGCACAGATTAAACACGAGTGTTGTGTCAACGTTTGGTGGAGACTCATATTCTCATACTGAACACAAGTCCCCGCCGAACACTGACGCAACACTCATGTCCATGTCCTATAAAAAGTTTAGCACTATGGCCTTGCTATCTAGGAGGTGTTGGATGAGGCAAGGAGCAAAGAGCATGAGAAGAAATGGATAGGGGGAGACTGGTACAGGGTTTTCTGCCACGCAGAATATCATTTTGCAAGTCGACCTTTAAGCCATAGAAACATGGAAAAGCAATGTATATCCCCAACGGTGTCCAAGGTTTGCCTTACTCATATCACATTTTGGAAAAAATCTGACAAAGATAGTAATAATATGTAACAAGTAATCAGGTTAATTTTTATTGATATTATTTAGATTGAACATAAATAATCATAATGTGTAGTTTGACATTTGTGACTGAGTGAAATATGCAGAAATTGTTGTGTGTTTAGGTGGCTTCTCTTAGGTGAACACAATATTTGGTGATTATCAGCAAAAAAACAGTTGCTGAAGGACAAAAATACAGGATTAAACAAAGATAAAGAACTTTTATCTACAATTCAACTCAACATTTCCTATTTAGCATTACACCTGCGTGTGACAATAGATTCCTGTGGGAATCGGTATGCGCACCTTCAGCACACTCTGTCTGGTTTTTGTGTTCTTAGACCAATACGGTTTGCAAGGACGCATGGAAGGTGTCCACAGCGCAGTCTGCACTCTACGCTGGCAGCGTTGTAGGGACTGTGCTCCTTGGCGCTATTGGCGACAGGCAAGTGAGCAGATTTATCCCGCAAGAACACATATTCTATTCAGCACTCCTTGATAGAACTACTTACTCTATTTCAGCCAGAAAGGGTCATGGTGGATGCTATAAGCCACCTCAGTTAAATTCAGCGCTGATAGCATGCCAGATAGCTTTGAACTCTATGCATTAGTGCATCCAATGGAAGGTCACGTTGTAACGCGCACGCTGCCAAATTGGCTCGGATTGCTCTCAACTTTCGCCGTAGTTCTTGTCTGGGTGAAAAATAGTCACCTGTGACATACTGCATCACTAATTGGCGTTCACAAAGAAATAACAGTCATACTCAAGCGACTCGGAATGTATCCGTGCCACTTTGCACTTTGTACGTTCTTTTCCCCAGTCTCGGGCCTAAAAAGGTTCTACATATGTGCCTGTCTACTAGGTACGGAAGAAGGATGGCATTCTTGATCACTGTCCTACTCAGCCTCGGAGCAGGAATAGGGGCAACATTTTCGACTACCTTTGAACAGTACATTGCGTGGAGGTGCATCATAGGGCTCACTTATCCAGCCATCTTCCAGATACCATTCATAATGAGTAAGGAACCTCTTGCCACCTGTTCAGGCTATTAAGAAACAACTGTGTGGAAATAAGATACAACCGTCCTCTTCGCAGCAATGGTGTTTACCGATTCCATGCAGGCATGGAGCTGATGAGCCCAGAGAAGCGTACCTTCAGCGGCATGTTTGTGTCTACCATCTATGGTATTCCTTTTATAATGCTGGCTGGGATTGCCTACTTGCTGCGGGACTGGTTTACGGTGTCCCTTGCAACATCAATGCCCTTCATAACAGTCCTCGTCGTATGGTGGTATGTAATCCGTTGGTAATGGTTTCCCCCTGTACTTTAACAGCTAATTCAGTGCAATCTATAGATTGCAAACAGTGGTGGGAGTTTTAATATGCCTGTTCGGTGCAAGTACAAATACAAATCAGGCTACTGGCCGATGAAAGTAATGTTTTAAAAGCACACAGCATTCCAGGATTGTAGCCAGTATCAGGTCACAGTTGGGCATCACACGTCGTATAAAACACCTCTTTATCATTAGGAGAGAATAAATAAGAAACAGGGCTTGCTATTATGTCTGCACACAAACTTTGCTCCTCCCAAATTGGAATTCACTTTTAAATGATATTTTACCTCCAATTAAATTTAAAGACAACCCCACCAATAATGCAAAATTTTGTGCATATCACTCGCAAAACAACTGTGCAGGTTCATTCCCGAATCACCACGCTGGCTACTCAGTCAAAACCGGATGGCTGAAGCCGAGGATGTGGTGCAGAAGATTGCAAAATGGAATGGGAAAAAAATTCCAGCAAATTTTCTTCAAGCCTGCATGGTGAGCGAGCCCTTAGGTGTCATAACTACCACAGCCCCACAAACTAGCAACTAACATCCCTGAAATATTTTTCAAAAAGGAGCAACAGCAGAAGCTCACCGGTAATAAGTACCTCAAAGAAGAGGTGTCACTCCAAAAGCTGGCCAGCTATCCTAACCTCCTCAAGAAGGTTCTTGTGGTGACCTTCAGCTGGACAGCCAACACCATGGTGTACAATGGCCTCTCCCTTGCAACCTCCACTATGAACATCAGCGACTACCTCTCGTTCGCCATCAGTGGTGCCGTGGAGGTGCCGGGAGTGCTGCTGGCATGGGCTTTCATGGACAAGTACGGAAGACGCCCTGTAATGGTATCCAGCATGCTCATAGGTGGCCTGGCATGCATATCTAGTGTCCTTGTTCCGTCAGGCAAGTGCATGTCTTATTTAAGGTAAATGGTACAGAAAACATCCCCAGGGGTCAGAAAGGTAGCCTGTTCGAGAAATGTCAGCTGTCATTTTGGAACACGTTATAAAGATCATTTTGTGGGCACCCCGTCCAGCCCACAAAATGGCATTCCCAAATAAGGCCTACCTTTCTGCTTTATTTGGGAATGCCATGCATACTAATTAGAAAATTTCCAAAAAACCCAAGACGAGGAAACAAAACAACTAAGATAGCCAAACTAGCCTCATCTTGGGTCATTAAAGAAATAATTCACCACCTTGCACGTGTTTTTACGCTTCCTTCATAATTAGCCGAGTTTAAGAAAACCTTACAAGACCACAAGAACAGCAGAGTGGACAAGCAGCAAGTCAGAAAGCAATACCTCCTGGCTCCTAACATGGTCTAAATGTGTACATTTGGTCTTCTGGGTCCGCTAGATGGTGTCACCTAAAGCGATCCGAGATGCATGCTTACGATATCAAGCGACATGAATCGCCTTAGTATTTCCAAACAATAAAGTTGGATAAACATTTTCTCACAAGACTGCCTCATGCACACCACCTTCAAGAAGTTGCATTATAATGAGGAAAAATATTTAAAAAGTTATTCACAACATTTTTTGAAAACTTTTCATCTGCAATGGTTTGCTCTTTAAAGGCACATCCTGTCACTTCGTTTAATTCTTAAAAATTACGTTGCACTCTTTAAGCCACTTCATTTGTATGACCTCCACATGTCAGTTGATAAACTTTGCACAAGAATCTTGCATGGGAAAATTCTGCCAGCTCACTTCTGAGCAAGCCCTTTAGCTATCTAGATCATAATATTCCTAAACAAAATTAGAAATCTTATGATAAAAATGACAAACACAGACCTTTACAGTCCCATATGCTCTCAAAAAGACCCTGTAATAAAATAAAAAGTGCATATATTAAACAATTTCTGGTGCCACTTCTACAAAAGCAAAACTCAAAATCCAACATTATTAAGAAATCCTATAACTGCCTTAGCATCCAGTTTCTTTGATGTACTGAACATAATCTTTAACTGCCATGAAAAACGAACTTGGGTACTCCTAATCAGAGGTGACTCAGATTTTCATACTTCAAATCATGTATAAATCCATGCAGATCCAGTGTGGCTCAACGTGTCCCTGTGCAGCCTGGGCAAAATGAGCATCACTGCATCATTTGCAACCATCTATGTCTACAGTGCTGAACTGTTCCCCACTGTGCTTCGCACCTTTGCGATGGGTATTGTCGCAATGACGGGCAGCATCAGCCTCATCATTACTCCCCACATTCTTTTCCTGGTATGTGATGAGCCCTTTTCCAATCACTTTCCAAGCACATGATTAAGGAGTCTATTTAATTTGTGCTACCATTGAAACCATATTCCGTTACCTGTATAGACACTGCCATTATTAGTGCAGCATGGAGGTTTCCAAGCCCTATTACTTTTTAAATATAAATGGATGGATGCAGGTGATACATACATCATCCACAGATTTCAGGGATGAAAATTTCCAAAACTAGAAAGTGCAAAACAGAAGAAATTTTTGACACAGTGTCAAAATACTCAGACAAATGAACGACACGGCAGAGATGTGATTGGCCGAAGTATTTTTTGTAGCACCTTTTGAAGGAGCCGAAAGTCCATTATGGAGCAGGAAAAGGTACTTTTGGAGCACAAACATACTTCTTTTTTGTTCCTACCACTGCATAGTATACATTAAAATTTATGTGTTTTGGCCTATTCAACTAATAAAAAAACATACATACTTTGCCTTCACACTTCTGTGCAACCTTTTGTTACCATCAACTGCATGGCAGGTTTGATTCCTTCAAACACAGAATTAATTGTTTAGTTGCACACATAAGCACTAGGCATGGCAACAAGCATCTTGTAGACAAGCCTTCTTTTATTTTATCGACTACCTTGAACGGATAAAACCCATATAAAGGTGACAACTAAACAAAAGAGTTGAAATAAAAAGTAAACCGATAGAGCACTTTATGTAAACATTCTTGCGAGTACCCCAATGGTATATTCCACTGATATAATGTTAGAATAATCTTGAGCATTAATTTATGTTTTATTCAAGTTTTGAATGTTGCAAGAAAACTAAAATTCTTAATTCAGATTTAAAAAAAAAAAAGCTTGTTATTGAATTATGAACATCAATTATATTTTGTACGTAGAACTTTATGATAACAAAGATAGGCATGTGACGATAACTATGCCTTTTTAAAACTATCCAGTCAGTCGTTAAGGTTATTCCCAAGCTTCCTTCCAAGCTTCAGCCAATTCAGTTTTAATTTATCCTATTGACTGCCTCGAACGGATAAAGTGTATATAAAGGTGACAACTAAACAAAAGAGTTAAAATAAACCCAAACAGCACTTTATGTAAACTTCCTTGCGAGTACCCTTGCTAAATCTCAAATTTGAAAAAAAGATATTGCCAGAATAAAAATACTGCAGTTGATCATAGATAATTCCTAAATATAAGTAATCATAAAAAATTCAGAAATTTTTACTGCAACTAAGAGCTCACCAAGTTCCTTTTTTTTATTTTTTAATATAACCGACATCTGAGTGTTTAACGTCCCACTCTGGAAGAGTGCTTTCCGTTAGCACTTGGGTGCACTACGGCGAAGCACCCAGAAAACCCCATAGTAGTTCAACTACACTCAATATGCAAGTGGGAGAGTGGACTGAGCAATAAATAAAATGTTGCATCAATAGAAAGCGGAGCTATAGAGGCAATTTAGCCAATCGTTATGTCATTTCAGGGTCAACTGTACAGCATGGTCATCCCTGGTGCAATCTTTGGAGGGCTATCTGCTGCTGGAGGATTCGCTGTGCTGCTACTGCCAGAAACTATGAAGGTTCATCTGCCACAGACTCTCACAGAAGGAGACACTTTTGGAGGAGACATCCATTTGTGGAAATGCATGAGAAACAGGTACGGCATAATCTCAAGGAGCACATGCTGATTCAAGCAAACTTGTAATAAAAAAACAAAACAAAAAGAGCATAGAAAATGGGGAAGGTTGCCACATTTATGGCTTTTTCATATTTTTTCTCACAATGTGCAAAAGGTGTAGATTCAAATGCATAGAAAGTTTCTTGTTCCACTGAACAGGCCACATGTCTGAATACTGAAAAGAGCACCTTGCATCGAATGCTGAACTACCCCAATTTAACCAAGCCTTTCTGGATTTGCAGCAGAAAGAAGACGGCCAACAAAGTATGGACTGAGGAAGACCTCAAGCAAAACACACTATCATTTTAGGACCCTAGAGAATTATGCTGTGACCCAGTTGCTTAATTCTACCAATGTAAAAATCCTGAAAGCTGCAAGATTCCGTTTGTTCGCTCATCACCGATTCTCTATAATCCCTTTTATCAGCACCCTCTTCTGAGCCATTTTTCTTTCCTTCCACACTCCAATTCCATCTCCTCTTCTCGTATTTCTTTTTCTTATCACAGATTCTCTTTTTGTCACTTGTAGGCTAACCCAAAGTTCCCAAAACAAGATGCCGGCATCACTACACCCAGAGATTGCGTTCTCATCTTGCCCTTCTCTATAAATCAGGGACCCAGATGTGTCTATGAGGGGTCTGATCAAAGCATGCTTTCAAAAGGGACACAAGCTGCCTTTTTTGGGAAAGTGTGTTTTCGATAAATAAAGCCACATTTTATGTACAAGGCAACCTTTTAACAGAGTGGCCATTTGACAAGTAACAAGACTGGCATTACCACTCATGCAACTTGGACACCATTAATCTTATTGCAACAACATACTATTGATATTGCAGACAATGCAACAGGTACTGAAACATCTGGCAGCGTTTTAAAGATATGCGGCACATATAGATGTCAGACATATTTCGTCAATATCTGTAGAGGCATGTCGGATGTATTTGGTCAATTTCCACAAAGGCGCTAACCCCACCGGTCTGCGGTAACTGGTCCAAGCAAAGCCATGAAAATAAGACTGGTCAATTCACTTTAATATAGCGGTGCAGAATTGCTTTTCAATCAGCTCATACTTTCGAGCTAACATTCTTATGACTTGCTAGGCTGGAAAACCTCTGCTGGTCAGGTACAGCACAATCGTCCAAGTTATTGACATAGTATGATGTTTAGATAGCGCAGATGCCACCTTGCCGTTTGCATTGTGGGCACCTTGCTGTACACCACTGCCAACCAGGTTACCAACATGTTAACCACCCTGGACCGTCTTCCCCGCAATGCAGCCAAGCACAGTTGGCCACACCAGACGTGCTCCTGTGCTGATAAAAGGCCAGTGCAAAGTATGTGCCAGAGGCATTGGGCCACAGGTCCCGATGATGGCACATTAGTAAATGATTCTGTTCAGTTGAATCAGCGTATTGCGTCATCCTACTTGGTGGGTAGCAAAAAGGGAAAACCAATAGTAATGTAAAATACAGATCATTCACTCCACCCCTCACTTCTGAAAATTTGAAAAATAAGAGGACACATGAAGCACCCACTCCAGCAAACGTTTGAGCCCAGTGAGCTAACCGAGATCACCTCCTGGATCAGAGACTTCTTCAAGCACGCCAGTGCAAAGCGGTAAAGCTTGATGCAAGAGCGTGGAGGCAAAATGAATGGTAGGCAAATGGCACAATTGCTTTAAAACTTGGGGGTTCTGCCGACTCCTATACATACAGGGTGTCAGAAAAGAAAATTTACACGGTCTTTTTTACCGCAAAAATAAACTAGGCATCGCCAAACGCTCATTCTCCGCCCAAAGATAGCGCTAAAGGTCACAACCAGATGCCAAAGTTTCAGCCCGATCCGATAACTTAATCAAAAGTTATAAGTGATTTTCTAAAAATTTCAATGGGAAAATGGCGGCCGACGGAGTTTTCAAACACATGGGGCTCTATGGCACAAGAAACCGAAAATGGGCTCCATTTTCCCATTGAAATTTTCAGAAAATCACTTATAACTTTTGATTAAGTTATCGAATCGGGCTGAAACTTTGGCATCTGGTTGTGACCTCTAGCTCTGCCTTTGGGCGGAGAATGAGCGTTCGGCGATGCCTAGTTTATTTTTGCGGTAAAAAAGACCGTGTAAATTTTCTTTTGTGACACCCTGTACATCTACACCATTCCGCCTAACCAATCAAGGGCCCACCCTACCATGTGCCCCTTTTGCTTTCCTACTCTTCAAACCTGGCAAGAGCTCATTCCCCATGTTTTATGATTTCCTCTACTTTTTGGGTGGGTGCTTTTTAGTATTTCACAAAATATGCACCCAGAAACTGAGGAAGAGGAGGAGACGAGAGCATGCGGGGACATCAGAACACCGAGCTCTGGTTGAAAAAGATAAATGGTAGACCTAAAGCTAGCTGCCTGTTTTTACTGCACCCGTTGAACGCGGAATGCCGGCGTCCAACATTTGGCTTTCGCATTCGAACGCGTTCAATGAGTGCAGTGGAGACATAGCCAGTTCGCCTTAGGTCTACACAGTAACCATACCGACCAGAGGTTGGCGTTCTGACGTCCCTGCGCGCTCCCGTCTCCTCCTCTCCCTCACTTTCTAGGTGCATGATTGACTTGATTGACTGTGAAGCAGAGGCGTCAAAACTATTTAAGAGTGTGTGTGTGTGTGGGGGGGGGGGGGGGGGGGGGGGGGGGCAATCACCTCCTCCAGCTCTTTTTGTTCCGACACTAAATTAGAGGCATGGCAACTAATCTGGAGATGGGGAGGACAAGGAAGATTTTTGCCCCCCCCCCCCCCCCCCCCCCCCCCCCCGGCATTGCTTACATTAAATTTCTGTAGTATTTTTTTTTTTTTTTTTTTTTTGGGGGGGGGGGGGGGGATTTGCACCTTCTGCCATGGAAGTTCCGACTCTCCTAACAAAGACAAGAAGGCGACAATAAAATAAAACCTCTGCCCCATGCAACTTGCACAACTCTTAAAATAGTAAACGAGCTTGACCGTTTGATTAGTCCCTGCATAAATTGATAGGTTTTGCCCAATGTGCCTTAAAACATTTACTGCAAACGTCCGACACACCAGTAAATAAATTCGCTCAGCATGTCCAACATACCTGTAGACTAGGGGTCTCCGAACCCCGGACCACGGTTCTTCCAATGGAGCCCGGCCCACAGCCCGCTTGCTGCTACTGGCGCAAAAATAAGCGCGTGCATAAAGGAACGATGCTGCAACAGAAACCAACTGCGTAAACAAAGATACCAGAAAAAACAAAAGAAAACTGCCTAGGGTAAGGTGTACCCTCTTGTCATATTATTTATCGGAGATTGTAACCACCAGCATCATTATTCTTAGTCCCCCGTTTGATACCCGTGCACCTAAGCATGTTAGAATTCCTTTGTGTTCCGATGTATGTTGTGCTTGGTGTACTATGTCGTATGTATTGCACATTGTCAGCATCAGTTTTTATAATCCTCACTAGTCTTCTGCCCTGATGGAACATGTCAAAGTTCCTATGTGCTTTGATTTATGCCTGGCGAGTTTTCTGGGTCCTAATTATAGTGCATTGTCGTAATTAGCTAAATACTGTATTTATAAATAAAGTGGATGTATTAATCTACCTTATATTATTTTTTTAAATGTTTACTCGAACTTTCAATTTTGTATTTAAATGCTTATCTATAAAATTATTTGGGAATGAACATTCATGGAAGCATACGTTTCAATGGAAGATGTGAAAGATACTTTGTGTATTCAAAGCTAGATATAAAAAAAATATCAGAACAAGTCTTTTGGTAACTTATTCCGGGCACTTGTTGGATTGCCTTCAACGCTGCAGTAGTCAGCTCTTGAAACTACTGAATGACAAAAATGGTACAAAAAAAAAAACTACAAAACAATCTTCAATGAGACTTCTGCTGCATACAGGCAACCAAGAGCTACATGATCTATTGCACTACCACCCGACTACATTTACACCTACAGTCAGCACTAAAAGAGAACAGCATAAACAAACGATTGCCAGGTCGACAAATGGGCGGCACATGGCGCTGTAGTAATACAAGCACAATGGAAACAAGGTTGCTTGATGGGTGCCATCTTTGTTGCACGGGAGAGGTCAGCAGAGAGATGCCATTGTCGAGGAGCACTTAAAAAATGTCGCTACTTCGCACAGGTTTTCGCCAGTCATGCATGACTGGCACATAGGACCTCTGTTTGCTTGCTCGTTGAGAGCAGCAATATTTTCATTATTCACTGTTTTAGTCATTGGCAATTTTTCAGACGCCGAACTGGCAAAGATTATAAATAACAGTATAGATCAAGTACAAAAGAAATCACATACAAACAATAGCTGTCTGCCGAAACACCTCCAAGATTGGAAGCTGTGAATAGCACAACCTCTCATTGAATTCGCAACGAGGCGCCGCGTTCGGTGATTTCACACTCCCGGCGTCAATCACTTGTGTTAATAATACCTTTTAATGAAGAATGTACCTGGCATTTCAGCTGTTACGATCAGGTTCACACTAGCCACACAACATAAGATATACCTTAAACATGTCCTTCAATAAACTTCATAAATACATTTTTCTTTTTTAAAGTAAAGGCAGAAATAAAGAGTGCAAAAAAGAATTGTTTATTGTAATGGACATGCAGAAGTATATGCTTCAACTGAATTCACATGTACGAGACCACTTAGCATGCTGCCGGGAGAGGAAATATTAAAAGACTGAACATACAGTGGTAACAAAACTTATACAAAACAAGCAAACTGTGCCCCATCTCATGGGAGCAGAATCCTGATAGCAGTTGAACCAGAACAGCCCAAGCACGGGAGGCCATTCACTCAAGGCTGAAACTGCGGCTGTACCAAGGGGGACACCACAACATTTGTCAGCTGGGCTAACCATGCTGCTTGAGACGCCAGTTGGGCACTGCCCTCTTCCCAAGGAAGAGCATAGTGTCTCCATCTACGGTGCACTTCCATAAACATCCCGTGCCCACAATATCCTTGAAGATTATTGATTTTGTACCGCTAAGGTTTGGGTCCATATCACAAGAGCGAATGACATTTTAGCGAACGACGACATTTGAGCGAATGGTCGTTTTAGCGAATAACGGGGGCGCGCGTTAACCCATCCGTCGCGCTGCGCTTTACGCCGCTTCGCGGCGACAGTCTGCGGCAACTCATTACAAAAATATGAACTCACTTGGCCCACCAGAAAACGCTGTTTCGCGGCGTCCGACTATTCGCTAAAGTGTCATTCGATGAAACGTGGGCGTTCGCTAAAACGTCATTCGATCAAGTGAGTGCCTCCCGCTAAGGTTTAGCCTTTACATCAAGAATACTGATGAAGTCAGAAATCTAAAGTGAGTGGAACCATACTTATAAAGCATAATAAATTATTTAAGATTCTCACACGAAAAAATAGCCTGTTGCAGCGCTCCCCTCTTTAGACACTTCAACTACGACACAAGCCTTAACGTTTTGTGAAAATTAGTAAAATTTAATTAAAAAACAAAAAATCCAGGTACAGCATAAAGGCGTGGTGAGCCATCTGATCTAAATAACGCGAACAGTCGCAAAACGGGTGTCGTCGAAACATTGATGGGAATCATTAAATGTCAATCAACATGTTTAAAAAAAAAAAAAAAAAAAAAAAAAAAACACCATTGGCGGGGAAGTCGATATGAATCGTTTTCACGGTTCACCATGCTTCGGTTAGAAACGTCTCACAGCGAATAAATTAAGTAATAAAATATGAAGTTTCTGACACTCGCCTCATTTCTTGTCGAGTAATCGAGGGTCAGACATGCGTGTTGAAGAAAGTAGACATGCGCTAACTCAACTTCATTTAATGAAGCAGTTAGTACAAAACTAGAAACGGAGATCGTGGGAATGCTTAGGTTACGTTTATCACACTCTGGCGATGATTTGATGAGCTGCTCAGCACTGCAACAGGGTCTTGGCGGGGAAGTCGTCAGTCGTTTCATTCTAGCATCTCTCTCGTCCGATCTTCAGAACTCTGGAAAAGAAATGATAGGGGCGACTAAAACACCACCGCTCAGTCGAAATAAGTTAGAAATACCCACAGAGTTTGCTCAATAGATGGAAATAACGGTCAACGGAACGGGCGAACGGCACACATCAATTACAAATAATGTACAAAAAAAAAAAAAAAAAAACAGTGACAAAAGATCCGATCCAATCCGAACCAAAGCCACCAAAGCTGCCAAAGCCCCACAAAGCCTGGGTCAATTTGCTTTCTAGCCAAGCCAAGTCGTCCAATAGCCGCAAACTAGTTAAGCCGGGCCGTAGTCAAGCCAAAGCCACAAGGCAAGCCAGCAAATGGTACGCCTCTCAAACGTCTCTCCACCCGCTGCCTTCCAGCTCCTCTCTTTGCCTTCTCTCTTTTCACTCTCTCCACCCATTCCCAGGCTTTCTAACGCCTTCCCCACTTTTTCTACACCTCTTCTCTCTCACCCTCCCATCCAACTTCCGCCGACCGGGGACAACAGCAGAGCAGACGCCGGGTGGCCGTATCGGTCGGGCGGCTGCTACTTCCCGCCAAAACTGAACGAAGACTCCGTCAACGCTACGAATAGGAGTGTGGAGTTTTGTTTCGTTACCAAGTCCTTTTCTCTCTCTTTTTTTTTTCTTTGTAAAGCACGATAGTTGATTTTTGTCCGGTGACACCAGCACACATCGCAGGCAAGGTGCGTCTAGAACTTTACGTGTTTGCGCGGTTGTTTTCACTGCAGAGATGTACGTCGCCGATCTGTACAAAAATTTCTACAGCGAAGTGATTAAGACGCGAATTCTAATCATCGTGGCTGCGGACGTCGACGCGCTTGCAGCCTGTCGAATCCTTCAACAGTTGTTTCACTCCGACAACGCTCTCTACACTCTGGTGCCGGTCACGCAGAAGTCGGAGGTGGTGAAGGCGTACCGAGAGCACGGGGACGGCATCAGCAACGTCTTGCTCCTCAACTGCGGCGCGACGTGGGATGTGGTGGAGGACTGTAAGCCCAGAGACGACAACGTTGTCTTCTACATCGCCGACAGCCACCGGCCCGTTCACATCCATAATGTGTACAACACCAGTCAGGTGAGGCTCCTTATGCAAGCCAACGAGGATGAGGGCATTCCGGCGTTCGAAGAACTCTTTCGCGAGGACGACGATGCCGACGACTTGCACTTGGACGAGCTCTCTATCGAAGACGAGATCGACAAACGCCGAGAACGGCGGCAGTGGGAGGAGCAACGGAAAAAGCGCCTCTTCGATTACACTCAGTTTAGTTACTACGGCCCTGCCACGGCAGTGACAATGTTCGAGATCAGCTGGAAGATGTCCCGCGACACGAATGACATCCTCTGGTGGGCGATCCTGGGGCTATCCGAGCAGCACATCACAGGGAAGATCGATCACAATCGGTATGTACGCTTTGGCAACCTCTCCACTCGAATACTAATAGTATGAGCCGGCTGAACATGATGCCTGCACACGTTCTAGGTACATCCTGGAAGCTGGGAGCCTCCAAGCTCATGTCACGCGGCGGAACAACGCCAGTGGAGCCTTGCCTTCAACGAGCATTGCAGCAATCAACACGGTCCAGATTTCTTTCGACCAGGAACTGTGTCTACCGCTCTACTCGCATTGGTCCCTCTTGGAGAGCCTCCAGAACTCTCCGAGTGTCATGAGTGCCTTCAAGCTGTGGACACAGAGTGGCCAGCGAAAGCTCCAGGAGTTCCTGGCAGAGCTGGGGCTGCCCCTGCAGCAGTGTAAGCAGCAGTACGCTTCCATGGACATGAACCTTCGCAGCCACGTCAAGGAGTGGATGTGTGACGCGGCCGACAAGTACGGGCTGGACCAGCTCCTCTTTGCATGCTTCTCGGGGAGGTGCGGCTACCGGGATCAGTTCTTCGCCTCGGATGCCGCATATGGTCTGCTCGCCCTCGTCGAGTCGCCCGGGGAGCAGCTGTGGGAGAACTTCTTCCAGGCCCTGGACGCCCTGTCCTGGTCTCACACTGACACGCTTCGTCGGGGCATCCAGCAAGCCAAGGGCCGTCTGCTGGCCGTTGCCCAGCAAGTGCACTCCTTCATGAACCTGGGCAGCATCATTTGTGCGGGACCCTTCTTGTACGGCACCCTGCCGGATGGCAGTGCCCACCAGCGCCTCTTTGGCTGCCCCAGCGGGCTCATCCAGCTGGCCCAGTGTGCCCTGAGGGCACATGCAGCCAGCACCCGCAGCCGACGCCTCGCTACTCTCCCGCTTGTCCTAGCCGCCGAATATGCCGCTGATGCCACCTACACGCTAGTCGTGGGGGTCCCGCCGCTCTCCCAAGGGTCGCCCAAGAACTTTTTTGGCCAGGCGTTCCAACAAGCCAGCTCCATGACGCACTGCACCTTCTTGGACGATTTTTTTCACTCCCCCGCGGTCCTGGTGTATGCCCAAGACAAGGGCAAGTTCTTCGACGCTCTTATGTCGCTTCTGGTGTGAGCTCGGCCGGGCTCCGGTAACTCAGCCCTGATATGGTCCCATAGGGACAAAGCGCACAATTCATAGATTATGAGTTTTACCCGAGGCAGCAACCGAGGGATCGTCTGGAAACATGTAGCTGGATGCCTGGGTGATTGTTTTCTTTTTGGCAGTTAATGAGTGTGCGAGATTAAATGGTTAAAATTCAGCGACACATTTTGCCATAATGTTTCTGCCGAAAAGGTAACACTCGGGACACAAGCTTGCTCAAACATAATCCTGAATTGCAAACAGTCTGCAAAGTACAGTGCTCAGCAAAACGAAACGGACCAGCAGAGCATGTGGCCTCACATACCTGCTGCAGCATCTGCCAGAAGAAGCCACGCGATTGGGTGTCACATGTTGCACATGCTTGTAGCTGAGCCAAGCAGCCAGCGGTTGTTCGCGCTCGAGGCGCAAACCTCCATAGGTGATTACCGCAAAGCCAAAAAGAAAGGCACTTTATTTTAGTTTGTCTGAAAAAAGAACACATGCCATGGCATCACATTTATTTTGTATAAACTGACAGTTCGCTGCGAGTGGTGGTCACATTTTCCCCAACTTGTTTAGAAAAAGATAAATCTGCATGATACTGCAAAAAAAAAAAAAAAACATGTTGCAAGCTCATGGCCAGCATTGATCAGTCATCGGGGGCTGTGCACCGAACAAGAGCAACCACCGAGTGCTTGGCTCAGGTGTGCGACGACACCAGATAGCATGACTTCTCCTGGCAGATGGCGTCGTAGGTATGCAAGGCCATGCACTTCGCCGGGTTGTTTAGTTTTGTTGAGCACTGTTTATAATCCCTTATTGACAACCTGATTAGGAAAGTCTTCATTTTACAATCTCATTGGATAATTCATTTTATTACATGGGTTTCGATACATGTTGTTTTTTCTCTCTTGGGGTGCATCATTTTGTAAGTTTTCTCTTTGCAATTTTTGTGGGTGATGTTGACCAGCCTGAAATTGTTGCTATTCCAAATCTCCCAAACTTTTATGCTAGCTACAATCCCTCACTCCAACTGCAATCCTAGTTTAGGCATGTAGAAATACTTGTTAAAGTAAAAATTGTATGTTCTACATCAGTCACGCTTGACATCTAATGGTCCCAAGCTTTTTTCTATCGGGAAAATATTCCAGTTTCACTTGGTTGGAAGTCTATCTCTGCATCTGTTTCTATTCAAGCTGAAATGATATATGAAGCCCAAACTCGTTCTCTAAATCCGTGACTTGCATGAAACCCCAAGAGGGGCATTAACCCTGTGCATAATATGGAATATTTCGTACAGAGGAAGTTATAAACTTTACTCTGCTGTTTGAACACACTGTTTAGCTTACTAGCATTCATTTGTGATCGTCTCACAACGGTGCTCACATTTAGTGAGCAGATTTCTAGGACGACCCATTGTGCTTACGTTTAGGGCATCTAAACTGATTGGTACGTCATTTGTTTACTGTACACCTTCAGTTCTCTCACTCAAAAAGTTAATTGTGCAGGCTCTTGCCCTACTAGATTTATCGTTTTGTAATTAATGCAACAATCAGTTTGGCTTTTAGATGCATTTGAATGTTATTTATTAAACTGTTATATTTACCAGCGATTACTGTTTGGTGGTACAAGTTCCTTCTACTGAATTCATTATTTTCTTCCAGGCACATCTCATACTTACTGCAGCAATGGTGAAACTATAAAATTACCTATTAGTGCCCATATCGTGAACCACTTGTTTGAGTGAGAAAAGTTGTTTTCATGAAGTTCAAGCATTCTGAATTTTGCCGAGGTTTGAATGTGCAATTTTCGAAGCTTTGGAGGGTCTGAGTTTGACCTTTTCAAACTTTTGGGAGCTTCAAAATGATGTTTGAAAGTATGTTCTAAAACTCTACTACCCAGGCAAAAAAAAAAAAAATAATTAATCAAATAAGTTAGGTTTATTTGATTTAAAGGGATACTGAACCGAAATTTCGAGCTCACTAAACAAGGCCGGGCGGAGAGGCGGGAAGCTGCAAAACCAAAAAATATCACTTGTACGGCAATATATCTAACGAATCGCCGTATTTTTGGAAAAGAAACCCGGCCGACGAGACAAGGCACGTCATGATTCCCATTCTCTCTCCTCCTCGCTACATCCTGTCAAGCTGGTGAACCGAAGCAAGGCCGCTTCTCCTCATTCTCAAATTCTCCCGGAGGACAGTTACGTCAAAGAACTCGCTTGATCGCGCCCTTCTTTTCCAAAAGTACGGCCACTCGTTTGAGATATCGATGTACGAGTGATATTTTAGTGTTCACAGCGTCCCGTTCAACACTTCTGCAGCCTTACTTTGCGAAATCCACATTTCGGTTCAGTCAGAGCCGTATATGTACAGAGTTTGGTCAATGCGAGGTGTGGGCAGGTCTAGGGCGTGCGGCAGACTCGGAAAGAGGGCTTGGCATGCTCTCTTGACCAACCAGAAGCCGGAAAGAATCCCCTAGCGGTGGTAGCGAGAAACAGTTCTGATCAAAGGTCTATGTTCGTATATGGTTTTAATAAGCACGTAAGAGTGAAGTAGAGTAACTCTTCGTGGTTGAAAATAGGGTGCACGTGTTGTTTTGATCATGATCATGCAGAAAGATGTAAGAAACGAATGCGCCGCTCAACTCTGTTTTGCGCGGACAGAGTGTGACCGCTCGGACGGCAGATTCCCGGCGCTTGGCGTACGGATTATGTCAATCGTTCCGCTAGTCGCACCCTTCCACCATCATTTCGGATAAGCGTGATTAAAACATCACGTGCACCATATTTTCAGCCACCGAGAGTTACTCCAATGCTGTTATCAGGTTTGTTTCTTGCGACCACCGCCAGGGTATTATTTCCAGCTTCTGGTTGGTCACATTCGAATTTCTGAAGACGCCCTGGAACATGCCCAGCCCTCTTTCGGTCAATGGCGCCTCCTCATTTGTCTCCTATACTTCCCAACGAATGGCCAAACTCTCTACATATACGGCTCTGGGCTCAGTATCCCTTTAAATCACTGTAGCTAGAAAGTGACTATTTATCACTGCATTTATTTTTAAACACGTCAGGCTGATTTATCAATCCGTCCAATCACTGATAACTGCGTTAAAAGAATTATTGTAAATTTAAACTGCAGTTTAATTCATAACTTTTTTATTGATGTAACCCCTGCCATACTCGCATAAAAACAGCTTACTGTTTTAGTTAGCTGAAGAGCTTTATTTGCTTTTTCTTTCGTGTTCTGATTGGCTTGCAATGGACATATGTTACGTAACTGACGAACAAAGTGGAAGGTACATAAAAAAAAAGCTCGGTGCTCAGATTTCCTCAGAAAAGCTCTGCTTTCTGCTCGTGTTTAGATTAATATAAGTCTTTCTTGCTTGACAATTCTTTGGTTTCTGTACAAAACAAAAGCACATAGAAAAGATCAAATGGTAGACAAACTGTAAATAAGTAAGCAGTGATAGAGTGCAGGCGAGCTGGTAATTAATCGACATCTTGTAAGTCTGTTTTTTTATCGTTCCCCATCTCGGGGTTTGCTAGATGTAAATGAGAACTATTTTCGTGGTAATTTTCGCAGGAACGGTTTGATTTAAAGGGGTACTCCAGCATTTTCTTCCTTAGTAACAAACATTGCTGAAATAGTAACTTAAATATACTTATTTGGGTTACTATTTCCAACGAAACAAGTTTGGTCCTCACCGTGTTTTTGAAAGTGAGTCTCTACTGGCAACAATGAAAAAGTGACGTCAGCGGAAGGCAGGGGTTCACTCTTTGGACTGTAGACTTTGTTCCCAACTGATTACAAGGAGTTTCATGGTGTCAAATGAATGCTTTGGAAGATCGCTCCAGCACCTGTGGCGCGCAAAACAAATGCTCGGCATAGTCCATCTTTAGACTGCCCGCTGGACCTCCAAGCCTGCCTTCCCCTGACGTCACGGCACTGAAAAGCACGGGTATATTTAAACGTTGGTTTTGGCATCATCTTCACTTTGCGATTTCACAGTAACTACTAGTATTCTGAATTTCGCAATACTAAATAGCATGCCGGAAAGGGTAAAGGCTGGTGATTCCAAAAATATGGCTAGTTGGGGTAGCTAAAAAAATTGCCAGTGATTTATGATCATGATTTAAATCATCTTGATTTTTACACTTTGGCTACTACTCATAAAGAAAGCAAGTGAAACATGCATTGAGCACCACTTCTAGTCCGGGGATCCTGACTAAAATTGAGGTTCCCTGATGCTAGAAAAAAAATCGTAAGGGTGCAGGTGAGCTGGTGAATATTAACCATGTTGAATTAACCCGTGACTGGGGTAGAGAAGAAACATCAAAACGTAGAAGGGACAGAAAATAGACAGGATGACGTCTCAAACGTCGTCGTTCTGTCTATTTTCTGTCCCTTCTACGCTTTGATGTTTCTTCTCTACTCCAGTCTCAGGTTAATTCAACATGGTTCCCTGATGCCTTCACGAGTACAGCTCACCAAACGAAGGGAGGTGCAGAAACATCCGAATTCTAGACATTACCTTATTTGTCATGCATTGACCATTGAACAAATAATGCGGAGGCCAAAAGAGTTCAGGTACTAAATCAGTGTGCATTCATTTCATCACATCAATGGCCAAAGCATCCAAATAGTCTTAGAATCCAGGATGTCTTCCAAAGTTCATTGAATGTTTGCAAAAAGGAGATTTAAAATTCATTAAATTAATTGATAAAAAAATGTTGAAGAGTGTAGAGTATGACCCAGTTCTAATTAACCTGAGAACAGCAAAGAATGCAAAGGAATTTACATGTTACACTGTTAGCTAAGTTCTTTTTTTTTTTTTTTTTTTTTTTCTTACAAGTGCTATCCAATGTTTTCCAGTTTTTTAAACTATCATTTTCAACCGCGTGTTGGCGGCTACGGGTCAGAAATTTCTCTGTGGCTCCTGCAGGAACTGCAGAGTGCAAGTTATTAAAACAACTTGTTTAAGCTGTATTTTTTTTTTTTTTCTGATTTGAGCTTTTCTTTAAATCTGCTCAGACTGTCAGTTAACATACTCGTACTGCCCAGCTGTTTTTTTATGGTTGATTTAATGCGATGTTAGGGAAACTGCAACCATTTTTCCACAGCCTTCATTCCTGATTTTTGTCTGCAGTTGGCCTTCGTCAGAATCTGTGTTCAACCCTGAATCAGCATAAACCCTGATGAAATAATATATGAAATACAGCAAAATTCTACTTATTTTATGTGGGCTCACAGATGGAAGGCTCAGTCACACAGGGGGGTGTTAGCAGTAACTCTGCAGCGGCAGTAGATCACCGACTTTTCCGTGCCTAATCATATTTTTATTGCCACCTTCGTTGTCGATTAGATCGCGACTGCAAATGTGCTGGCCTTGATTACTTACACCAGCTTCGCAAATTATCGAGCAATCACGGAGTCTAATCGCCTCAGAAATGTTGTCTTCTTTCTCAAGTATCACCTCTGCGAGAAACTGCCCGTCCTATTTTTACGTCAGGGTCCTTCGAGCCGTTCCGGTGCGCGCCCATTTACTTGAGTATCACGAGTCTTCCGTCGCACTCCGCGGCGGGCCGTTTAGTGCGCTTTCCCTCAATGCACGCCGCGCGTAGGGGCGCGCGCGATGTGGAAGCTTTCGAACGGTTTACGTAAAGCTTCTTCTTTGAGCAACACACTTCGCACTTGGAATCTCTGGAAACGATCCACCTACTTTCACAGAGTACTTAGTTACGTGCGGAGAGTCCGGTTACAACTTTCTGAGACGGCAAAACTATGCACGTCTTTGGAGCGAAGAGCAAAAGCTCGGAAAGAACGAAGTCCCCAACACACGGTAGTAACAGCACATTCTATGATACGCTTCCCTGATGATATCACTGAACGCGACCGGTGGATTGCTGAATTCACGCATACGGAGTGACACCGAGTCCGCCATCGAAGCCCACATGCCATCCACCTCCCTGTTTCTCATTCCCCCCCCCCCCCCCCCCCCCCCCCCCCGCGCTTTCTTTTTTTTTTTTTTTTTTTTTTTACGGCGGTAAGCAAGGCATGTCGCAGTTCTACGGCTATTGATAGAAACACGTGCATAAGGAAGGTACGGTACATTGCAATGTCAATAAAAAAAAAAAAAAAAAAAAAAAAAAGAAATCCGGATTTGTGAGCCTTTTGAAGACCGCGCCACGAACCTACGTGCGCCACGAACCTACGTGGGCAACTGACGCGGCAGATTCAAAACACGTCCTTAGCTGCTTCAGCACAAAGCTTTCCGATTCCCTGTCAGTGCCCCCGAGAGTGACAGAATAGCTTCCAGTAAAACAGTCCCAGGTAGCAAAGAAAAAAAAAAAAAAAATGCTGTTTAGTTTTGCCCACCTAGTTCGTGCCAACTCCGCATGCAGACAGTCCGTGCGACTTCACTTACTCCAGCCACCCTGAGTGGGCTGCGGCGACGTGGGCGATGAGCCTCCCGAGCGTGGCTGGTGGACACCCGGGTGGTACTCTTGGAAGCCTGCAAACGGCACTCGTTTTCTCATTCTTTCTCGAAACACTCGGGGCTCTTCGGGCGTAGATGGTCCCGCCCATGACCGGACGCACGCGTGAAAGTAAAATACTTACCAGCATTCCTCCGCTCGGCGGACGGGGGAAAAGGAATCGCTTTCACCTGAAACAACGTCGGATACGTGCAGTGAGTCCCCAGCTCCTTCAAAAAACGTCAAAAGAAAACTTTTTTTTTTTGTGTGTGTGTGTGTGTGGGGGGGGGGGGGGGGGTGGGACGTGACGTGATGCAGCAAGGCGGCAATAGTCATCTCGTACGACAACAGACACAACCAATTGTTTATTTTTCTAATTTGAGGTTTCTGACAATAAGCAGAGCCCCGCATGTCCGGGGATATCTGCGGGTATCCGCAATGAAACCGCGGTGGATGCGGGTACGCGGTTTCCTGCCGCTTGCCGGCCCAAGTCGGATGCGACCTCCAAATATGTTGATAAAATGGGGATATGAAACGCTTTAGATTTGCAAGGCGGTTCCAGTCGAGACTATCTTGTAGTTAAATTAATTTTTGTTGCAATAAGCTCTGGGGTTTTCCGGTAAAAGAGACTGTATTGGTCAAAGAATGCGGACTTCCGATGGTCCTGTTCCTCCCTCGTGGACGAAAAACCCCTGTTCAATTACTAAGCGTTTTCATTCAGACGTTAATTTGCCTTATACCAGTGGTTCTCTAATGGGGGTCCGCGAAGCCCTGCCTCATCAGCCAAACCCGGCAATAAAAGTTGTCTTTTTTGAAATTGAGAAGAAAGGTTCCAATTTTCGGGTGAGTTTTCTCGTGCGTATGTCAATGAGAAAAGTCTACTTCACACAGCCCTTAGTTATATCCATTTATTAAATCATCATAATTAACCTATACCTGCCCCTTCCCCTCACCACGAACGGGGTCCTCCATCATCTCCGCCGATCTACAAGGGGTCCGCGAAAGCTTTCGGCAGCACATTATGAGTCGAAGCTTGACATCATTGTTTTAGCACAACGCTGTGAGAGGCGCGAGATGCTATTGTGTTGGAAAGGTTTAGTTCACACAAACCCACGCGCACCAAAAAGCGCCATCAAAACCTAAAATGCAAGGGAGAAAAAAAAAAAAAAAAAAAAAAAAAGATATTGCGGGTTTGGATGCGGACGCGGGGTTTGATCGTTCGGATCGAGCGTTAGCCCGTATCATCTGGAGTGCTCTCCAGAAAAGCGCGCGTACACTGTTTTTGAAAACGATTTAGGCCGCACGGTCTCCGTGTCAAGGTCTACATCTTATTCATCTCCCGAACCGTTAGTGTCATGATAATTAAAGCCGGCCACCATGTGTGATCGTCAATCACCAGAACCGCGAGCTCGGAAAGGTGAAGGATTGCACTTACTTCCGTGTTGCGGCTATCCTTGTAGCTTCCGGCGCTGCTTTTGTCGGGCATTGTGATGTCCCTCGTGCACTGGAAGGACAAACTCGACTCACTCTTATACAAAATAGCTTTTCTCAAGCCTGCACTACACAGAAGATCGTAACGACAACGTGCTGTACTATCGACCGCAGCAACACGTTCGCAAACAAGATAACTTTTTGTTTTTCAAGGGCAAACAGTCTATATATACATACATATTCCAGGATTCTGGCCGTGACTAAACTTATCAGCTGGAAATGTTGCGTGAATGTCATCCCAACAGTTATCTCGCTTGGAGTAGCGTTCTTTGTTATCGCCTGCATCGAGATACGTTGTTTGAACCAGTACCTGATTAGAAATATCTGGAGCACCCTAGTCCTGCCATGGGCACGAATACTATGCACCGTGAACTCGGGCGCTTAAAAGACCACAAAGCGTAACTGACGGTTCTTTTGTATCGTATGAGCATGGTTCAATAACCTCTTGCACAGATGCGTGTACAGATGTAGTACCGTGTCCGTGTGGTACTTAATTGGTCGTATCCGTATACGTACTACGATGCCCTAAGGTTCAACCGCTTCAGAAGACGGCGTGAGTATGTTTAAATATTCCGTCCCGAAATAAAATGACAAAACTGGGCGCGATCTGAAGGTAAACGACTTCAAGTTGAACGTGCGGCAAGCAGTCCCGCATTATCCATGACGACGGCCAACTAAACGACATCCACAAGTCTACGATGCCAGAAAAGCCCGAAAGCGAACACAAGCAGGAGCTTTCTTTCCTAACTTACACGTACCAGAGTTCGTTCCCCGATCTTAGTCAGCGATCACTAAATCGCGACCAAAAACTAACGGCGCTACAGAATACAAGCGAACCCGCGCTCTCGCAAACTAACGGACCACCACCATCCGGAAGCACTAATCCACTCGGAAACACTCGTGAGGCCGTTTTCTGTCTCGATTTCATTTATCCTCCTCGCAGCTCGCAGGCAGGCGAGCGCCACATATCCTTATCGCTCTGTCTGGGGGCTCCTTTGTTCGTTGCGGAGATTTCGTGCGAAAGGCGCTGCTCCAAGTTGCGTGAGCCTCTAAACTACACCCGAAGCAGCACGTGCTGCATGCAGATGCTGATGCCCCGGTGGCGGCACGCAGGCGCAGCGGGCACACGGCCAGCACAAAGGATGCCCCAACCGCTTACCTCGGTGTGAAGCGGCGGTTGCTCTCCCTCTCCGGTGGCCGTTGATGCGACTGGTTTTTACTCCGGACGGCTTCCCTAGACTCGATCTCCCAGGGAGTAGGACGGCGGAACCGCCACGAGCAAGGGCTTGCGCGCGGAGACGTCAGGCGCCTCGCGAAGTCGAGGGCCTTTTCTCAGCCAAGGTCGGTACGGATTCGGGGTGAACGGCCCGTGGCCAAAGGGAGGTTTCGCTCTTTGGACCCAGCAAACCGGAACGCCCACTGCCGGTTGGCCCCAAATCGTCGGCGGTCCGCAGTTCGGAGTAAAACGAGCGACCAGCTCACGTCGGGCGTCCCGCCGCCACGGCGAAGAATCACCCCTTCTAATTACGTCTGGAGCCCCACTCCGTTGGGTGATCATCGCTTTCAGGTGGTTTTTACGCGCTAATGCTGGAGGCACCGTTACGATACTCGGTGGGAAACGTTGCAATGGAGAGAGCAACTTTTTTTTTTCTTTTCTTTCTTCTTTGGGATAAGTGAAATAAAAAGAACACGAATTGGTAGAAAACATTTGCATCGAAAAAAAAAATATATATATAGGTAATCGGTTTTATATGCCAGTCAGGGTCGCACTGCTTCTTGAGAAAATGTAGTTTGTGGTCCACACTTGCATGAGCACTGTCGTTTGCTCATTCAGAGGTCTTGAGTTTTGGTGAGAAATTAAAGGGATGGGAGTGATCTCTTCAACGCAGTGAAACAGGAATATAAAGCTAAGGTAGAGACAGCACAACTTTTTACATCCTACGATAGAACAGCACTGCTGTACAGCCTTTGTCGGTTCTATAAAATGTCTCTGAAGCCGACGTCGTGCGGTAAAGCTCAATTTGAGTGAAGGTTTGTTGTCGTTTTTTTTTTTTGTTTTTTCTTGAGGGGGGGGGGGGGGGTAATTTGTTACTCAATGTTTTGACCGTTTTTACATCACAAGTTAGTTCAGGACACTGCAAACGGTAAAGTTAAAACAAACAAAAAAATGTTTTTATTATGCAGAAGCGCGGCTGATTTTTCTAAATGTGGCAAGATTGCTCGTATATATATATATATATATATATGTGTGTGTTTTCTATTCTTGCAGATTTGTTTTAGAAAAAGCCATGAAAGCTACACTTATGCGGTTTGTGCGAGTGAATTATACGCCCAGCGGGCATTATGTGGGTGGCTAATCTTTGCGATAAGTCGGCTAATTAATTAAAATTCACTAATTAACTTTTTAATTAGTGAAAATAGACATATGGTTCCAGTTAGAAACTTGCTGAGCGTCGTCCAAAACCCCTAAATCAGTCATTTTCAGAAAGACTTTCGGCGCGTGATAAGCGTAGCAGTGCACTAAAGTTACCACTCGTAAAGCCTTTCTAAAAGTCTTTCTAAAAAAAAAAAAAAAAAAAAAAATTGATTAGGGGTTTTGGACGACGCTCAGCAAGTTTCAAATTTGAACCATATGTCTATTTTCACTAATTAAAAAGTTAATTAGTGAATTTTAATTAGCCGACTTATCGGAAAGATTAGAGACCCACACAATGTCTCCCTGGGCGTATAAGTCACTCGCACAAACCGCATAAGTGTAGCTTTCACGGCTTTTTTTAAAACAAATCTGTAAAAAAAAACAAAAAAAAACGATCTATATATATGTTACAAGCAATTTTGCCACATTTAGAAAAATCAACTGCGTTTCTGCACTTTCTTTCTCATAAAATAAAGTTAACTCATATATTTGTTTTATATATATATATCCGTAAGATGCACGTAAACATGCTAATTTTGATACATTTTGCGCCATTTTATATAAATTAGTTTGTTGGTAAATAATTTGTAAATGTCTGTCTAAAACGTAATTCCTTGTTTCGTAGCTTTTTCTTCGTTTTTAATACTACGGTACATGTTGTAAAGCTGATAAATAAAGTAGGAAAAAGTATTACTACTACGTGCATGCCTTGGTGCGAAATTGACGGCTCTGCAAAATACCCTATAGAAACCTCAACAACGTCCACATCTCGAGCTTTGAAATTTCATATCTCAAATTAGCTATACAACGTTCAGATGTAGCTGAATGCCCCTCCGAAGAACGTGGCTTTCACACATATTTTTACGTAAATTACCAGTGATGGAAGTGCCCTTTGGCCTTTTGGAGCAGGCCTTGCAGCAGGCAAAATGTTGTTTTGGAGCAGGTAGTGGCCCTTTTGGGAGCAGGGTCCGGCATATGTTGGCATATTACTCGAAAATGAAATAATGCTGCATTGCTATATAAAGCCCATCTCGATTATTGGAACACAGCGCCTGTCGCCTTTTTAAGACAGGATATATAAAATTCAACAAAGTAAACACAAAAAAAGACTTTTAAAAGAATAAAGTTCATCTGCTCGTCACATAAAAAAATACAATTAAATATGTAACACTGAGTTCTGATGGTACAGGATATTTAGTTTTATGAGCCTGCACTTCTCTGCAGCAGCATCTAACGACTCTCACTGTTGTGGAATGTTTTAGTTCAGATTAGATTTTTTTTTTTTTGGGGGGGGGGGGGGGGGGGGGGGCAGCAGCTTCCAATATTGTGGTATCTGATATTCGCTTCAAAAATTCCGATTCATTTTCGATGTGCTGGCGAAGTCACGATCGGATCAGGGCGAGTTAACCCGTTGAGTGCGCACCTTGGCATGCACCGACGCACTGCAGAGAAGCGACACCCGCGGAGCAGACACCGCAGTCGCGCGAGTCGCGCAGTGCTTTGTGCTCCGAAAAGGACGGTGAGGCTTTACCAGCACTACATCCAGAGTTTGGTGCAACTCAACTATACTTCGTTTCAGTTTCGGTGCGAGCGCAGCCGAAGCTACAAACGCGCGCATGGAGCCCGTAACGGTGCCCACACTGCACGAGCCCACGCGCGAGTCAGGAATGCACAGAGCATTGGGCTCGCGCTAGCTTGGACTTAGCTGGTAGCTAGCGCACCGGAACGGGGCGGGCCAACATCAAAAACAACCACAAGCTCGGCCTCTTTTTTTTTAATAGGCTGCTCAGTGGGATGGCTTTTCGCTTAGCCTTTGCGGCTTTGGTCTCAGATGTTGCTAACGTTGTTCCTTTCAATTATTATGATAAGGCGCCCCCGCACTTTCGGTTTGCGTAACAGTTACGGCGCGGAAAATACCGCGGTACCGCCACGCGCTCTGGTAAGACTTCAATTTTTATTTTTTATTGCTACATCTCATCTCGGCGCAGGCATGGCGCAATTCTTCGGTAAAATGACAATTTGGCGCTACATGTTGCAGGATTGCGTCCTTGGCGCAATTTGGCGCAGCACTTCCATCACTGCGTAAACATAAAACGTATGACCCGGGCCATCATCGTACACTCAACCTTTATCGTTCTCAAAATTTTTTTAGCGTAGGATATAGCTTTACATCCCAGCATACATGAGGTTGAGAATATCTTTTAGTGTCAACAGTGCTTTCTGTTTTAAATGCTGAACATGTCTCGTTTTCTGCTTGTTTACTCCAGAAAAGCTAACAGAAAAAGCTTTTACTGAATTAATGTGAGCCCTGGCATCACATGAAGAAAAAAAAAAAGAACAATCTCAGCAGAGTATGTAAAAGCAATCGATCTATCCTATTTTAATCACTTAGACTTTTCAGTTTTTTAACTTATACCTGTAGTTCGACTTTGCTGCAGAACTAAAAAACATAAAAAGAAACGTAATAATTTTTTTTTGCTAGAACATTATTTAAAATTTAATCACTATTTTTTTTTTAAGAAATTGGCAATTATCGGTATTATAACCTGGACGTTTGACATGGAAAACGCAGATATATAGAACTGTCAGTACTGACTATTTAGGAAGCTTGGTACGTTTTCACTTGCAACAGCAATGGCTTGATCACAATTGAACACACCCTCGAAATCGCAGCAAAAGCTCTGCTCAGGGGCGGATCCAGAACTCCGTTTTTATTTGGTGGGAGGGGGGGGGGGGGGGGGGGGGCCGACGGGGCGTCCCTTCCCCCCCCCCCCTCCCCCTGGATCCGCCATTGGCTCTGCTACAGTAGCTCTGCTTCATTCCCGCGGCCCAGGCATTAAAAATCCGCACAGCTGTATTCCTGCCTCCCTTAACTATGCTGCGTAAATTGAACACTAGGCACTTCCTGTTAGTTATAGTAAATTATGTCGTAATATTGAAGAGCATTTTAACTCAAAATCAAAAAGGAAGAGTTTTTCTTCTTTTACTGTTACTTAAACGTGTTTTGGGCCACACTAAAGAGGCAGTCACAAGAATATCTAAAAGTACAAAATGCAACAAAAGAAATTTAGATTTTTTTTTTTTTTTTGTTGCAAAAATAAATTAAGTATCGCCGATTGCTCATTCCCCCCCAAAGGTAGTTCTAAAAATCACAACCCGATGTCAAAGTTTCAGCCCGATCCGATACCTTAATCAAAAGTTATGATTTTCTGAAAATTTCAGAAACCAAAAAAAGGCAAAAATGGGCTCCATTTTCCCATTGAAATTTTTAGAAAATCACATAACTTTTGATGAAGGTATCGGATCGGGCTGAAACTTTAAGATCTGGCTGTGACCTCTAGCGCTACCTTTGGGCGGAGAATGAGCGTTCGGCAATGCCTAGTTTATTTTTGCAATAAAAAAAAAAATCTGTAATTTTTTTTGACACTTTGTGTTTCCAAATGCCGGTGCAAATGCGCTTTCAGTGCATTTAATCAGAATAATGGCATAATCCAAAAAGGACCCTTAGGAATATGCATCATGCCTTTCCCAAAGCAACTTGCCAGCATTTTGTTGATACTTTCACACTAAATGGCTTAGTTGCGAAATGTCTTTCTGCGTACAATAAAAGCACGCACGCACGCTTGCCTGGAGCGTGTAAAACACACAGTAAATATGCGCATGACCGGGTATTTATTCACTTCATTGGAAGCTATCCAACTGGAGGTGCAACACAGTAAGATGTATGAACATATTAAAATGATAATATCTTTTATTTAGGGAAAGATTTTAAACCAATAACTTTTGTTGGCCGGTGTGTTGTCAGTTTCGTTTTGCATGATGAGAGGAAAGCATCCCTACTGCTGTTAGAGTGACCACCCGTCCCGCGACTCGCGGGACTGTCCCGCTTTGGAGGGCGCGTGTCCCGCGTCCCGCGAGGAATACCAAAATCTTCGAAATGTCCCGCATTTCACACTGTCGTATAATTCACCACGCAACTCATGACGCTGCCGAACAACGGGGCACGGGGTAGCGCGGAGGTCACTGGTAATCGCGCGAATTGCGATGGTACGCCATTTTCGATCCAAGCATTGCGGGAAGCGACCGTCGTTCTTGCAAGAAAACCGACGCGCATGCGTTGTTGTGCCTCTCCCTTGGGTGGCAAAACAAAATGTTGCAAGAAAAAACTGCTCGCCAAAAGTTAAAATCTAAATTATTGTAATTTTCAAATCATGCTGTGTCAAGGCAAAAGTAGCTGTACTCTTTTTTTTTTTTTTTGCGAGGACAGTCACACAGGCAAAAAATCTGCAACTCACAACAGTCGAAAAAAAAAAAAAGGTTAAAAATTTGTGTAGGAGCGTGTTAGTAAAATAAGCAACCACAGGGAAAGAAAGCCGAAAAATATTTACTGTTTCTTGTTTCTTTTTGATGCATGGAAAAAAACGGACAGATCAAAATCGTTTTTTTTTTTTTTTAATTATCCACAACGATTGAAAACGATGCCTGGACATTACCCTCAAAATTCAGAGCTTAGAAACTCAATAATTGTAAAATTAAAAAAAAAAAAAAAAAAAAAAAAGTTTCCGCGCCAGTGCAGTGACGTCAAAAAATTGAGTCGTCCTGTAACTCCAGTTTCTCTCCCGACTCGCCGAACCGCCGAAGGAAGTGTCGTGTTCGCGTGCCGTTTATCGCTGTGAGTAGGCGACGCTTAACTTCCGAGTTTGTGAAGTTCTTTTAGGGCCCTTTTAGCGATCTCAAATTTTTTGAAACGGTGTACGATTGAAGAGGACGCGCAGCGGACATTTTTTGAGCGACCATGTCGCGTGGGTGCTGCGTGAAAGGCTGCCCTGGCAGACTCGCAACCGAAACTACGGTGCGCAGGCACCACACCCAGTTGTTTTGACCGTTTGACGATTTCCCTTTCGATGTCTGAGACACCCTAGTCTGAGAGGTCGTCCGATTCCCCGACTCCCCAATCATCCTCAGTGCTACATGTGCTGAGCGCCGCCATGCTTTCTGAGCAGGGGTTTCCCAGGAATTGAAATTAGGGGGGGGGGGGGGGGGCATGAGAATAGAGGAGTCATTGCGACTTAAGGGGGTGCCTTCAGAAAAAGGGGGAAGGGGTGTATCCCCCCCCCCCCCCTTGTTCTAGATATACCCCTCCCTAGAGGGTATATCTAAAATATACCCCCCCCCTAGGTGGTGTGGAGGGAAATCACCGTTTCCGAGGGAGGATATAAAGCCGGGAGGCGACATCTTTTCCGGACTCCCATTTTCGATATTTCAAAAGGTGCGTAGTGCAGTCTCAATTGTGTTAAAAAACATGCTCAGCGAATGCAGTTATTAAATATTATAAAAGTGTTGCTTACAAAGCTTCTAAATTTCATAATCGATTATGTCACAAATAAAAAGCGAGGAGGCGAGAGGAGGGAAGAAGGACAGCAAAAATAAAAAAGGCGCGAGCATGCATATAATTTCTTGTTCACATTTTTTTTTTTCAATGTTTATGACTAGAATTTGCATTGTTTTAGACCAGTGGTTCTCAAGTAGGGGTCCGCGGACCCTCTGGGATCCGCGAAGGCATTCTAGGGGTCCGCGAAGCATCGCCTCATCAGTCAAGCTCGGCAGTAAAAGTCGTACTCTTTTCAGATTGAGAAGATATATTCCAATTTTCGGGTTAGTTTTCTGGTGTGTATGTCAATGAGAGAAGTCTAGTTCAAACTAGCCCCTAGTTATATTTATTTATTAAATATTTATCGACATTTACGTGTACATTTTCCCTCCTCTCATCAGGGACGGGGTCCCCCATCATCTCCGCCGATCCACAAGGGGTCCGCGAAACATCAATGGTTGAGAACCACTGTTTTAGACAATAAAAATAAATACGACCTTTGGGGTGTCGGTGCCCCTTTGAGTTCTGCTGCAGTCAATTAAAAATATGCATCACTGGGAGTGAAACCATAATACAATTTCGGACAGCACTGGATAGTATGTGTTAGCAGAACCATTTTGTGGTGTGCGTGTTGATCGATTTCCACCATTTTTTTTTCACTTGTTGGAGTTGTAATAGTACCCTACCCTACCCTACCCTCCCCCCCCCCCCCCCCCCCAAAAAAAAAAAAAGAAAAAAAAAAGGTCACCCTAATTTCAGGTAAATGGCACCTTTCTACATTTGATGTTTAATTATTAGCGCTAGTATTTAAATGCCCAAATACAGTTGGCTGGCCCCAATGGTGTGCTTATAAGAAGGCTGCCTATTCCAAATGGCAATAGCACTAGCAAAGAATAAAAAAATAAAAGTCTAAAAAGTGTTTCCAGACAATACATTCAATGGAACGAGGATTTAATGACTGGAATTATGGCACACTTCCCAGGTCACGTTAAACTGTTTTTCTGTCTATAATAATGCTTCACAGGATCATATCCTTACTAAACAAAGGATAATTAGTGAGTCGGGTTAGAAATTGGTTTTCAATACAAATATACATGACATCAACTGCCCATTAATGATTTTGCAGTTTAGGAGCATTGTTTTTCTGACAATTCACTCGTTAAAACAAAAGCAATGGTAGAAACAGTTAGGTAATTACATTTCCCCAGTGCTGATAAACGCATATATAAAAAAAAAAAATAAGTCCAGTAATATTAGTGCATCGTAACTAGGGGTGTCGCGAACCTGCCCAGGTTTGAGTTCGACCAAGTTTGCTTTTTCTAACTTCCAACGTGATGTTTGACTAATTTTCCATTAAAGTTAAACTTTTTTGCCCATGCGCGAAAATGTCAGAACGAGTTGCCACCACCTGGCAGAGGAAAAGTGCAACATTTGTTGGGTGTATCGCATCACCGGTTCACATTACTACTAACAAAAACATTAAAAGTACTTATTTTTGCTTTTATATTGTGTAAACATTGGTAATCAGTTTATAAAATATAATATACACCACTTTCTAAATTATTTGTTCCCCAAAATTCGAAACCTTGCTTTGGGAGCCGGGCAACACTGTACCAAGTTGAACTTCGTCGAACTTTGCAAAAAGTTTGAAGGTTCGCCGCACCAGTTTGAACATCAGGGTCAACAAAAGTTTGCGACACCCCTATCGTAAATGCAGTTCAAGTTTTGTTTTCAGATTTTACGAAATTTAGGAGGTACACGTCAAGCCTATTTTTCATACCAAAATTTGGGAAACAACCGAGTTTTCTTACCAACATCAATTTCTGAATTAGGGAGTTTTTGGATTGTATTTCTTGAAGTATATAAAAAGCTGCACATAATTGCCCGTAGAGATGAGTCGCATGACGAATCATTGCTATTAATTAAGAGCATAACACTCTTTCAGCTGATGTTCCACACTGAAATAAGGCAGCTATTTTCAAGATTGACTACTACTATACGAGGCTTGTTCAAAAATAAAAATATTTCACATGTTTACCAACCAGTCAAACTTGTGTCCTTCAAAAAAGTGCCCTTCTTTACTTATGCGCTGCTCCTAATGCTTCTTCCAGTTTGGGAACACACCCTGGAAATCATCCCTTATAATGCTGCATAGGTCCTGCAACAAATGTTCTCATATCTATTTTCTGTATTCTGAAATCGATGACCTCACTGCTTCGATTTCAACTTCGGGAACAGGAAAAGTCAGCAAGGGCTAAATGGTGGCAGCAAGGGACCAAAAGGCGGCTGTGGAAATAAGAATTTTTTTTTTATTTTTTCTTTTAAATTTTTATTCTGAAGTTGTACACACACGCATTGTTCAACAAGATCCTTCATATTCACCGAGCACAAGAAAATGGCAGAACTTACACCTTTAACATGATGGGAATAGCATTACATTAAATGTGCCTGTCGCAAGTTCTGGCATTTTTGTGCTCGGTGAATATGAAGGATGATGGGAATAACATCATGTTGTTCAATTATTACGAACTCGCCCAGTTCAACACTTTGACATAACAGACACCTTCACTCTTCTATCTCGAGAAAGTTTACCTGCAGAGTGGTGTGATCCTGGAACTGCGCAATGTTGCATGTCACAGCTAAACGTTGCCACCATTGTGTCATCTGCTAGTAGCCCTACATAAAACATTTGATTTCTTTTTGAATAAGCCTCATATATTAGTACTACTGCCCATTATTCTGCCACAAATTGTAGATACAAAAATGAGCGCAGAACCCATTCCTCATTTTTCAAAACGAAGAAACCAAATCAAATCTAAAAACATGCTTTGTAGCCTATGAGTCATGCAGTGACCAAAGAGGGTGCAATTAACAACTTTGCCTTCTTCTGCACAGCAGATTTAGAAAAAAAAAATCCCTTTGGTGTCAATCAACATGCCACAAGGTCGACTTCACATGTGAAATTGTTCACTTCACATGTGAAATGAAGATCCTGCGAGTTTAAGACAGCTCACGTCACGTGACAACCAAAGAGCTTTACGCAATTATGGCCTTCCATACATTGGTGTTCATGTGCTTGAACAACCGCGCGAGCATCGATAAAATATAAAAATAACTATATACTTTTTCTTTGTCTTTCCTTGTATAAGAATAGAGCGCAGAACTCTAGCCACATTTTCGATGGAACACCTGGCAAACGAAAGTGGTTTAAAGCAGTCAACATGTTTTAACAAGCTTTCTGTGGCAACGCATTCCCCCCAAAAAAATGTTTGCGTCTGCAGCGACGGAAGACACTCTGGCTGTGCAAACACACGCCAGGTTAGGGCTTCCAAAGATACGCACGCACACATGATCAAGCCCTTCAACGCAAAAAGTCCACATCTTTCATACTTTCCACCGGGCCGCCAGACAGCTTTCTCAGGGCATAACAAAACCCTGCTTAGGAAATTATGAAACCCCCCCAAAAAAAGAAAAAAAAAAAAAAAAAAGTGAAGCCAAGCAAAACAACAAAACCACAATTTCCATAAAAAAAACATGACAACTTTTAGTTTCTGTGATGCACGATACTGGATGAGGATATATCCGAGGTGGCATTATGAGGAGGAAAGTTTGACAGCATAGAGTGCATTGGAACTGAGCACAAAGAGGCAGCGCCGGCTGGCTACCATGCCCAGAATGGCGTCGCACTGGTCAAGGCTGACGACGTGCTGCTTGGCGATGCTCGACACCTCCTTGCCCGTCTTTCGGTTTCGCACCTCTTGACTGGAGCTCAATGTCTCAGGTTGCCGGTACAGGTAGACGTGCCGAGCCGCGTCGCAGAGTGCAGCAAAGCTGAAGTCTGGGGACGCCGTCTGCAGGGAGCATGCGGCAGCAAGGGTTAGGACCACAGAAGATGCACCTGCCACATTTTCCTGAGCATAGGCAATGGCTCACTAGTAGGGATTCCCTTCTAACCTTTGAGCTTAGACTTTCTTGCAGACCGGCTCCAGGACAAAGCCTAGTGAAAGGCCAGCCTGGAAATCTTTGTACTAGAGCAGTGTTTCTCAAATGAAGGTCTGCAGACCCTTTAGGGTCCCTGAAGGCCTTTTTAGGTTTGCCGAAGCCCTCGACTCTCAGTCAAGCAGAGCAATAAAACCATTTCATTTCATTGATGCCACAAAAATAAATAGACCAATCCATGTGCACTAAGTGAGAAGGGTTGATTATCTGTTTCAGAGCTTCATAAGTTGGTTTAACCCCCCCCCACTTTAAACTGATTGGGGTCCCCTATCATTTTTAACTGAGGAATGACAGAATTCTTAGAAATTAAGAGATTCACGAGGAACTATGCTGCTGATATCAACCATTTGCACATGTAATTCATTTTTGAAACTATTTCCCGTGAATTCAGCATTCAGCACAGCAAAAGCTAATGCCAATCAAAGCACTAACATTCTCTGGGCTTCTAGAGGGTACTGAAGCAGCTAATATGTATAAGATAATTAAAAGGTAAGTCACAAAGTAAGGAGGCTGGCATTGTTGCCCTTTCTGTCTTTTAAGTCATTATAACACTACTTTAGTAGCCCTCAAGATCATTAGTTTATGTCTATGTCTCCCAATTCTAAACATTAGGTTGCATAGCTGTGTTGGAAAAGAGCAAACACCACTCATCTCCTTGTGCCATCCTGGGGATGCCATTTTCTATTCACAACAAAAACCCCATTAGCACAAATGAATGGATCTAATAGTTTACTCGGGTAGCATTGGGGCCAATTTCTGCTTTTCATAATCACCGTCTGATTAGGTGAAGTCTCAACTTTTTATGTGAAGCATCCTGTAAATTCTGCCTCCTCACGCCTAGCACATCTGTGGGTAGGAGTTTGTGTTTTTGAATAAATCCGATGAACTCCGAAAAACACTTGCCGGTAAAATTTTGGACAATTCGGATTTATCTGGAAAACTCTGAATTTCAAGGTCATGATGGCAAAATAAGAAGTCCAAAAAACTATATTTTATGAATATAGTTTGTCAGAGCACAAGGCCAGTGGTCCTAAAAGACCAATTCAGTATTTTTTTTTTTTTTTATCTTGGATTATTGACAAAAGGAAGTTTCCCAAAGCACGTTTATTTTCACACGATATTCCCATTATCGCCGCTGGCGGTCTCGTGGCCGCTGCAACGGGATGAATATTTTCGGCTGATGCCAGCGCTTTGGAGGGGATGGGTGCTTAACATGTAATTTGCAGAATTTCCGAATAGTGGCCGCTTCCACTGTTTTTTATGGTAGTACTGCTAATCGCAAAGGTGCTAGTGCCCAATGCAGCTGCAGAAATATCTTTCGATAGCGGTGATTCTTTAATAAATTTGGTGTATGTTTTTGTCCAAACATTTATTTTGATTCTGAAAAAAAAAAAATTAAGAACAGGGTAAAATTGAACTCTGAATTTCCGAGAATCGGGAATCTAACAAACTAACTCCCGATAAACCCTGTTTCAGGCGAAAAATAAACTCTGAAAAACACCCTCCAAATTTCACAAAAAAATAAACTAAAAAAACACGGAATCATATCTATAGCAAGCCTATGCTGGTTCACGGTGCTGAAAAAGTTGACTAAAAGGCCAGTCTTTAGACATATGTGCTGCCGCATTTTGGCCGACGACGTCAATCAGCCGCATCCAGTCGCTTTAAACGGTTCTAGAGCTCCCGTCAAGCAGCTGAAGTCACGTATGAGCCGTTTTCAGTGTCCAGTGCAAATTTTCCCAAACTCGTGCGGACATTAGGAAAAATACGAAAATGACCGGATGTGGCCGAACAACATAGCTTTTGTGTGCCAGAAATGCGAGCAAGAAAACAGTGCCATGTGTGTCTGTGTGGACAGCTTTCAGATCGGCCTCAGCAATGCTTCAAAGCAACACACCTCAAACTTGCGGTCCTGCTTCGATGCCTGAACGTAGCCGAATGCGTGGAAGGTGGCCACATGCTCCATGCGGAAAGAGTCCACATCGCCCTCGCCAGCCACGCTCCGGGGCTGCCACACCAGGCCATCCACGTCGTGACGCAAGCACAGGGCCGGCATCAGGCTGGGGGACGGCCGCAGGCTGAACAGCCACTGGTGGCCGCTCAGATTGATCTGTGGCACAGCCGGGCAGACACGTTGGGAAATGCACAATTCCACCTATACAGCACTATCAAGCTGCACAAATATTCACACAATATTCCTGCCACACATCAAAATTTAATGGAATTTTGATCAAAGGACATGGGTTGAAGAGCCAAGGTCGAGATTGCGTTTAGTGCACTCACAAGAGTACAAAAAGTGTAAGCTGCGAAAGAATGGAAAGTTGGGCTAATTGGTAGCTGTCTGTGACGAAAATGGTGCCACTAAAATGAAGACGAAGGAAGAGAAGACACAAGACCACATTCTTTGTTTGGAAGAATAGTTAAGCAGACATTGCTGCAAGCAGGGATGGCGATTTTCTTGCACAATGTTCATAAAAACAAACATTGGCTATCTCAATCTATTCAGATAGATAAGTCTCCATCCTAACCTGTCTACCAAGTTCTGCACCTTCCCTTGACTAAGTGTTATCAGTCTTTTATTCAGTGTTCGGTAAAAAGCAATTGAAGTAAAGTATGAAGTAAATTAAGGGTTATGTACTTCAATAAAGTAGTAAGTAAAGTGGGTGCAATGTACTTCAAGTAAAGTAGCAAGTACACCGGGCACAATGTACTTAAAGTGCTATAATTACAATTAGGGTGACCACTCGTCCCGTGACTCGCAGGACTGTCCCGAATTGAGGGCTCGTGTCCCGCGAGAAATTTCTAAATCTTCAAAATGTCCTGCATTTAACAATGCCGTGAAATTCACTCTGCAACTCATGGTGCTGCCGAACAACAGGGCACGGGGAAGCGCGAAGGTACGTCATTTGCTATACAAGCATTGCGGGAAGTTACCGTCGTTCTTGCAAGAAAACCGACGCGCATGCGTTGTTGTGCCTCTCCCTTTGGTGGCAAAATCTTGCAAGAAAAAACTGCTCGCCAAAAGTAAAATATAAAATATTGAAACTATTTTCAAATTGCTGTGTCAATGCGAAAGGGTTGCTGTGGATTGTTTTTTTAGTGAAGACAGCCACCCAAGGCAAACAGTCTGCAACTTACAACGGTCGAAAAGCAACATAGTCTAAAAAGTTTGTGTAGGACCCTGTTGATAAAAGTAAGCGTTGACGTGAAACAATAGCCCGAAAAATATTTAGTTTCTTATTTCCATTTGATGCATTGAGTTCTGCTACAGTCTATTTTTATGTTTTCAACTTCAACACATTTAAAAACATATTTGGCATAAAACAATACTGTAAAACCCTTAATGTTTGCGAGCAATTACTTTTCGCAAATATCGCGAACTGAAAAATTCGCGAAATTTAAGGGCACGTGAAAATTTCGGTCCTTAAGAGTTTCAATGCGGGCGTCTGGAATACGCAAAATTTAGTGGTCGCGAATATGTTCTCTGTGGCTGAATCGCGAAAAATAGGGGCCGTAAAAATGAAGGGTTTTACAGTATATCACTGGGAGTGAAAATTATTTGAGCTTAGTTGCTGCAATACAATTAGCAGGCGTATTAACAGCACAGGATTATAAATGTATTAACAGAGCCTCGGTTTGTGGTGTGCATGTTAAAAAATTTCCAAGTTTCCTCTACCCACCCCCCCATGCCCTACATTTTGGTAGCAGGAAGGTGGTCACCCTAATTACAATGTGCTTTCAAAGTAGAGTACAAGTAATTTTTAACATAACCTTTCATGATGCCCTTTCATTCCCCTGTACAGTGTTTTTTCCACTGGTATGCATTGCCCCAGGGCAGTGGCATCACTAGGGTCAGCGGCAGCCAAGGCGTTGGCTCGCTGCGCCGCGACACCCTCCCTGCACAATGCCAGGTGCAACCCCCCCCCCCACCTTCACTGCCTAGTTGCACCCCTCCGATTGCTGCACCCAGGGCGGCCCCCTCCAACCCCCACCCCTGCCCCAGGGGTAAACGAGGGTGTATCACTTATTTTCGGAAATGGTGGTGAATATTGGATAAAGTGAAGTGGCCACAGAGTAGTTTTTTTACTCTAGCTGAGAAACTATTTAAGACAATCAACCTATAAGGCACTTATTTGTATTAGTAAGTAGCCTTACAGCCGCCATTACTTCTCCCAGAGAAATGACCAGATGACTTCTCGAAAAACGATAGTGTGTTTTTGCACGATACACCATTTTGTGTTAGAGGTTGGTGAACTCTTACACTCAACCTCAGAAGTTCTGTATAGTACTGGGAAAGCCAAAGACGCAAGCGTGTGGTCTTTGAAAAAGCTTAATTTCACCGAGACCAAATTTGGGAAATGTATCTTGAAATCGGTAGCTCTACTTTTTTTGAGAAAAAATACTTCAAATAAAGTACAAGATTTCTAAACCTTACTTCAAATAGTACTTTAAATACAATGTACTTAAAGTATTTCATAACACTGCTTTAAGGGCAGAGGATCTAAACCTTTTGGGCCTTCAGAAGACTCTAGCTTTCTTCAAAGAGGGCTAAAGAACCCACACCTCACATATTGGCATTCTTGCAATCAAGCAGTTAGCAAGGTTTCATACTATGTTGTTCACAATGCTCCACACACTAGGCAGAAAGACAGGAAGGAGTTTTTGGTGAAGCATCATAGCATGGGCTGATTATGCTTAAACTGTGTCCACACTGGAAAATCAGGTTTCTTAGAGATAGGGACGATTGAAAGATGTGGGTACTCGAGAGAACCAGTTTGAAACCCCACGCTTTAGTTAGGGGAGCCAATCCACTCAGCATTATAGTTCCGGTGGCAGAAGCGCCTTAAAAGGGCCCACCTGATGCGTCGTCCGGTGGGAGTCACCACAGAGCCTCGTAAATGAGAAGTACTCGGTGGTGTTGTCGCACTCATCAAGTTCCTGGTAGTTGAACGATTTTTTTTCTGAGCCTGTGACCTGTCAAAAACAAAAAAGCCATTGGATGTCCCGGATGATCGGAACAAAGCGTTCACCCAAGTTGGCAGCGCATCGCAAGGAGCACACTTACCTCCGTGTCCGAGGTGAGATGTGCCAGGCGTGCATGAATTTCCTCCACAAAAGCCGGGTCGAAAACCTCCTCTCCCCTCATGTCTCCTTTGACCACCTCGTGCCAGACCACGGCGTGCTCTGCTTTGACCAAGTGCACCTCTAGCCTGTGTCGAAGCACGAGGACGTCTCTTTACAGAATTAGAGCTAGTGACACTGGCAACCACTACTGAACTACAACATGCAACTTTATCTGAAGGCAGTGTTAGAGGGGAGTTCCAGCGAAATATTGATGGACATTGATGTTTATAAAATTTTCACGATGTAGTAAATATCCACCCGTGAGTATGTCTACGAAATATTCAATCAAAATATGATTTTTCTTTCGAGCAAATGCATTTCGGAAGTTCAGGCGTATACGTCCGCATCGCTTGCTGCCGCTCTACTCGCAACAATAAGGAACAGCCCCCGTGACGTCAAATGTTGTATCCAAGATCAGATGACGTTCCCCACTCCACGCCGTTGTGCGTTGTAGTGATAGTGAGCGTCTGTGGTTTTGCAAATTGCATCTGGTTTAAGCTGTTCGTGGCATGCGATGGAGGGTGGGGGATTGGTGATTGGTTGTGGGGTGCAATAACACCATGAAGAAATGTAGCAGAGTGACATCTTATTGGTTTCCAAACGAGATGTCTCTGCGACACAAGTGGGTCCAAGCAGTCTGTCGCTAACGCTGGCTCCTGGCGTTTGCGTCATGCTAGAAAACAGTTCAGGCTTTGCTAGCAAATAAAACCCTCCATGCCCTTGTGCTTCGAAGCGGCATCTGGGTCCACATGTCGGTGGATTGCAACTGCAGCCCCCACGGGAGGTCCCTTCCAGAGGCGACGCCGGTGGATTGAATGCGAATGGTAAATCATCTGAAGTCTAATGCTGAAAATCTTAAAACATTTGCTGGTCATTGCTTGACTCAGACTTGATGAATCATAGCCCACTATTTCCCATGGACGATCGCGACGGCCTTTTGAATGCTACGGACGCTGGGCAAAACAGGCTCAAGCTGCCAATGTACTAATGTTTATACAACATCCGACGTCACAACAAGATGATGGACCGGTAAAGTTCCAGGTTAGTTTCGGTTTTAATTACAGTGTATCTTCAAAATTAAAAATCATTTAAAAAATTTCTGGAGATATATACTTGTTGCTCTAGGCTCAGTTTCTCCTGTTCTTTCAGAAATATGCTTAGTTGAAAACATCCTTATTAATGCCAAAGCTCCCCTTTAAGAAAATGGAAGGTTACACTCAATTCCAGCAATTCTGTTAATGTAAATGCACCGAGACATTATCTCTAAAACAAAGTTATTTGAGAGGAGAGGAAGAGGGCTTACTTTTGGTCAAGGATGGTCCAGGTGCTGCAGTCTTTAGTAATAGCATAAGGGAAATCGCCCTTTAGAACAGCTTTGTCCTCAATGCAGATCTCAATCCCTTTCACCTCAAGGTTCACTTTAACATCCTCCTTGGTGAGTGTTTCGGGAAGCCTGAACACCACTGTGATTTCTTCGGCAGTCTGGATGAAGGAGTAGAGGGGTGGTTCCTGGGCCTGAGCTATTAGACCGACAATGGAAAAACGTGTCAGTAGCAGAGACACAGGTTGACACAAATCTAATGTATTGGTTAGAAATGACACTTATGTCACTCATGTTGTAATGCAGACTTTGCTGATTTTTTTTATTAACTTTTTGAGGATCAGTGCAGTACATGTACAGCGGTGCGGAAGCGTCGCACAAGGTCACAGCTGTACATGTAAGACCACGATTTCACATTTGAAAGTTCCCGCCTAAACACAGCACCCCACGCACTCCGGAAGGTGCTGCCACCTGTTGTATCTTTGGATAACTATTTTATTTGCACCATGTTTCCCCTCCGTGGGCTATTTATAGTTCTGAAATTAGATGCACCGCGTGCACGTTGCATGCCTCTGGGTCAGCTCTCTCGTGGTAGTGCACCAGGGCAGATCGGAGCAATGGCTCTTTCGATACAGAGATTCACACTTCCAATGTGCCTCGAAATTCAATGCAGAGGACAAGAGCTCATCGCCCGACAGACCGGATCCGTGAAGTATCGCCAGTTTAGAGTCTGAGACTGCCAGTTTCACGCGGAAGTGGATGCAGCAAAATGAAACCGTATGCCCTTTTCCACTTTGTGCAGTACATGCAGATTCCAAAAGAATTAAGCAGAAGTCAGTACTCTGGAATTATCATCGCAAAATGAAGGTAGTCTGGCATCAACAAGCTTAGCTCAACACAGAAAAAGTGCGGCCATTACACTTGCCTCCAGTCTCCTCTTCGACTTCGTGGCCCACCTCTGCCTTGCACGAGTCGTATACAAAGCTGAAGTCTTTCTCGGATGCCAAACAAAGAGCATTTCCGGGAGTATCAAATGCAAAGTAGACTGGAACAGAGGCCCCCACCAGGCGACGTTGCCGCTTCAGGCTCCACTGACCACAGTCGGAACTGGCCACTGCAAAAATGTTCCAAGAGAACGGCAAGAAATCAAGATTTCATGGGTTCAAATCTTCTAATATAACACCACATCGTCCAAATGCCGCAAACCATGCACTGAAAACCGGGCAGTGAGGATGGCCTTTTGTGAGCGAGGGTGTCAAAACTGCAGCCCCCGCGCTCAATTTGAAAACTTTGGGCATTACGCATCATTTACGGTCGGAATGTGACTCTACAATGGGCTGCAGAAATTATTTTGCGAATGGCCTCACCGCAACTGAAGGCGAGCCACTCGAGCACGCAGACGAAATGCACTGTGGTCTCGGCAATGGTGACACTGCCCTTGACATCCTGAGGCTTGCAGATGTAGGCCAACAAGCAGTCCATCTGGTGACTGCTGGGGAAACTGCTGTAGGCACTCGTCAATAGCATGGTGCCAGGCTGGCTCCATTCCAGGCAGTGGGTGTGACACAGCTGCAAAATGCAACAGAGGTTCAGCGATTGTCCCAGCTCGCCTTACATTCTCAATTCCTCTCAAAATTAACTATTGTGGCAAAGGGAAACACCTCACACCACTTGAAAGAACTTCTGCACGGAAAGTAAGCGATTAATCAGCTTGGTCAGATGAGATGCCATTGCTAAAATTTGAGTTGTTCTCAGCTCCTGCACTGGTAGCCTCACAATGGCTGAGGGAACTGCTACTAGACTTCGTTCACCCCAAAGTTGGCAGGGTGGTGGAAGCTATGAGCATGTTGGACCAGTGGATCTTTCGCCAAACCACACTGTGCAGAGTGGGGTCAGGTGATGAAAGGGAGGCAACTGATTGGTCCGGCAAGTGCATCGCCCCCACCGCCCTGTCAGCTTAGGGGTGAGCGAAGTACAGGCCTGAAACGAAAACACTTTTGATTCCCATATTTCTGCTAGTCTTCTTTCGATAAGCACGCAACGAAAACAAATTAAAGTATCGGAAACAGAGAGTCAATGATCCGGAGCATGACCCTTGATACCGGGAGATAGCCAAAAACATGCTCGGCAATTTAACTGCCGTCGGGATAGTCGAGCATTCCAGCGGCGAAATTAAGGTTGGAGCGCACTGTACTTCCGAAGTGCCATCATACAAAATGCTTAAAGCCACAACACAGCTTACACTTTTTTTGCACAAAACCAAAAAACAGAGAAAAGTGATGGCAAACACTGGACTCTTTCAGAGAGCTCACACACCTGCCAGGGCTCTCCCTGTGGCCTGCTAGGAGAGCTGAGAATGTAGACCGTGCCCAGGCCGTCCGAGATGACGCACCAGTCGGGGTGGGGCAGGTCCAGGGTGCACACACGGGGCTGCATCAGCCCACTGGAGTCGGGGAGTTGCCAGACAACACGTGGTTCCGACAGATGGGTTTCCTGCGAGCCCGGGTACAGTCACGATCAGCTCGAGAACTGCACAAGAAAACCTCTAGCTGCCAGACAAAGTGCTACAAGAGTTCTCTTTGAAGTTGCATGAAAGAGGCTGCAACTTCGTTTATCTGGAGCACCACATTGTTAAGAACAGGAAGTAATTATTTTATTACAAAGCACACGTTTCAAGAAGCGAAATTCATTTTATTTTACGTAGCGTCTAGAGTACTGTCCGACGGCTCTCTTGCAGAGCATTCAAGTGCCGTACGGCGGTACTCCACTCTTGCGTTCAAGTGCTATCCGAAAGTCTCGTATAAAATGAGTTCTCAAAACGAGTTTTTTGAAGCGGAGTGTAGCTTAGTGGTAAGATGTCTGGCTCATAAGCAAGCGATCCCGAGTTCGATTGCTATTGCGGGCTTACTTTTTTGTTTTTGTTTTCTGAAACATTTTTATTTGCCGACGCATTTGGCAATATTTACATCTATTTTTTTTTTTTACAGTTAACACAGAAAAAAAACGAATGTTGTCACCAAAATTTCGCTGAACGAAATGGTATGGGACTTTGTGTTCGGAGGTGCATGGGTACAGCGGGGCTTGGTTTGTACGACGGGGCCAAATGGGTCAATAGTTTTGTAATTAGCAGCCGCATGCCGTCGCCGCAAAGCGGCGTGAACGCAGGCAGGGGGTTGGCTTAGCAGGCCCCCCAGTGATACACGCGCTGTCCGACTCTCTTTTTTGGACGGCACTTGTAGGTGCGATTGGAGTGCCGTGAGACTGCACTGTAGACACAGCCTTTATTTTATGGTGGGCTCTTAAAACACTACTTGATGCAGTGGCTGAACTTTGTGGTCTTTTTTTCCTTCTTGAAACGCAAACAATTCTAGCCAGGCTGATTAGGGCGGAACAACAAACTCGGCCCCATTTGTCAGGTGCTTTGAAACATAACATGTTTCAGGCTAACAGGGGAGGAGATTTAGTATACAGTTGCAATGTCTTTAGCAATCAAACTGCCGTTACATCTTGATGCTGCACAGGGTGGCTGGGTCAGGCACATCAGTTATTCTGAAAAAAATCAAGTGAAAAATATCCACCATCGAGTGAACCTGTGGCAACAGTAAAATGAGAACTTATCTCGTAGAGCAAGTGTAATCTCATAACCTTGCGGAGCGAAACACACCCGTCACAGAAAATGTGTTCCTCACAAACGACTGGCTTCCCTTTGCCACTTACCTGCGACAAATGCACCCATGTGACGTGGTGGGTGTCCGATATGTAGAAAAGTGTGTTGTGGTCCCATGGATCTTGCACAAGCGCGTTTATAAGCCCCGCCATCTGAACGTGAAGGTAGCCGTACTGGTCATCTTCGAGGTGGACCTTCTGTACGCCTGCGAGTGAAAGAAATGTTGAGCAAAATAAGGCAACACATTATGCGAGTGTCCGCGCGAGCGACGCCGAGTGCAACCAGTGGGAGAAACACTAATATTTTGTATGAAGCAAGGCTCACCCCCTTTTAGTGTTTGCTTCAGGATGGGTACTGGTTCGAGCGTTAACCGATAACACTCAAACTTGGCGTCCAAAAGACTACGATTTGGCGAAAGGTCGATTTTAGCTGCCATGTTCATAAACGGCAACAAGCGACGGCTATTTTGCAGTCTTCCCCGGTCTCCCGTCCAAATAGCCGGATGTGTTGTCACTTCCGGAACGTGAAAGTGCTAGTTTCGTTTTCGGCTTTTTGAATCCCTCGCCGTAGTAGAAGTTTCGTTTCTGGCTGGGCACGTCAAAATAGTCTCCGTGCTAGTTGCATATTTTGGCGAGCGATTTTTCTTCGTACCGAAGTACTAGTTCCGGCGTGCACTCACGAATTCCATGATCAAAATTGTCTCAGCGGTAAGCATTAGTGTGATAGATGTATGGGGTGTCTGAAATAACCAGGCTCGATCTAAAATGGGCCGTAAAAATCGGCGCCTGCACGCAGCAACCTAAGCGTTTCGCCCAAGGTGTGTTTCACAGGCCGGTTTTATCATGAAAAATACAAAGCGTAGCCTCCTTTCTGCGCCGTGCGGCAAACGCGCCTCGCAACTTGAGTCGGTCGTCTGCGTCGCCGTCCGCCGTTGACCCTGGCCTCAGGGGAAGGGTCTCATTCTCCCATAGAAAGTTTCAAAAAATCATAACTTCTGAAAAATTCACAGGGTTTCTTATGTTATCCATGAGACGACTTGAAGGCGAAAGCCCAAGCGCCGATCCCGGTGATAGCGAACCTCCGAAAACAGCGCGCTCTCTGACGACGCACTTTTGGTGCCACGCCCCTGCTCGAGCGAGTGTCCTCCCCTCCCGCTGGGTTTGCGCCGCGCGCGCGCCTCCGCCGATTCTGGCACAAGTAACGCCATCTCGTGGTTCAGTGGCGAACCGTGGGTTTTTGTACCTTGCGTGTCGCCGACGTGTTTTCGCTCAAGGACTGAACGATGAGACATATAAGGCTTGATAACGGTTTAGTTCTGAAACTTTGGCATATCTGGTCAGTACAGCCGACGCTACGAGTTGATGGGATCAACCAGACAGCGTCAAAACCACACCCTCATGGTGTTCGTCATGTTTCTGCATGTGTTGTATCATCGCTGAGCCAATAGGTCCAGTGACTTGTGCTTTTGACGCTGTTTGAGTGGTCCCATTAGCTCGTAGCGTCAGCTGCGGCGGAGACTGCTCGAGCGTTCCGCGATGCGAAGTTTATTTTTGCGGAGAAAAAGGGCACTGCATTTTTTTTTTCTTCGGGGATACTTTGTAGATCACGAAGACAACCAAACATATATTAGATGTAACCTAACAGCATATGCTGAAAGCTATAAACCTCCAGACTGTTCAAATGTCAAACTTGCGCTGTAGCGAACTTTTCGCAGTGTTAATGTTCTTCCTCCAAGAGTTTATTTCTTTCTTTCGTTGTTTTTTCTTTCACTCAGACATCTATCGACTACCGCGAAAGCTGTGAGCGCAAACCATTCCGTACAAGGTGTTTTGCAGTTCCATACAATTTTTTTTTTTTTTTTTTATAGACCCTTTCCGAAATTCAGTGCCATCAGGTGGCTATAATGGCAGTTTAACTTTTGCCGTACTAATGGCGGCAATGAAAATGGAGTCTGCCGGATTTTATCGGGCGCCGTCACTTTGGCAAGTCAACGGCAAACGACAGTGTGCGCCTCTCTGTACATTTCCTTCTCAATCTCTTTCATTCACGACAGAAGCAAAGGTGCAACCAGTCAGAACGAAGCGTCAACCCACGTACACGGCTTGATGAAGTTCTACAAATCAAGGGGCTTAGAAGCACCTTGATGCTACCAACAGATTGGCTGGGCCCGAGCTAGATATGAACGCTTACGCAGATCTTGCTTTCAATTCCTGCTTCGCATCGTGCTAACGTCACGAATGTATAAGCCTCGAATTATCTGCTAAGGAGCATCTTCAACTTCTTCCTTCATCAGTAAACAGAAGGCCGCCATTAGTACGGAACATATGCCATTTTTTCGATGATGATGGTGATCAAAGTGGCTAGACTGTATTTCGGGAAGGGTCTGAGCGCGAGCAACGCAGACAGTTTTGAAATCCAGGTGCTCGTGTTGTTGTCCTCTCCCTCCAAAACCAGCTAGGTTCACCCTAAATATGCCAGGGATGGTTTTGAGGATAGACCAACTCATTCGGGTATTGACACATGTTCCTCTCGTTCGGTCAGAGTCGTTACTCCAAACTCAGTTTCGCCACTACGATTATATCGGCGTCTTCGGAGCAGTGGCCTTTCTGTAAATACCACCCAAACTTATTCCTTTGAATTTATAAGCTATGAAACATGCGTTAGTTCTTTCCTCCACGCAATGGCGGTCGCAGAAACAAATCCGACAGAAACGAACAGCTCCCCTCAACTCGCAGCCAGATCAGGCGGCCACGTGATCTAGAGCCCGTTATATGCCATGGCCAAATTTGGGGGGGGATTGGGGGGATTTTTAAGCTGGCAAAGTTCAACTTAAAGAAAAAAAAAAAAAAAAAAACATACACCAGCTTTTTTTAGGAAGTAATGTTTTGTTTTTGTTGACATGGCAAATATTACGGTCCCGTCCACTGCATGAGCCGCATTTAAATATCGTCACCGCGGGGAACCGCAAAAAATCCGGGGATCGCAACGTCGACAACGCCAGCCATGAAATCCCAACAACTTCGACATCACGTACGTTTTGCGAAGGAGAGACTGGAAGAAAATATCAATTTTTATTCTTGACATTACGCGGCGACAAAGCAGCTTCTTGGTCAGTGGTGTAGCGCAGACCCCATTCACACGAGCATAAAGGCACCTTTAGCTAAGGTATCCTGTACGGATGGCGGCGAATCAGTTCGCGATCGTCTGCGCGTGTCATATGCTCGCGACACAAGAGTGCGGGCTGATTCGCCGGTTGCAAAAATACCTATGATAAGGGTGGCTTTATGCTGGCCGTGTGAATGGAGTGTATACTTTATTGTCAGGCTGGTCATGGGGGACATGGTCCAGCTTATTTAAAGGGAAGCTGAAACGGTTCTGTATTTGAGAAAAAAAAAAAAAAAACACCTCAACACATTTGGCCTCCAGGATCACGCATATAGAGATTATTATTATTTTTTTTTTTTTTCAATTTGGTGCGCGGAGGGCGCAGAAAATCCTTTTCTAAGTATCGCCTTCCTGTAGCGTGACGTACTATCCAGAGTTTTCGAAATATTCGCTCTCGCACATCTTCAGCGCCTATCAAAGCACGCGCACAAAAAAATCTCGTGCGTCTACTTTCCTGCGCAACACTCGGAGAGCTAATCACCGCAACTTACGGAGGCAGCTCAGCGAATGACAATGCGGAAACATATGTTTAGACCAAAAAACGCAGTCTGAGTTGTGACCCTAAGCAATGGAAGCGTGACGCAAAACTCAGACTGCGTTTTTTGGTCTAAACATATGTTTCGGCATCGTCATTCGCTGAGCTGCCTCCGTAAGTTTCCGTGATTGGCTCTCCGAGTGCTGTGCGTGAAAGTATACGCACATACTTTTTTTAGAGTGTAGACGCACGGGCTTTTTTTAGACTTGCATTTTCAAGAAGATCAGAAAAATACGTCACTACTGGTGTCCGTCCGAGGGAATATACACAATTCCAATATTTTCAAGTCCTCAGAGGGGATCGGTGGCCGAGTGGCTAGCGCACACCAGCTCGGAGCACGTGGAGCGAGAGCTCGCGCTGAAGAACCCAGCATCCTGGGTTCACTCTCCACCCCTGTAGCCATTTCAATCTGGATGAGCATCGTACCGGTGTACGGTCGTGTATCACTACTGCGTGGTGCACGTTAAAGGCCCCAGGCTAGCGGTTGTACTGCACTGGCTAAATTGCTCATCTACTGCTGGGAGACTCGTCGCCCCTGTGAGGCAGACCAAGTTCTAGGCTGTATAAACATACCGTACTCACAACCCATTTTTTTTTTGTTTTTTTGTTTTTAAGTCCTCAGCCCAGCGTGCGATCTCCTCAGCCGAGCACGCGCATGTTTGTCGATCGGAAGGCGAGCAAATCACGCGCCATACGCACGAACACTGAAAATGGAACCGGCCGTGGGAGCCCTTTTTTGGAAAGGTTTAGGGAGTATTCACTGGCGGCCATACCTGTGTGCGCGACTGCTGAGCGCGTGCTCACGGCGAGCTTCTGCAGTTCTTCTCGAACGTGCATTCCGCACCATCAAGATTGCCGGTCTTAGCAGCCTATTAATGTGAGCTCGTTCTGAGCATGCGCTCTAAACAGCACCCACAAATATGGCGTCCAGTGAATATTCCCTATTCGCGGCGAAAAGTTTGGGTGTCGTCGCCTGGTGTCATGTTTTCACAACCAAGAGTGAGGATACTTCAACTTCCTCTGCTTGTGTAAGCACGCGCAATGTCAAGCCTCTCTGCACTAGGAAAATTAAAACGGAACCGCGTGGGTATACGGTAAACAGAAGCGCCCCTAGCGAGCTTCTCACCGCGATCATGGGCTCCTAGCGTTCGCCGCGCTCCTACGTTTGCTATTTTGTGGAACGACTTGCACATTCCACGATGTCTGTTGTTCCGCCATTGTGCAGTGGTTTCGACCTTCTAATAATCGGCACGTGACTTTCGAAAGGCGTCCTATTGCACGCGCTGCCCACACGAGCGACACGCGCTTGGCGGCCCAAAAATCTGGGTATGAAGTCACGACTGGTCGGATGTTTTTCGTGCTTCCTCGCGTTAGTTACATCTTTGGGAAAAATGAATGTGACATTTAGATTCACGGAATAAAAATACTCTAGAATCCAGCTATAGCTATTTGTTTCTGATATTCAATTAGAATTATTTTCACTTTACACGAGTTTACTGGCACTAGTGGTACCCAAGTACACTCTCATGCAACGCCATTGACCAAGAAACCTCTTTGTTGCGATGTAATTTCAAGAAAAGCGAGCGTTTTCTTTCAATCTCTCCTTCGCAAAACTTGATGACGTAGCGTAGAGGTCACAGCATAGGTCGCATAATCCCCCAGTGAAGGTATTTGAATGCGGCTCATAGATTGGGCTCGAGCATGGTGTGATCACTCAATTGGGGCTCGTGATAATCAATAGCTCGAAAAGCATTCGGGTAGTGGCTCGTGTCCAATCGCTAAATTTAGCGGGAAAATTCACGTCCTGTGACCTAGACACCAATACAGTTCCCGGCTAAATTTAGCGGGGGAAATCGACGTCAAGTGACCTGACGTCACATGACCTATACAACCATTCAGTTTCCCCGCTAAATTTAGCGGGAAATTATACGTCACGTGACATATAACACGCATTAAAGAACTTCGAAAATAAAAATCGGGGCCCATTCTTTTTTTTTTTATCTTTTTTTTTTTTGTGATTGTGTTTGTGTGCCGCACGGGGCAACAATTAAGAAAACCCGGAGAATGCTTCCAAACGTTAGAGGCCCCAAATCCATTTGCAGCGCTCCTCCGCGTCCCGTGCACCTTGAAAACGTTCGCAACTAACGGCCGTCGAAATATTTAATTCGCGCACATCGCATCAATTCCCGGGAAACAGGGCGAAGCGGCCCTGAACCGATTTGAATATCATTTCCGCTTCGAGAGAGACACGGACAGAGCGTTCTAATTATCCGCGGGGAATTGTGGAACGAGTCGACGTTTGAGACACACCATTCATTAGTGAAATCTGCATGCGCCGCAAAGTTTATAAATAGAGAACACGGCGAGGGGTTCGGACTATTAAGAACGGCTCGAGTTTGGAGTAACAAACTCTCTCGGAGAGAGATCGACTGCGATGCGGAATTCCGTCGTTGGCGCAACGCTTCTGCTCTGCTTCCTCGCACTAGTGCGCGAAGGCCATCCAGAAATCTCTCCATGCGGTACTGTATGCGTAAAAACGAAACGAAAAAAAAAAACATGTATACAATCGTGTCTCGTTAATGTAGACCCCCCCCCCCCCCCCCTCTTTTCCCACCCCCCTAAAAAAAAGAAAAAGTATTTCATAATAACGGGACAAAAATGCACGTATTTTCCCAGTTCGTCCCCGAATATTTTGTAACGGGGTGTTCATATTAACGGGGCCCGTAGTAACGAGACACAATTGCACATGTTTATATTATATATCCATTCCATTTGTCGAGACGAGCACCAGGAATGATTTGGAGGGGGGGAGGGGGGGGATGTCAAAATGTTAAACGAGAGAAAAAAAAAATTAAGTTTTAATATCGCGAAAGATTTTGAGCTATTCGTAATCTTCCGCGGGTGGGTTTCTTTACTTTTGCGACGATAAGTTCTCGGACGAAACTTTCTCCGCGCAAAAGAGCGCTGAAAGGAATAGACGAATCTTTTGAAACCACTTTCTATTCCGCTTTTGGAGCGGAAGAGTCATGATCACCGCATGCGCGTAATTATTGCTCGCTAATGCCCAGCGATTGTTCGTTGCTCCACGGTAAAAAGGGAAAAGCGTTAACTTGGCCACGTTGCGAACGCCGCGCGGATATTGCGGTGTGATAGCGCGGCGTGAAAGCACCTTCTTTCTTCCATTGTGTCGGCGTATACGGTTCTTTACATGGCTGCTACGCGATTAAAAAAGCAGTAACATGATGAGTTTTTTTTTTTTTTTTTTTTTAAACGGTGTGTTTTGAATTTTATTTAGGCATCATATTAGTCGAGCCTTAATGAGTCGATTACGCTCTCCCTACCATGGAATTCTACCAGTCTCTATAACTGCGTGGTGTCCTCTTTTTATTTTGTCATCTTCGTAGACTACACGGAAATGCAGCTAAAGGCCGTGATCACCTGCCACTGCACAGTGTTCCCCGCTGAGGTAGGTTGCGTTCGTGACCCCATTGTTTTATAGTTCATTTTGGACTGAATTAATGGGATGAATACGCAGATCTCAAATTCCTGATGTTGGACTTGGAAGAGGAGAGAGAGAGAGAGAAAAAAAATAGAGCCGATAATAACAAGCTCGTAAATGTAAAAATAGACGGTAAAGCGAACGGTCTGTAGGAAACGAGCGCGCTTATTATTATGCGGTCACTGTGGCAAAAGTACCAATCCACTTGCACCAAATCACCAAATCGATTTCATACTACGATTCAAACTCTGAATCATGCACACCTCCATTCATTCATAAACGGCCAACTCTGCCACAAATTTTCACAGGCCGATTTGGGTTAAGCGTCAACCATTACGACCGCACGCCGAATGTCGCGTCGAAGCGACGTCTCATCGAGTATGAATATCGTTGTTATAAAGTCTCTCATTCGGAGGCGGGGTGTTTTTGGCGGGCACTGCTCGGCGAACGCTGAATGATGACCGGTGAGCTAGAGTGACTGAGTCAGAAATGGCAAAATTACTTTAAAAAGTAATAAAATTACATTACTGATTACTTTCCTGAAAAATACAAAAATGTAATTAAATTACGTTACAAATTACCGCAGACTGGAGGTAATGACATTACATTACAATTACTTTTAAAATATAATTAAATTACTTTCGAATTACTTTGACATTACTTTTGAATACCTTGACGCAGTAATTCGCACTCATCTTATTTACCGTATACACCAACGCAGTGTTTACAGAACAAGCCCTCGTTTGCCACCACAGCGCGTTTGCAGGAACCAGAGTCGGGAGAAGCGAGGCGCTGCGCATGCGCAGTGGCGACAGCAGTGCCACAGCAGAGATGTCACGTCAAAGAGCTGAGTTGGTCTATATGTATGAAAACTCAGATCTTCCTCTTTACACCGCGACAACCTTATGTGCCTCAAAGCGAACCATACTGAACAGTGGTTTTGCTTGCGCACACGACATAAGTGTTAAACATGATGAATAGCTTCTTTAGATGTGACTCAGAAAGAAAGTCGACTCACCGGTTTCACTGTTCATTCAACGGTGAAGTTTCTTACTAAAAGGGTGATATGTTTCTGTTTTCTGATCTAGAAGTTGCAGTCCACGTTAGTTTGTTAAGTCGGGCAATGGCAGCTCGTTCTTAGAAGGAGTCGTCACGTGAAACGTTTCCCTCCACCTCCGGACGCAATCTAATTCTATTCTCCCAAGAGCATTATGGCGATAACTTTTCTTGGCAATGCAGTGGAGAGAAGGAGAGCCCGCGCACAGCCTTTTTCAGCGCTCCAAATGGGAGAGGGAACGCGTGCCTGTACCCTTCACTGCATTGCCAAGAAACGTTGTCGCCGAGTATAGTTGACCTCTTCTCGGTGATTCCTTTCAAGGAGCTAATTTCCGAAACACCCGAAGAGTCCAAGCTTTTGCTCATTGTCACACAAAGGGCCCGGATAACTGCTAAGCAGAAGCGTCGCCAGCTGAGGAATGGCACGAGCTTCCTAAATTGTGTACTTTCCCCACAAACGGGGGGCGATATAACGCCTCGCAAGTGGGCTCATTTTCGTCTTCTGCGCATGAGAAAGGAAGTAGCGGTGACGTCAGAACGCCAAGCCCTCATTGGCTGGTCGCGACCCCCTATCTGAGCGTCGTCTGCTCCTTTGCAACGTCGTCTGCTCGCAACATCGTCTGCGTCTGTCTTACCTTTCCTCCGAATTTCGGAAGTGCAGGTCTTTACGAGCGAGCTCGACTTCGCCTTTCAGAGCGGGCAGACGAAATAACTCGAGCAGTACGTTGTTTTTGTCTAACAACTAGCCGACGCGCATCAAGGAGAGAAGTCAAAGGACTCACTGGCGAAGTGTCCCGAGGCGCCGAGGTTTGTTTGCTAAGAACCGAGAGTGAGCGTGTTAGTGTCCGCAAGTTCCCTTCCAAATACTTTTTCCCTCCTTTCCTGTGCGGCGAGACCCCTCATTCTTTAACGGCGTCGGCGGGTTGGCGCGGTTAACGTCGTCTGTTTTACGTCTGCTAGTCAAAGCGATGGGTGCTTTACCTTTCCTGCGTCTGTCAGAGATTCACCGCTTTTTCACCGGCGAGAGTCACCGTTGCCTCGGGAAACGAGGAGATTAAAAGAGGAAGAAATTGACCTCTTAATCTAAAATTGAGGTAGGCGATCAAGGTATAATACGGGAAGGGTTCACAAGGGTCGCGCTGGCATATTCCATTCAGCACGCCAGCCGGTCGTGGGCAGACGGTCGCCGAGTCGCGGAGTGCCTGCTAGGCCTAACTGCAAGGCTCGCTTGGTCGCGTTCGGTGGAATCGTGGACGTTGGAGCTTTTCCCCGGTGTTTATGGATCCAGCGTTCTTGTTCGTCGTGGTCTGTTTCAAGTACTTTTTACTTTTTTCTTGCTGCTTGAAGTCGGGACGTGTGAGAAGCGCACGTAGAAAAATAAAAGTCCGTGGGTCGTCGCGACCGCGACGCTGTCGGCCATGCTGATTTGTTCGTAAGAAGTGCGTAAGACAGCTTCGGAGCTGTCGTAGGATTTCGTCGTAACCTGCGCAAAACTTACGAAAATTTTGTTTCGTGAATGCGAATTAGTTCTTAAGTTTTGTCTTACGCACATTTTTGGCGTAAGATCGTTTCGTGAATCTAGCCTCTACACTTCCGAAAGTCGCAGGAAAGGTCAGACAGACGCAGACGACGTTGCGAGCAGACGTCGTTGCAAAGGAGCAGACGACGCTCAGATAGGGGGGTGCGATCAGCCAATCAGCGCTCGGCGTTCTGACGTCACCGCTACCCCTGCGCAAGAAGCAGACGAACTTGCCCCCCGCATAGGCTTATTCCCGTTTAAACTTCCCAAAGGAAGGCGGTGAGGCATACTGCGGAGCGACACCTGCTTTGCTCGAGGACGCACGAAACGGTCTGGGGCTTTGACAAGGCATTTGGAATTGACTATTTATTCCGGTCGTTCGTTGTTCACAGTGGTCAAAGCTTACGGTTTGACCTCGCTTGACGAAAGTACAAGACTGGGGATCTGTTTGTCCTGTCCTCTCAGGTTTGAAATTATGTTTAACTCACTGGTGATGTGCCCGTCGCCTTGTAGCCTATGAGCCGTTCACCCATTAGCTGACGCACTGTCAGCTTAGGGATGAACGGTAGAAGCTACGTGTTTGTTGGAGCAGTCACATGTCTATCGTTCGCCACGAAACCACGCTCTCGTTCATACTCACGCGCACAGAAAGGGACGGGACACGTGATTAAAAGAAGGTGTTTAATTGGTTCCGGCTAGCTTGCAGCTCCCACAGCACTGTCAGCTTATGAATGAACGAAGTATAGTATCGTCGTGATGACGGGATGCCGTGAATCTGTCGTGCCTGGAGTTCGTAAACCGTTGCCTTCCAGCGATGTCTGCACGCAGCTTTTCTCTTTCGACTTTCCAGCCCACCTTTGTGCGTTTGTCAAACACTTTGTACAAGGCGTTGCGCTCAGGTGACCGTAGATTATTTCCTCTGATGCGCTCTGACAACATTTCACCATCCGAAATATTTTTTTTTCTTATTTCTTAAGGCCTGCAAAAGAATGTTCTAATTTAGGACAAAAGTAATTTAAAAGTAACGATTAATTTTTTCGAAATTACTGCCTGAAAGTAATTAATGACATTACTAAATTACTTGAATAGAGAAGTAATTAATTACATTATTCATTACTCCCAAAAGTAATTTAATTACTGTAATTCCATTACAGTAATGTCATTACTGCCATCTCTGGACTGAGTGCGCATGCAAGCGCAGCTCCCCGCGCGGTGGACGCGTGCAAGGAGGCGTGCCTCATCGACTCATTTTTATTTTCTGCAAACGAGCACATGCACCCGCGGGAGCTATTGCTATTTGGAAAAAGGGGGGGGGGGGGGGGATCGGTGGGCGATTGCGTTATCGCTGCAGGACCCCTTGGCGAGAAAGTCGGCGAGTTCGGCGACCTTCTCGTCAAGTGTCCAGATTGGGGACCGGCGAGAAATCCGGCGGCTACGATTGGCCGGCGCCAAGGTCAAGTGCGGCGTCGGCCAATCACGGCCGCCGGATTTCTCGCCGACTTTTTCGCCAAGTGTCCAGATTAGGGCCCCAGATCGGAGCACGCAAAGAGAAAACCTCGAACTGCAGAACCGAGGGATCCTGAGTTCAATCTTCAACCCTCCCCGTTTCGATCTGAATGGGCATGTATATCAGCGTGCGGTTGTGTATCACTGCACTGGCTGAAGTTCTCATCTACAACGCACACACCAGACGCCCACTGGGGATGACTAGCTTCCTAATGGGACACTGTATACACTTTAGACAGTGTCGCAGTGGGAACTCTAAACGAACGCGTAGCACAATTATTCTTATTCTTATTATTATTTGTTTTACCACGGGAGCTGTAGGCATTGCACATGTGCAGAAACTCAATTTTTGAAGAGAGGACGACCTGCGCACGTGGTTTTGTCCGGCGCCACATGCGGCTTGGCATGACGTAAAAAGAACACGAGTCGGTGCACTGAGAAAGCAAATTTACTGCTATAAATGTGGCTCCTGGTGTTCCTACATCGAACAGCTGATATTCGTGTGCTTTATGTCCCATTTGCCTCGTTCTCCTGGTCACATTTTTCTAATGATTGTCCTTGTAGGACATCGAGTTGATGGTCAAGGCCCGACGCAAAATGTTCGGTGATATATCGACTTTCCAACTGGTTAGTCGCTACTGCAAGACTGCACCTGCTTTGCTCAGAAACTTTGTAAGTTGTTTTTCGCCTGTTGTCTAAACAGCACACTGGAGAGAATTTGTATATATACAAAAGAACATCATCTACCGGGCACGAGCAGGGCAATTTTAACCCACACCCTTCGTCCACGGCAATTTTACTGAACACTGGTGGGTGTCTCATTAAGAAAAAAAATATTCAAAATTTTACTTTTATTATAGTATCCTCTTGGCAGTACACCGTATACTATTGGGAGGAACATCCATATTACAATCTTTTGACAGAGTTGCGAACACTTGCAGCCAAAAAGCACTAATTCTGGACACATTTTTGTTTTTATTCTTTTGTCTCGCAGAAAAAAATCTTAACGAACCTTGCAAGGGTAAGTACAACGCGGCTTTAATTTCTCATCTGGATTTACCTAAATCGACGCACTCAGCTCAAAAGTACAACAAAGAAAGATGATATATATTTTTAAACTTTTCCCGAGCTACGCGTTCACATGACGTTGATTAATCGACTAAAAATGCCCGAGGTCACGTGAAACGTGTCACGTGACTCCGATCAGGGCAAATGACACGTCACTGGCGCTTGAGTGGACAGAGTTACGGAGAAAATAACATTACGCCAACATAACAGCTTCATTGGATCAACCGAAAAGGCGGCACGGGCTTGGACGTATTGTTTTTCTAAAATTAGGTGGGCAGCTCAAGCAGCGTGCGATGGCACGATCAAGAAGATCACGAGAGGGAGACGCTTAACTGCCTTTCCGTGGTTTCCTTCGGACAGAAAGAAAACGCCGAGCTGATCGGTAACATGATGACCATCTGCTCCAACGCGACCCTCTACTACCTGCCGCTGACGCCGAATTCGTGAACGGCATGCAACGGCATGCAGACGAGAGAAGGTATCCGAGGTGAATGTTTCGCTCGCACGTATAAATACGAAGGCATGTAGATGGTATCGAAATGCTGACAAGAGTACATCTCTGAGAAGGAATTCATATCGTTACACATCTCGAGGATAACCCCGTAGGAGTGTAGCGAAAAAGGGCTGATCAGCTGAAGGGTTTATGTTTGTCAGTACGATATCCAAGTATATGCTTTTTGCTCTCACACCTGGTGATGTTTCTGTTTTGTGCTTTTGATTTCCCGTGTTGATTTGGGTGCCTGTCCGAAAGTGATGTGCTCTAAGCAGCTTCTTTGGCTGAAAACTAGTTAAGTCCTTCGTTTCGTCACGAGTCCGAGCGCGTTTGGAATCACCGGACGTGTACAACCACAGACACACATAAAAGCGCGGCCTTCACTACGCCTGATTGCTTTAGCTCGTGATAGAACATGTATAGAAACGCCATGAACACCTTGACGTTGTGCTTTTGACGCTGTTTGATCAGTGACATTGGCTCGAGTAGCATCGGCTGCTGCTCGGATTTGAGGTAAAACCAAGTATGAAATTACCTCCATCAAGCGGCCGTGTCAAAACAATTATTTTTGTCATCAGCCAATATCGTCTAAAAAAAAAATGCTTTTATTGATTGGAAAACGTACGTGAATAAAGAAGTTGGAAATTGTTGTTAAATTCGCTTTTAAGCTGAATGTTATTCGCGCGGTTCACCGGGCTCTCTTCCTTTTGTGGATGGGTCTTCCTGAATTAAGTTTATGGTATTACGAATCAGTACGGCCGTATCTTTTCTGATTTTAAATCTAGCAACACCCTATACTTATTTTATTACGGACACTCACATAATTACCTGTGCTGGTGTACTTTAACTGAATAGACGAGTTTCGGTGATGGTGCGTTGTGAAAACTTATCTGCCTAACGTTGTCGAGGCATGCGTCTACTTAACCCTTAACACCCCCCCCCCCCCCCCCCCCCCCCTCGAAATATGCAGCAAGACCTACTTCACGCTAAAAAAAGCCCGTGCGTCAACTTTCCCGCACAACACTCGGAGAGCCAATCACCGCAACTTACGGAGGCAGCTCAGCGAATGACGATGCCGAAACATATGTTTAGACCAAAAAACGCAGTCTGAGTTGTGACATAAAGCAATGCAAAACGTCACGCTTGCATTGCTTAATGTCACAACTCAGACTGCGTTTTTTGGTCTAAACATATGTTTCCGCGTCGTCATTCGCTGAGCTGCCTCCGTAAGCTGCGGTGATTGGCTCTCCGAGTGTTGTGCGGGAAAGTTGACGCACGGGCTTTTTTTTTAGAGTGTTGGTTACCACGGAGCTACAGCTCCGCGCTGCTGCACGAGCACGTGGCTTCGTCTTCCGTCTCCTTCATTCTCGCTCTTGCGCGAAGGAGACTCCAAATGTGGCCACGCGTTCGGGAAAGTAATTTTGTCAACTAAGCGGAAACTGTACGCTATAGCCTTGACAACTCACAGGAAAAGGTTGACGCCGAGTAGATATGGTACATTCCGAAGATAACACCTGTTACCATGGAAAGAATATAAGTGGACCTTTAACTATAACTAAACTTCGCACCCCCCACCTCCCCCCCTCCCCCAACAAAAGAAAAAGAATCATAAAAAAAAAAAAACGTTAGCGATGAGAATAACATTTATTAATCATAGTATAATTTTCATCGTACCTTGGGGTGTCCTTCACTATCAAAAATGCCTGCACGTCTACTTACCCGCAAAACACACAAAGAGCCAATCTGTGCGAGCTACGAAATCAGCCTCAGCGAATGATAAGGCGGAACATCCGTTTACAGCTAAAAATGAAGTCTGCGTTGTGGCATTACCCAATGCAAGCATGACGCTTTGCATATTCGCTTTCACCGAGGCAATAGGCGAGATCGTGGTCACGGTGAACGAATAAAATCGCGCCGAACGTCTCTCGTCAGGCCGTGCTTACTCCAATAATTCGCTTTCACCGAGGCAATAGGCGAGATCGTGGTCACGGTGAACGAATAAAACGGCGCCAAACGTCTCTCGTCAGGCCGTGCTCTCTCCAATAATTCGCTTTCACCGAGGCAATAGGCGAGATCGTGGTCACGGTGAACGAATAAAACCGCGCCGAACGTCTCTCGTCAGGCCGTGCTCTCTCCAATAATTCGCTTTCACCGAGGCAATAGGCGAGATCGTGGTCACGGTGAACGAATAAAACGGCGCCAAACGTCTCTCTCG